GGCGCGCGGGCGGCTGAGGCTGCGTGCGTGGCAGCACCGGGCCGCGCGAAGGCGGCAGACGCGGCGCGCGGGGCCGCTGCAGGCCGCGCGGGCGGCGGACGCAGGGCAGCCGCGGGCTGCGTGGGCGGCGGACGCGGCGCGCAAGGCAGCCGCGGGCGAGGGCGGCAGCCGCGGCGCGCGGGGCTGCTGCGGGCTGCGCGAGCTGCTGACGCAGCGCGCGGGGTAGCAGCGGGCTGCGCAAGGGTGGCGGACGCGACGCGCGGGGCAGCAGCGAGCTGCGCACAGAATTAGGGTTTGCGCGCGCGTGCAGCGCAGCGCAGGCAAGGCAAGGCGCGCGCAGGCAGCGCAGCACAGGCAAGGTAAGGCGCGTGCGGGCGGCGCAACGCAGGCAAGGCGCGCGCTGGCAACGCAGCGCAGGCTACATAAGGCAAGGCGTAGGTAAAGCAAGGCGCGCGCGGGCAGCGCAGCGCAGGCTACACGTGGGGCAGCTCAGTAACCACAACGGTAGGTGGGCCCGAAAAAACGGTCCTACGGACCTAGTGCTCTGATACCATGTCAGAAACTACATGCAGGAATGAATGCACTATGAAAAAGTTGGGTACAAGTATGAAACCCTAAACGGGGCTGTACCCCAAATTAGCTACCCCACTACAGCCTAACCATATACCTATATCATGCATATAATTTGATTGCGGCTAGGGCGCGGCAGGCGTGGGAGGCGGAGGCACGGGTGAGGGAGACATTGGCACGGCATGCGGGGTAGGTCCGGCTGGCGCAGGCGGCGCGCGGCTGGCGCGGTTGGGCTGGCGTGGGCTGGCGCTGCTGGCTCGGGCTGGCGCAGGGGCTGGCTAGAGCTGGCGCGCGGCTGGCATGGGCTGGCGCCGTTGGCGCGGGCTGGCGCGCGGCTGGCATGGGCTGGCGCCGTTGGTGCGGGCTGGCGTGCAGCTGGTGCGTACGTTGGTGGTGAGGCTGGATCGATATGTACAGAACATATCCTTCCCCTCTACAGCAGAATCTATTCTAGCCTGCAAGAACACTTACAATACAAACATGTCAATGTGTACTTTGACAACAACAACAAAGTTTAGCTGACTTCTGAAGTTTAGCTGACTTCTGGGAGCCTTTATCATACTTGTAGGTAGTGATGAGTGTGATTGCTGAAGGCATGATATATCATAAGACAAGATACATAAGGCTACAAAAGGGGAAGACCGACTAAGTCACAAAACAACACATGAGTACAATAGAGGCAGGTGCACTGGCGGCAAGAACAGCATGCCCGGACAAGCCGGCCATAGTAAGAGGACAAGGGACAAATGCAAACGAGCAGTTCGCATCTCGAGGTATGCAGATTCTTCTAATGAACCTCAAAACCACTCGGTCCAGTCTCGAAGACTGCGCTGAAGTCGTGCGTGACGGAAATCGTAGTACAAAAATCGTACAGCCGCTGGAGACCCGCGGAAACCCCTTCTGGGCGTTTATTGGTCAGACGAACACGTGTAGGCTGAGCACGTCTTAGGCACCATGCAGAGTGACTTCAGGCCGTGTAGCAGCGGCAGCAGTAAGCAGTGGCCTAACAGGGGAGAAAGAGCCGACCCGCGACACGAAAATCCCGTTGTCGCTCAAGCAGGCGCGCCAATTATTAATGTGACTAGTCACCTGGAAGCGGAGAAACCCCGCGACCTTATTACACTCCCGGTGCCGCCGATCGAACGGCCTCGACACGCTTCCCACGATGCTTTCACAGGCAGATAAACGTACAATACAACACGCACGCGGAGAAGCGCACGAGAAGAAGCTTCCGCGCACAGCGTCTATACGGCGGCGGAGGCTTTACTCCTGGGAGAAATACGAGGTCTGAACAGTCATCAAGTGCATCTCGAATTCTTCCTCTGAAGGAAGCGGCTCGAACGATTCCGCGGAATCGGCGAATGCTGAAGCGGCGGGGGAAGTAGGCGAGTCGCACTCCGAGGCGGGCCACGACGTGCTGAATTCGTGCACGGCGCGCGGGGAGTTCCGCAGCGGCGAGCTTCCACCGTCGATGGAGTTTCCGCGTTTGTGTGCGGAGACAGGCGCGAGATTGTGCGCCGGTAGGCAGAAATCGGAATTGGCGGAGGTGGCTGCGGAATTAGCGTTTGCGAGAAGAGCGTTGAGCGCCTGCAGTTGTTGCTGCTGCTGGTGCACGCGGAGCGCGGCAGCATCGAGACTTGCGTTAACGGCGACCTTGTTGTTCAGGTTCGCGAGCGCGATAGCTTGCAAGTACTGCTGCATATTTTGTTGCCTCTGCTGCTGGAGAAGGAGGAGAAGCATTTGTCGCTGCTGCTGCTCCCAGAGAGCTGAACCTGAACCTACTTGCACGTTTCCTGACCCGACAACGCCTGCAGCCGCGGCGGCTAGTTGTGAGCGACGAATTTGCTCAAGAAGCAGCGCGTTAGCCGCGACTGTGGTGTTCTGGTTAGCTGCGTTTTTCAGTGCTTGCTGCTGCTGCTGTTGGGCCAGAAGCAGCCTCTGAAGGATGGCGGCATTGGAGTTAGCGGCGGCGGCGGAGGCAGTGGTGTAGTCTTCCATGGATGCTGTAGGAGTTTGTAGGAGCGAAAAACTGCGGTTGAGTAAGAAACCCTAGACGGAGGATGAGCAACGAAGGGAACTAGGTTGGAGTGAGGCAGATATACGGAGGCGGTTGGGGAGGTTGGTTTGTGGGCTTGGGACGAGAGGCTTGTTTGCTTGCAACCGGGTTGTGCGGAGCCAATTTGGTTTGGATAATTGTCGATGGTTTGGAATTGGGAAGCCATCGCCCTATTTAGAGGTGATCGCCTCGAAAGCCGGTCCCGTACCGTGTGGGTTGAAGGAACGGCGAAACGAGTCGCACACGCGAGTGGGGCTTCTTCGCACCCGTGTGGCCCGCTAGCCCAGCTGGCGACATGATGCGACGCGGGAAAACTTGTTGCGTACAGACAGACCCGATGGAAGAGATTCATGCGGCATGGTGATTGGGTGGTGAGGGGACGAACCGAGCTAGGATTGGCCGTTCGACGTAGAGGTTTCTCACTGAAAGCACCCGAGTCGCCTCGACGGTGAGGTTTGAGGAAGCTCCCGCTTGGTTCACTTACAGGGGCCAAAGTTTCCGCGCAAAACGACAAAGCTATAATCTCGCAACCTGCCAGACCACATACCGAAAGGCCCATGTGGCGAGTCGCATGACCTCGGTGAAACGAGGTTCGTACATTCAGGGCTGTAACATTTTTCTTCTTTTTTGTGACGTGACCCCATTCTCACACAGATAGCTAATCAGCACGACAAATGGCTCTGTAAAACCCCGAACGGGTTGAGTTTTGACGCAAATCAAGAAACTTTTTTGTTTCCAGCAAAACCATACTCATACACCTGCCATACTCCGCAAGCAGCTATCTCTAAATATGGACACAACTGGTTCCATGTGGAAGTGCACCACACACCGCTGGCTACCCGACTGCCAGTGAACCAGCGGTGAGTTGATGACGCGGCACCGAAGCCCCGTGCAATAGGGCTGCCAGCTCAGTCGCTTGCTACGTCACAGGCGCTCTTCGCCGCCTTGTTTCCGTCTGTGCTGCGGTGTCACGGATAGCTAGAGTGCGGTTGGGGAAGCACTGCCCCACACAGCATCCCCGAATTGTTGGCACCCACTGATCGTTGCTCATGTGCATAAGAATAACCGTAAGAATGTTTAGAAAAACTCCACTGGGCCAACACAGTGCCGCATCAGCATATGAAGCATATGAAGCAATACCCCGGTCTCACGAGTTTATACAACGATACCTATGCCAGCTGTGGCATAGATAAAACTCATTTCGGATCTTAGCTAAGGAATCGAACAAATGTAAGTGTTTCACACACTTAGGGTCCCCATCATGGTCAGCAGCACTATGGGTGCGAACAACAACATGGGGTAGTGCCACGTCAGCTTAGCCCCTCAAGGCTGTCAGCCACGCCAGCAGGCTCGCCAAGTCCCTGCACCTGCTTCAACCAAGCCGAATTCCGCCTTTCCAGTCTCCACGGGTCCAGCACCTGGCCTGGACTAGATGTGACCCGGCAGCACGATTTTACAGGCCAGAACAGAACCCACCAAACCTCCGAACCTGAAATCCCAACGTGTAGGCGCCCACAGCTGTCAGTGTTCAGGTTTTGATAAACAAACTTTTTGTGACCTGTCCATTCAGCATATGGCAGCATGTGGGGAAACTGGGCAACGGGAACATGTTTGGGAGTGTCAGCGCAGCACAGTGCTGTAACTTCATAAACAGTACAGCACTTCCCCTCCCGTGAGATTTTCGCTACGATGCGACTCTTCACAGTCGTAGTTTCTGGACCAGGTCAAACTGAAGAGCTGTACAAATGTACGGTATGATGTCTACAATCATGAATATTCAAGCTCTAACTACGAGAGGTCACGCATGTTACTGGGAATTTGTCGAGAACATGTGAAAGGGCATTCAGCCTTGAACTCGCAGTCTAAAGTTAGGAGTTTCTGAGAAGTCTTGTGTTCATTCACAACCAGACCAAGGATAAGAGTTTCTGAGAAGAGTTTATTGTGCAGTCAATGCTTTCAAGTGGTCCAGGGCCCATGCTCCAGCACTATCCCAAAACAACAATGATATCTCTAGTTAGTCACAAAATAGTATTGACTACGTAAGAGAACAGACATTAAGGTTGAGTGATACTACAGCAATGATCATCCAAGCAAGTCCTAGCGAAAGGGAGTATAAAATGGTGCAAACTTCAAGTGCAAAACAGGGAGAGGAAAGTCGGGTTCCAGATCATTAGGCCTACTCTAGATTGAACCGAGCAGAACAAAAAACTGAACCCATAGACGCTACTAACCGTTCACACTACTGCTGGTCAGCATCAAAACGCCTTAAAATCTGCTACTAACATTAAGCAATAGAAACTTACAACCGTAGCGCAAAAGATATCAAATCCATTATTCTGACTCGGCAACTACCCCGTCGCGGTACTCTGCCTCCCTACCATCCATAACCACCTGATCCACCAGCACCGCCGTATCCACCACCTCCCCCGCCACCACCACCTCCACCACCATAACCACCGCCGCCAGGAGCCCCTGGACGCCCGCCATAGCCGCCAGCGCCACCATAACCGCCGCCGCCGGCGCCACCGTCGCCTCCACTAGGGCACTCGCGCGCAAAGTGGCCCCGCTCGCCGCACTTAAAGCAGCCGCCACCCCCCCCGGCGCCGCCGGCGCCGCCGCCACCTCGGGCCTGGTATCCGCCTCCGCCGCCACCCCATCCGCCACCACCGCCACCGCCACCGCCACCGGCGTTCCACCCACCACCACCACCGCCATAACGGGCGCCACCGCCACCGCCGCCGGATCCTCTGGGTTGCGCCATGTTGACGGTGATCGTGCGACCGTCCAAACTTTGGCCGTTCATTGCCTCAATTGCTTGATCCATGCCGGGCTTCTCGTTAAAAGACACAAAGCCGAATCCTCTTGATCGCCCGGTTTCTCTGTCATTGACGATCTGCAATAGGCGAAGCACAGGGACGCAAGTATACTATCAGGTCTGCTGGAGACACAAAGCAAGAAATTCTGCAGAAATGAATGCTGTAACGGCAGATTTCCTGGTGTAACATCCAAATAAACAGCAATGATTCTTTGTCTTATTTTTACTGCAACGTGTTTCCACAACAATCGTGCACGCAACTCGTCCTTCATGCAAGATTGGTATGGGAGCTGGAAAACAGGCGTCAAGCTATCCTATAAGGATACGCGGCAAAAAAGAACGGAAGGTGGCTTACCTTGGCGTCAACGGCGCCATATTGACTGAAAGCTTCCATGAGCCCTCTGTCGTCCGTGTTGTACGACAGACCACCAACAAAGCACCGCAATTCTTCAGCCATGATGAATACAGGTGGCAAGGCGATCCACGGACACAAGGGTGAAACAAACAACTGAAACCCTTGCCGAACAGAAAGGGAGCTTACGAAAGTGAAACTGCTTCGCACAGAAATGGAGAACAAGTAGATCTAGGCGCGAAGCATTTTATACATAAATTTCCAATTCCTCGACCCGTTTGGCAACGTAAAGAGATCGAAGGAGAGCCGAACAGAAGGGTTTGGGTTTGGGGGGAGGTCCAAAAACAAACGCGGATGAGATTTGAATGGTTGTGCGCGAACTTGGGGGTGAAATGCGAGGCGCGGAGCGGAGAGCTAATGGCTTGCATTCATTCAGGGTGCGGGGCGCGGAACACAAATCGTGAGGAGGAAGCTGGAAATATCTATGGACACTTGACCGACGTGGCAAGTATTGGTTGGGCGACGACGAGGCAAAACAGAAAGGGGTGTATTAGAGAGACCAAGTGTGCACGGTTGCTCTATTTGGCGAAGCAGCTGTGCTAATATAGAGGGTTTAGGCCACATACGCACGTGGAATCTGTTGAGGGGCAGAAACCCTTGCTTACCCTTTGCCCGCCGACGAAGAATGTGTTTTTGGACGCCACAAGGTTTTGAGGCGCCGTCATGGTCGCAGAACATTCCGTAAAAAGCGGAACCAAGGTGACCTAACCCTTGTTGAGGTTGTAATCTGATGACATACTTGCACTTCGGAGGGCAACCACACGGGCAGAATGAAAGCACCACACAATTTTGAGAGACACTCTTCCGCAGCCCGAAACGGAAGGGGAAAAAAACATAAAGCCCTGCGTATGAACCTACTCGCTTGAAGCTTCACGATTGAACTGTAGAGAAACCAGCAGACTGTTAGATAATTCATTTGACCATGTTACACGTCAGCATTTGCTCCACAGTGCATGCAAACAAGCAATCCGGTGCGCACTTCTGCATGACTTTTCCTCGCCGCCATGCACCCACCCATCCACTGGAAGCGGAATTCTCCCCCTCTCCCTTCCGGCGCACTGGAATACGCCCCCCTTGCTGTTCTGTACACTCACAGCCAGGGTGTAGCCCTGCCAGTTGCCTAGCAACTGCTTTTTTCACACCTTCGCATATTCCCACTGCTCATCTGAATTCTGAAACCCCGCTTGGCACTGCTGCTGTGCGCTTCCCAAGTACGCGCCGCCACCAACACGTGAAACACCAGCCGTCTCCTCAACCTCGCTCGCGCTGCATGGCAAGCGGGTGCTCCCCCGGTGCTTACAGGTTTATGGCCGCCACGTGTCGTCCAAAAGTCGTAATTTCAAGCTGGACTGCGCGGGATTGTCCTCGGAGCGCATTGCTAGATGGGTGGAAACGCTCCTTTTTGAATGCCCTCTCCCTCTCGTCGCCCGCCGCGTGCGGCCTTGCGAGGCGCGCGAATCCCGCCTGCTCGAAATGCCAGCTCTTACCACGGCGAATGCCGCGCCGCGCGGGATGGCGCAGCCCCCTTACAACCCTCGAACCATATCCACCCCCGCTCGTGCCTCGGCGTCCGCCCCCGGCCGTCGTCGCACGTCCCCCTCTCTCTCTCGCGAGCCCCCACATTCGCCACGTCGCGTTGTATCCGTCAGGAGCGCCTCGAGTTCTCTCCCCCAGTCACCCTCTCTTCGAGCGCTTTTACCGCCATCTCAGGCCCAGAGCGCGCACAACCTCGCTCGCCTGTGCTCTTCGAGAAGCCGCCTGTGCTCTTCGAGAAGCCGCCTGTGCTCTTCGAGAAGCCGCCTGTGCTCTCATTCCATCCACCGCCTCGCGATCTCCCGAGCTGCGCTGCGGCAACGAGGCTACTATTTTTAGCCCGTGTTCGTCGTAGCTCTTTTTCGCGCACTTTTCCTCTCCTAAGCATGTCGCTCTCTAAGCATGGCTGACGTCTTCGTCTCGAGTAGGATTTCAAGAACCGGCGAGCTTGGTCGCAGCGCCATCGACGACCCTTGGCGCGTCGGAACGGCAGTTCCCGTTGAAAGCAGTGTTGCCAGTACTACAGACACGGGCGGCGGCGGCGAATCGTTGACCGGTCAACGCGCCGAGTCAACCGCGGTGGACCAGTCCGCGCAGCTGCCCGCTGCGGAGAGGCCCGTTGTCGGAAGCACCAGCGCTGGGGCTTCACCGCGGAAGCCCCATCAGCCCCTCCTTCCGCCGGCCTCCATGTTCCAGCAGCAGCAGGCGCCGGCGGCCGCGGAGAGGGAGCGGCGCGCAGAGGGCGCGCAAGGGGGCCGTCCACTCCGCGGGGGAGGCGCAGTGGCGGAACCGGAGCAGTCCGCGGAGATGGAGGCTGCGGCGGCTGAGGGGAAGGGGCCTCTGGCAGTGTCGTCTTTGGAAGAGCGGAAGGAGATTGCGGAAGGGGAGGAGCCGCATCAGAAGTCGCGTATCTCAGAGAAGGTATGCCTGTCTCCGTAAGAGCAAGAGTGCTTGTAACGAAAAACGCAGAAACTTTGCTACGCCCTGTATCAAACTGTTGGCGTTTTTCGCTGATTGTCCAACCTTTCTTGAGTACTTGGCGTCTCCGCGATTCTCACTTGCAATCATATCCCCCCCCCCCAAAAACACCTTTGTGCCTCCCACCCTGCATGGCAGGTAGCTCGATTCTTCGGAGCCACAGGGAAACCCAGGAGCCGCAGAAGCACCGAGGAGACGGAGCCGCCGAGGCAAGTCGTAGCAAGGGAACCCGCAAGGGAGTCGGCACGAGAATCTGCAAGCGAGCCTGTAAGGGAACCGGCAATAGAGGGTATAGCAGGCGGGAGCGGTCAGGGTGCAAGGGGCAGGGTTTCGGAGGGGGTGGGTGAGGAGAGGGTGTTGGGGGAGACGGGCATGGGCGTGGGGTTTGCTGGTGCTACTAGCGGGGACCCTGCTGGTGCCACTAGGGGGGGGGCTGCTGGTGCTACTAGCGAGGGCCCTGTTGGTGTGACAGGCGTTTCTGGCACGGGAGCAACAGGCTCTACAGCAGGCCGTGCTGTTGCAGCCGGTAGTGCGGGTGACGTTGGTGCTGCTGGTGCTTCTGGTGCTGCTGGCGCTGGTGTTGGTGCTGGTGCTGGTACCGCAGGTGCCGCTGCTGCTCCAGCGCCCTCCACCACGCCTGGAGCAGCAGCTGCAGCATCGGCCATTCACCAGGCCGTGCGAACAGGGAAGAGCGAACAGCAGGCTGCTGCCGATGCTGCTGCTGCTGCTACGTCTGCTGTGACTGGTGCTACAGCAGGGAAATCGGATGCTGGAGGTTCCACCACTGGTCCTGCTACTACACCCGCTACAACCCCGGCTAAAGGCCCTGCTACAGGCCTTGCTACAAACCGTACTCCTGGTCCTACTGCCATCTCTGCCCCTGCTGATACTTCTCCAGCGCCCTCCACCACGCCTGGTGCAGCAGCTGCAGCATCGGCCATTCAGCAGGCCGTGCGAGCAGGGAAGAGCGAGGAGCAGGTCACTGCTGATGCTGCTGCTGCTGCAGCAAGCGAGATGGGGCAGGGTGGGAAAGAGGAGCTGGAAGAGGGGGGGATGGGCAGGAAGGAGGTGGAAAGGAGGGGCAGTGAAGAGGAGATTTTGGGGGCAGCAGCAGGGGCAGGAACACCCACAGAAGAGAGGGGTGTGGGGCTTGCAGGAAGACTGGGAGGGACTGAGGTGAGCGTAAGAGTTTTATGAAAGGTTAGTTAGTACTGTCAGTGCTTGCTTCTACTTTGCCTCTCTTTCCGTTCTGATTTGTTTGCTCTTGATTTGTCTCTCTTCTGCTCTTAGTTCCGTTGATTCTGTGGTGTTGTATGCATTGCTGTTATCGATTTTTGAGGCGCATCAAAAACCTCACTAACTCCGTTGTTCTGCGGTGTTGTTCCTCTGCAATCGCAGGCGGGCACGGAGGGTGGGAAGGTCAAGCAGCTGGTGAGGAGCTTCGACGGACCTCCCAGGCTGCTACAGCAACCGCTGCTACAGCCAACACAGGGGCAGACACGGCTGCAGTCGTCTCCAGGCGTGCAGCAGCAGCTGGTGCCGCCAGCAGCAGCAACAGCCGGAGCAGCAGCACCTCCTGCAGGAACCCCCCCGGCAGTAGCAGGCTCTGCAGCGACCAGAGTCGTACGGCCATCCCCATCACCATCAGGAGCGGCAGAGCGAACACCAGCAGCAGCTGCTGCATCCCCAGCGTCCCCTGGAGCAGCAGCAGGAGCCGCAGTAAGGTCAGTCTCCCCTAGAGCAGCAAGAGCGAAATGGGGGCAAGCATCCCCGGGAGCAACTGGAGCAGGAGCAGGAGCAGGAGCAGGAGGAGGGTCAGTGTCGCCAGTGTCTCCGGGAGCAGCAGGCGGGCATGGGTCGGTGCTGGAGCGACTCAAGTGGCTGGAGTGGCAGGTGCACACCATGCAGCAGGCTGTCTCGGGCGGTCCTACGGAGAGTGCTGGGATGCTCCCTGCTGCAACGCCAGGTGTCGTTTCAGGAGTTTCAGGTGTTTCGGAGGTTGGTTCTGGGGGGAAGAGAAAGAGGGTCCTGGCTCCTGGTGCAATGCAAGGGGGAGAGGGGGACGAGGATCAGGGGATCACCAGAGCAGCGTTCATGGGCGAGGGGCAAGAAAGGGAGATGGGGAAAGAGGAGGCGAAAGAGGGAGGGATGTTTGGAGGGATGGTGAGTGGAGGAGAGAGAGGAGGGATGGGAGAGGAGGAAGGAGCAGCGGTGCCGTTGGTAGTCGTGGCTCGGGAGATTGAGGAGCGGGGTTCCATTCTGGACCGCATTGCACACCTGGAAACCACGCTCAACGCCCTCGCTGCTTCTGGGATTCCCGTCCCTGGCAAGCCTGCTCCTGCCACTCTTGTCCGTCCTGCTCCTGCTCCGGCTGAATCTTGCATATCACAAGGAGCAGGAGAATCAGCCGTAAAAGCACGTGAGCTTGGTTATGCCATTCCTGCTGTTGGAGAGGCAGAGGCAGCACGCGAGATGGGGGCAGAGGAAGCAGAGGCAGTAGCAGTGGCAGCGCCGCCGGCAACGGCCGAAGCTGAAGAGGAAGAGGCGGAGGAGGCAGAGGAAAGGGGAGAGGAAGTGGAGGGGAAGAGGCGATTGGGCGGTGAGGAAGGTGCTGTGCCTGAATCTTCTGCTGCTGCCGGTGCTGGTGCTGCTACCACTGCTGCTGGTGCGGCAGCAGCTCCTGTGTCTGTTTCTACTCCCGCTGAAGCCTCTGCTCCATCCGTGGCAGCAGCAGCAGAATCAGCAGCACCCTCTGCTACAGTCACTGCTCCCTCTGCTGGTCCCTCTAGGCCCTCTGCTGTAACACCTGCGACAGCACCTGGGACGGGTGGAGCACCTGAGGCAGTGCCTGAAGCTGCACCTGGAGCACCTGGGAAGGCGGCTGAGAAGGCACTGGCAGCACATGCTGCAGAGGCCGCTATGGCCAGAGCGCCTGAGGGGGAGAGAGCAGAGGAGACAGCAGAGGTGGCCGCTGCTGCTGCCGCTGGAGCTGTGCGCGCAGTGCAAGGGATGGGTGGCGGTGAGGGGGGTGGTGAGCAGGGTGGTGAGGCGGGAATGAAGCCTACAATTGAGCCAAGTCCAGAAGCTGCCAAGGTATTTTTTTCCATTTTGATGAAAGTTAATGGAAACATTGCGTTCTCTTCCCGCTTTTGCATTCGCACTTGCTTGGTCCAACCAAAGTCTGCTTGCGGCGCTTCTTCCTTTTGTTGCCCTCCTGTATTTAACAGAAGTGCTGTCACATTTTTTTGGTGCATTTTGCCTTGGGCTGGCTTGATCAGGTGTCAGAGGAAGGGGAAGGGGAAGCAGGGAAGAAGCATCGTCGCCGTTATCGTCGCAAAAAGAGGCCTGAAAGGGCTGAAGGGAAGAGCAGGTGCAAGATTATGTGACTGTAGGGGAAGGGGGATTGTTTTCTTTGGGAGTAAGGGTGGGGACATGGCTGGGGGGTTTGATTAGGTTTGTTGTCCTGATTTACCGGTAGATACTGTATCTAGGTGTACCATAGTAACTTCCGAACCTTCCGTCTTGGAGGATTCACTAATAATGGCATGAATGTGTGCTACATGTTTGTGCTGCGCCAAAGCTAGCAATCATTCTATGCATGTTATGAACGGTTATGCAATCATTTTATGCATGTTTGTGAAAAATGTGATGACGATTGTCAGCTAACTGATACTTCTGTCATCAAACCGTCTTCCGTTCCGAGTCTGCTTGTACCGCGTCTGTGCATTCTCACAGCGCGCGTACACCCATACATATTTTCGGGACATAAGGACGTCGCATCGAGCTGTACCGAGCGGAGTCGCATAACACTTCGCGAGTTTCTGTAGAAACTCGCGGCGGGATTATCCACAGAAACAGCACCGCTCATGCTGCAACCAACCATGCTCCGATCGCTAAAGCTCGCTCGTCACGCCGCGCGCGCCGCTTTTCGGCTTGTCGATTCCGCAAGCGCGCGCTCGTCCGCGTTAAAAGCCGCCGCAATAACCGTTAGAGGTTATTCGTCGGCGGAGGCAGACAGCGAGTATTGGAAGCACGTGGCTAACTCCGTTCCGCGCGGACCGGGATCCGCGGAGAGCGCGGCGGCGGAGATCATCGAGCGCAACCTCGTGCGCGGACCCTCCGCGGAGGAGCGCAGCCCCGCCGCCGTGCTGACGTCACGGCGGGAAGCGCTGGATCTGTGAGTAGCTTGAGGGGAGGGGAGAGGGAGGGGGGGGAGGGGGGGGAGGAGGCAGCTGGGAAGGGTGGGGCGGGGCGGAGCGTGAGTGAGAGGAAGGCTAGGCGGTGGGCAGGAATGTCTACAGGGGAGAGCATCCTAGCTACACAGCAGCTCCTCTGATGCAGTTTTGAGTGTACTAAATAATCACAGCCACTTGTAAGGCACACTCATTGCTTCATCCTTGTGTCGTGCCGCCCTCATCTCCCTGCCCCCCCTCTCCCTTCCCCTCGCCTCCGATCTGCTCCGTTCCTTTCCCCCACGTTCACCCTGCTCCGATCCCCCGCGTCCGATCTGTTCTGCTCCTGATCTCCCTGGGCCTTCAGGTACCGTCTCGTGCTGCGGACCACGCGGGTCTTTCTCTGGCCACACCCTTCAGGAGCGCTCTGGTACCGTTCCTCCCCTGGTTTTCCTTCTCCTGCGCTTCCCTCTCCTTCTCTCTCTCTCTCTCTCTCTCTCTCTCTCTCTCTCTCTCTCTCTCTCTCTCTCTCTCTCTCTCTCTCTCTCTCTCTCCCTTGCCTCCCCCCTATTTTCCTTCTGCACGCGCTAACCCCTCTTATCACGTACACATGCCTGTTGTGCCGCTGGAATCATTTCTCTTTTCAACACAAAAGGTACTCTTTAGCCCAATGCTTAATAGCACGAGCGTCCCCTTATCAAGACCTATTTCAGTGCTGTTCTTAAAGCTTTAAGCCCAGCATCTACCGTATTCCAACTGTCTCTCCACCTCAAACTTCAAGCTTTCCTCATCGCCTGTCTCTGCTGATGTTTCCCCGTTTTCTTCCCGGTTTCTCTCCCCTGTTCTTCTCCCCCGCACGGCCTCAGGAGGGATGTGCTGCGGGAGAGTGCGCGCAAGGAATTCGAAGCTGCGAGATTTGTTTCCGACCCTGAAATGGTAACGTCAGATCTAAAATGGCAACGGTTTGTTGATCCATACTGTGTCCAATAACCATTTTCTTCCCCCCCTCCACGTGCTTCCACCCTTATCCACTTGCACGTCTTATTTTGTTTCTCGTCTATTTCCTTGTGGATGAGAATACAACACATTATAAAATGTATTACACCTCCCACGTCTTTTTTTCTCTCTCTCTCTGGTGTCCGTGAATTTGGTACATCATGACCCCGTCCCCAACTACCCCCCCTCTCTCTCATCTCAGATAGCGCGACTGCTAGTAGGAGGTCGGGATGCCATTTCCGTTGTTGTGGATAAGGTCAGCTACAACAACTGTTCCTTCTTTGTTATACCATAGGGCGCTTCAACTCTCCACTCTTTGTTATCGCTACAACAAGCTGGGAATTAATTGCCCCCTCGCTTGCGCGTCTCCTCTTTCCTCCTCCCCAACGCCCCTACCCTGCACCGTCCCTGGTGAAGTTAATATCCCGTCCTTCTCCCTGCGCTTGTCGCTCGTTCTCCATGTTCTTGGTTCACTCCCCATCTTGAAGCGCTCCAAAAGTGCATATACTTGTCTTGCATGCTCTCTGATGTGTCTAGTTCTGCTGTGTCTACATATGTTGCCATTAAGCCATCTCTTGGTGTCTTTTGAGAATTCTCAAAAGTCATACAAACATGCGTCCTCTCCCGCCTCCTGTGCATGTGTGCTTTTGTGTGTGTACACATGTGCGCACGCGTGCATGTGTGTGTGCGTGGATGTGTGGACGCATAATGTGTGTGTCATTGCATGGGAAGCAGCTAGTGGCAAAGCAGCAGGAGGTGGTGCAGAAGGAGCGGTCCCAACCCCCATAGCCCGGCACCCACCCACTTACACACGCCCACCCACTCACCCTCCACACACGCATCTCGCACGCTCCCACCTTACACGCCCTCCACACACGCACTCATCCGAGCCACTCACCCACACACACGCACATCGAGCCCAGCCCACACATTCCAGGCCCAGTCATGTCACGTGACAGTTGGGTCGCCTCAAAGACTCTTCTTCAGTATAACTCTCTATTTTACAGCCCACAGACATGGTCACTGGTCACTGTTCAGGCCTTTCATAGCCTGTCTAGGACTCGCAAGTCACTGTGGAGTGTAGGCAGGCGTCACTGTAGGAGGCTGCATGTATGTAAACCCATGTACATAGTTGTGTATGGATTTGTGTACTTGAATCCTTTTACATTTAGGTGATACTGGTCTGGTACAAATGTTTCACCACTTACGGTGTTTTACTGGTATATGTATATCCTTTAAAGGTGTATGACCACCACTGGAGTTAGGACTGCAAAAGAATGTGCTTACAAACGGGTGTGGAAACTACTTGTAACAAAACCTAGCAAGTATGCAGCAGTGTACAAAAGACAATGGCACAGGGGGTATGGAGAGTACCGTATGAGAGGGATTGTACCGTAGGTTGTACACAAAAGGAGTTGAGTGGCATGGGAGGGACTGTGAATCTGTTATGGTACCGAATGTGATGTGTAATACGCAGTAATGGAAAATGTAGTAACAAGCTGATGCGCCATTGATAATGCACTGTGGGCTGCTGCTGCTGCTGACGTGGCACGTGCCTCGTCTGTGTGTACACGCAGCAACTGTCACCGGGATTGGCCGGTGATGGCTCTGATGACCTGGCAGGGTCAAGCACAAGAGGACGGGCAGGCATAAGGGACGGTAACAGCATTGACGACCCTTAATGACACGGCCTTAAGAGTGGTGTGCTTAAGCAGCCAGCAACATGTGGCAGGCACACATCAGCACGTGGCAGGCACACAGCAGCACGTGGCAGGCACCCAGCAGCACGTGGCAGGCACACAGCAGCACGTGGCAGGCACACAGCAGCACGTGGCAGGCACACAGCAGCGCGTGGCAGGCACACAGCACAAGGAGGTGGCAGGCGCAGACAGCAGCGCAGCACGTACCTCCTCCGTCTTGGGTTGAACCACGGGCTTGGAGGGCGAGAGGGCGTCGCGCATAGGCGGAACGACGAGGGGGAGCGCCATGCCTGGGGGAGAGAGAGCGCCGCGGGAAGGCAGGGGGAGGAGAGGAGGGGGAGGGAAGAAGGGGAGTCATTGGGCGGGGACGTGGTGGGGGGGAGGGGTGGGGGGGTGGGGGGGTGGGGGGAAGGTATGGAAGAACGAGGAAATGGAATGGTGGTGGTATATACAAAAGCAGGTGGCAGGACAAGTTAGGTCAATGGGAAGCAGTAGCGTGTCGCATGCGCAAGGGCGGGTAACGTCAGGAAAGTATAGGTCAATCAATGCAGGACAAAGTTTCGGTTGCTTGTAACGACCGTGGCGGAGTGCTGTCAGAAGCGCTATCTGGAGCGCTTTCAGGAGTGCTCCTGAAAGTGCTGTCCGGAGGGCTGTCAGGAGGACGACACTTTCAACCAGAGCTTCGAGACGTATCAAAGCAAGGCTGTACGGAACGCGCGCTGAGCCTTGAGCGACAAAGGGAAGGACGAGCGGACATGCAGAAGCGAGAGAGGGGCGATTGGATAAGGACATGGACAGGGATAGCGAAGACAAGCAACAAGCATCGAGGCTCGAGAGCGAAAGCTGAAAGAGTACCATCGATACGAGCGATGACCTAGGAGCACACGACGTCTGACCCTTTACGCACCGTTTCAGACGGCCTGAAACGTAATCTGGCAAAACTGAACTGAGCTAGATGAAAACTAGGTGAGGTTCGAAACGTCTCAGAGCAGGTATGATCTGAGCGACACGGGAAGCGGACGCACGCACCGATACCGGCGATGATGCACGACGACATGACGAGAGAATTTTTAGAAGTTTCGAAGCAGGTATGATTAGAGCGACACGGGAAGAGGACGCACCGATGCCGGCGATGATGCACGACCACATGACGACCGGCTCCTTGAGCATCGCGTGCTTGATCTTCGTCCCGATCGCCGACGACATGACGGCGGCTTGTATCGAATCTGATTGAAGCGGATCGAACGTAGTCGCCGCGCGTTAGGGACGAGAGGAGAAGAGGGTCAATAAAGAGCGGACGAAGCCCGGCGCGCAGCGGTGGCAGCGGAGGCGGCACCTGAGATGACGATGAGGCGGTGAAAATGGACGGGTGGGATTGATGGAGGAGAGGGAAGGTGTGGGTGGAGGTGATTCTGGATGGTGCAAGGAGGTGGTGCTGTGCAGGCTGAGGGGGTGGATGATGGTAGCGAGTTCGCCTATCGTTTAGTAACAACGGCTCTCGAAATCGTATTTTCCCGTGGCGACGCTCGCTGGAACTGCAACCCACTTTGGAGAAGAGGGCAGGACCAGTGCTGGCAAAGGGGAAAAAGCAGTGGCGAGATTCTGGGAGCGAAGTTACTATTCCGGCTTTGCGATCGCGAATGCAGCTTGTTTACCCGCGTACAGGACAACTCGAGTCTGGGTTTTGTCCGCACAGTTCCCTCGTGATTCAGGCACATATTCCTTATCGAATATACACTATTTATCCACACGCTAGCCACTGAAACAGCGACCTATGCAGTCGCTTGTTCGATGGAATTGAACGCGGCTCTATATGGTTCAAACGAATCTAACGGGGTTACAATGCGGTGGCAAGCAGACTCTGCTCAAAACTCATCCTTGATGGCATATGAACTGTTTCACAAGCACTGTAGCGTTTGCGTCAACGCCATCACCAAGCCCATGGCGTAAATAGACGTCGACGTTGACGTCGACGCACAGCTGAAATTAGCAGTAAAAATGGCGAAGGGTCGCCCGCGAATCTCGGGGCTGTATATCTACCCAATAAAGTCGTGTGGAGGTATCACAGTTGCCTCAGCTGCGGTAACTGCGACAGGTATGCAACAGGATTGACGACGTGAACTGTCGTCGCCAATCCTGTCGTCATCTGTTGATCTCATTCTCATTCTCGTCCCCACTTCCCCCGCTCCCTCCGCCTGCCTCTCCAACCCACCATTCTCCTTTTTTCCTTACCCTCACCACTCCCTCGTTTCTCAACCTCCTCCCTCCCTCCTTCCCCCCTCTCCCCCCATACCACCCACACCTGCAGGCCTGCAGTGGGACCGGCAATGGATGGTGGTGGGAGCTCCAACCTCTACCTCTTCCGCATCCGCATCCGCGTCCTCTCCCCCTCTGCGCTTCATCACGCAGCGCCAGTGCGCTCGCATGGCGCTCATCCGCACCTCCCTTCCGCCTGAGGCTCTGCTTCCGCCGCACACGTGGGCGCACACACTGCCCCCTGACGCGTGCCTCTGTGCGTGAGAATGGGGTGTTTATTGGGTGTGAGAGTGTGCAATTGAGAACGAGGGTAACTCGCTTAAAGCCATGCTGCTTGGTAAGGGACCGACTGACTGACCGACTGACTGACTGACTGACTGACCGACCGATTGACCGACTGACCTACTGACTGACTAACTGACTGACTGACTGACTGACTGACTGACTGACTGACTGACTGACTGACTGACTGACTGACTGACTGACTGACTGACTGACTGACTGACACACTGACTGACAGACAGACTGACTGACTGACTGACTCTGGTTCTCTCTGTGTTGGGGCAAAAGTGATGCAGAAGTTTCCTCGTCTCGCTACCTTCCCTCTTCCATTCCCTCTACCTTCCCTCTTCCACTCACCATTGAAACCCGTTGATTTCCTCTTCCCTCTACCTTCTCCCCTTCCCCTTTCCCCATCCGCTCCCCCTTCCTTCCATTCCCCCTGGCAGCCATAACTGCCCCTGGGCACCCCCCCCTGCACGTCCCCCTCGCCCTCTCCTGGTACCACGACCAAGCGAGGAGGGGGGAGGGCACACGAGCAGAGGGACGAGCAGGCGGAGGAGCAGAAGGAGAAAGAGGAGGAGGGGGGGGAGGCGGGGGAGGAGAGGGGGGCAGTGGGGGGAATGGGGAGGGTGGGGGGAGGTGGGTGGCGGTGACGGTGTGGGGGTGGACGGGCAGGGCGCTGGATGCAGGGGAGGATGCAGCGCACTGGTTCTCCTCAGTCATTGGCAGACCCGTGCGCCTCGTTCGCTTTGACACTGGTGGGTGGGTGGATGGGGGAGTGGGTGGGTGGGTGGGTGGAGGGTGGGTTATGTGCACACGTGCTTTTGCACGGGGGGTGTGGAGTTTCAGCACTTGTGTGGGATCAGTACTGGCAGGTATCGCACGGTCAGGATTGGTGTAGTTCGGTAGGGAGACAACCTGGGGAACAACCTGGGGGACAACCTGGGGGACAACCTGGGGGACAACCTGGGGGACAACCTGGGGGACAACCTGGGAGAGATGGAAAAAGGGAAACAGCTGTCTTCTGTGTGAGCCGTTGCTTGTCAGTGAGTCTCAGGCAGCAGCTCTCAACTTCTCTCCCACCCAACTCTCTTGCTGGGTTTCAAACCTCTGTGCTTTTCCCCTCCGCTGCCGCCCTTCCAGTCCTCTACTGCTATTCATTCGATGCCTCCATCCTACCCCCCATTGCCCCCACACAACAACACGTCAGCGCATGTGGTGCGGCCTACCAACGCTGCCTTTGCAGAGGGCTTCCAGACGTCCTTCGCTGATGGCTACCCCATGCTGCTCCTCTCCCAGGTGCGCTCACCTCACCCCACCCCACCCCACCTTATCATTTTTTAAGTCGACTCAAAACTCGATGTCCTTCGCTGATGGTTACCCCATGCTGCTCCTCTCCCAGGTACCCTCCCCTCCCCTCCCCTCACCTTATCACTCTGTTGCTGCTGGCTACCGAAACAAGCCTATTCCGAAGGAACCTTGTTGTCAACCTAGAATGCGTTGAGTCGACTCAAAAGCATGTGCTGGAGTAACCTGTTGTTGAGTCAACTTGAATAGCCGCAGACGCTAGACCCCATTCTTCTGTCACGAAGGTGACAACCTCTACATCCATCCACGCACGAGCTGGCTGCAGGAGGGGAGAAGTGGGTGCTCAGCTCAGCTCCCCCCTCAGGCTCTCCCATCACACTCTCCCCTCGCTCTCCCCTGTCCTTCCATATCCCTTCCCACATTTTCTCTGCCCTTGCCTTAACCAAATCCTTGTTACCAACCCCTGCAATCTCCCTCTTCCGAGCCCCCGTTTATGTCTACCTCAGCCGTCGCTCTCATTGCTCAACGCGCGCCTCTCCGACCCCATTCCCATGAACCGCTTCCGACCCAAGTACGACTCTCTCATGCCCTTTCTTCGTTCTCCTTCTCGTTCTTGTGGAGGCACCGCACACTATAGACTCCTCTCCTCACATGCGGAACATTCCATACCATGGAATCAATCCATGGTATTATTCTTGTTTCCATGGATTGATTTCGACCCACGCACGACCTGCCTGCCTTGCCTCTTTTCTGCCATGCCATGTGCTGCCATTCTATGCCAGTTTGTATGCAGTTCCACTCATATCTCTCTCTTCCTGTGCTATGTGTCATCCCACCCCCTCTACCCCCATCCCACCCCCATCCTGCCCCCATCACACCCCCATCCCACCGCCATCGTGCCCCCGTCACGCCATGATGGCATGGCAGCATAGTGGTGGAGGGGTGCGAGCCATTTGATGAGGACACGTGGCGCAGCTTCTCCATAGCACGCAGCAGCAACACAGCAGCAGGGGAGGAGGCGGATGAGAGCCTTGGGTCTGGGTCTGGGTCTGGGTGTGAAAGCTCTGGTGCTGCCTCGGCTGGTGTGTTTCGTGGAGTGAAGCCGTGCTCGAGATGCAAGGTGGGTACACACACACACGTGCGATGCATGTCAGGGGTGGGGAGTGGTGCAATGCTTGTGGGCAATGCTTGTGGGAAGTGGTGCAATGCTTGTGGGCAATGCTTGTGGGGAGTGGTGCAATGCTTGTGGGGAGTGGTGCAATGCTTGTGGGGAGTGGTGCAATGCTTGTGGGGAGTGGTGCAATGCTTGTGGGGAGATGGGTCTGTGAGTGGGCAACGTCAGGTGTCATCCTCTAATCTTCTGAGTCACCTTAAAAGCCATTCTCCATTCTCCTGAGTCAACTTGGGATTCGTCAATCAACCTTTCAGTCCGCGCACGTCTCTTGCAAATGCTTACAATCTTTGCACATATTCCCGTCTCTTTCCCCGTCCCATCTCTCTCTCCCCTACCTTCCGCTCCCCTTTCTGTACGCTACTCCCCTCACACATTGCACTACCGCTCTTTAACCTCTCCCCATTGCCACGTCTCAACTCTTTCCCATCGCTCCCCTCTGCTCCGTTTCGTAGGCGCCTGAAGAATAGCTCCCTCCATTCTGCAACTCGTTCTCATTGTCTCCCTCCTCGCACCCCTTCGCTGCACTGCCACTGTGACAGATCACTACAATCGACCAGCTCACAGCTGAATCCGGCAAGGAGCCCCTTCAGGTACCACTGTTTGCTCACGCTGTTTGGTACCATTTCATATACCGTCCGCGCCCATCCCATGCTTTGGTGTCACTGCAGTAGTGAAGTCTTAGCGAGTGAGGGTTCCATAGGGCTCCAGTTGTCGATACGTTCTATTTGGCAATGTCTTTCTGGATTGGTTTGCTTCAGTAGGAGGGCATCGTTGCCCTTGCAAGCCAGCTCCTGTTTTCTTGGCAGAATTCTCTGTCGGCACCCTCTTGTGTTTTCCTTTTCTCGAACATCCCCTTGTGCACAGCTCTCTTCAATTCTCCCTTGTCCCCTCCCACTGTCAGACCCTCCTCAAGTTTCGACGAGGAAAAGACCTGGGCCTTCCAACAAGCTTGCAAGACGTATTTTTCGGCATGAATGTTGTATTCCAGCCTTCATGCACTTCACACCCTGTTCCGGAGCAACTTTCCCTCACAGAGCTATCAATTGGCGATGAAATTAATGTACTGGCTAGGGACGCTCAACTTGCAACGTTGTATAGTGCGTGAGGCTCACTGGAAGTGAACTCTTCTGCATGTGAGCCTGGTTTTGTCAGCATGACACTAGGGGATGCTGTATGTGTGTAAGTAGGATATAGGTATTCACCAAGTACGAAAACGCCACTTGCAAATAGTCCTCATATGATGCTCTGGGTTGTGCTTTGTGAATTGAAAGTTCCTGTATTAGGTAAACGACGACTCTTGCATCAGCTTCCACGGTCGCCCAGTTTCCTATGGTTGGTTGCGAATTACGCTGAAGGAATGTTTCGCTCGCTGCGCGTCAACAAAACTCTCAGAGTTACCACCTCGAGGTCGTCGTCCTCGATATAGTAAAATCCGTGGTGTTCTGGATGGACTCGTAAGGGGGTGTCCAGCTCGTACATTTACTGTTCGTAAGCCCGCTCAGTTACCACATTTTTTGTTGTAACACTGTATTGAACGTGTCCTGCGGACACAATCAGCTTTCGTTCACAAAACGGCACGCCCCCTGCACGTACCTCGAGTCGTCTGACTCACGTTACTGGAATCAGCGGGGACACGAACAAGGGTACAGCACCGCGTCATGGCCACTACAGTAGTGCCCCATGTATCGCTTGCACAATTTCGCCAGTAGCTCGCTACACTCGCCAACACCCCCCCCGCCTGCACAAAAATTTGTTAGCTATGATTGACGAGGGAAACCGTTACCTCTTTTCGAACCCGATCAGAGCACTGTTCATTCGTGTGGCGGAGAACGTGTCCACGCTCCTGAAATTACAGGAAGGTGGGACTCAACTCACAATGCATTCGTTTATAGGTACAGCGAAATTTTTTGAACCTCGAGACGTGTGTTGGCACTAAAAACCCCGAAATGAACGAACTGGACACGCCCTAACTCTGCGAGACCAAGATAATATCGGAGCTCGATCCAGTACTACTAGGACCCAGTACAAGACTGACCCAGTACTGTACTGTAGTCGCAAGACCCTTTGACGACTTGACGCCTTGGATCTGCCTCACTATCCTCAACTCAACTTTGGGAATGCCATTTTATTCCTTGGCTTTTGCAGGCCATGGAATCCATGTGTCGCTGCTGCATCACGCAGGTTGCGTAGATAAGACAGTTTCTGAGTTCACCTTTGGCATCTACGCGCGTAGCCTCGCTGATCGTGCCATCCCGGGAAGAAAAGGAATTGTCCTACTGGCTTTCCACGGCGGATGTGCTTCAGAATCATCCACCGACCGCTCCGATCGCCTCACGTAAATTCTCTGCCACGTGGACACTCACATCCTAATTGAGATGTTTCTTAGGTCCTACTCCCACAACTAGCAATGTCTCGGTTCTTCCTCCTCCATCGTCTCGAGTCTCCTCTGGCTCTGACTTGCGATCCGCTTGCGGCTCACCGCATCGTCCCCATGAGCCGATTGCTCTAATATTTCAAGCCGAAAAGACCTTTCCGGCAACGATAACGCATCCATTTCAGGCAGATCATCTGTCCGCTTTGTCGTCGTGAACCAGCGTCGTTTAGTGGGTTCTAAAGGAGTGGCCGAGACGTCCATGGCGTCGAAAGCGGTGTCGTCAACGCTGTCGCGCGAGTCAGCAGGTGCGTAGTGCGACGCCGTAGTTCGACTGACGCTCAGGGATTGCTCAAACGGTCGCTTGACAGTTGCTCAACTCACCCCATACCCTTTCCCACGCCTGGGAGAACGCATGTGCATCACCCAAGAAGCAAGCTTCGAGTTGATCTCTCGTAGCTTCTTCTAGCCTTCTGAGAGGCTTTGCCTGCAATTACCTTCCATCATTTTTTCCCTTCTACCATTCTACGCCTTGGTCCCTGTCAACCCTCCCGTGGTCCTCCGCTATCTCATTTGATTTCCCCCCTTTCTCCCCGCGCGACTGCCGCTTCCTTCCTTCCGCATCTCTTCCCCCGCGCAGACTCTTTCTGGGACGACGATGACGACGTGCCAGCGCATCGCACGGGTGCTTACGACGTCGAATCCGCGCATCTCGCGAGATCCGCCGGACCAGACGGACGGTCCGGATTAGCCGACAGCCGCGATGGCGAGCTTGACTCACTCATGCCCGCAGCGGGCTCCCGCTCCGCACACCTCGGCGCAGCACGCGCGGAAAACGGCCTGCGCGCGGACGACTACCTGCACGGTGCAGGCGCGCGCTTGGGGCCCGGCGGAAGAGAAGCGGAGAAGCGGCTCCGCGAGCACGAGATGGAGCGCGCGTACCGCGGGTGGCCGTCGTGCTGGCAAATCTGGGGGGAGATCCTCGACCAAATGGAGCTCGGCGCGCCTCTTTCCGCCGCGAATCTGCTCAGCTTCGCGCGCTTCCTCTTCTCCCTCGCGTTCCTCGGCCGCCGCAGCACCCTGCAGCTCGCAGCCGCCGCCGTTGCAATCACCTTCACTAATGTCACGGGCTTCTCACTGCTCATCGGCCTCGCTTCCGGGATCGAGCCCTTGTGCGCACAGGCGCACGGCGCGCAGCAGCCGAGAGCCATGGGGCTGCTGCTGCGCCGCTCGACGCTGCTCCTCACGCTCGCGTCTATCCCCATCGCGATCATCTGGTCGAATTCCCAACGGCTGCTCCTCGCAGCGGGACAAGACGCGCCGTTAGTGTCTGAAGCCACGACCTTCATCCTCTGGCTTCTCCCCGACCTGTTCCTGTCCGCGCTAGTCAACCCGCTGCGGATTTTCTTGCGCGCGCAGGGTATAGTTCGCCCTGTGCTGGTTGGGGCTGCGCTGTCGCTCGCAGTGCACGTGCTGGCGACGGCGCTGCTGGTCGCAGGGCCTGTGAGGCTCGGCTGTGCTGGCGCTGCTGCTGCTGCATCGATCTCCGATCTGTTCCTCTGGCTGCTGATGCTGTTTTATCTGCATTGCTTCACTGACGTGCCACGGAGGTGCGGCCTCCTCGTCCCCCTCTCCTTCTCCGCCTCGCCTCTCACCTCAGCAGCCGCGGCAGCAGAATCAGGAGTCAGTTCCCCCCGGTCCCCCCATTCCCCCCGGTCCCCCCGCCCTCTTACCTCCCCCACCTCCCCCGCCTCCCCTCTCTCCCCCACGCGCCATCTCTCCGCGCGCCCCTCCTCCCTAGCGCAATGGGGCCCGCTTATCCGCATGTCTCTCCCCGCCTGCGCCACCATATGCCTCGAGTGGTGGTGCTACGAGCTCTGCATGCTCCTCTCAGGCCTCCTTCCAGACGCCACGACATCAGTTGCCGCCCTTGCCATCCTCTTCAACCTAGATTCGATTCTCTACTCGCTCACTGCCGGCCTGGCTGCCGCAGCAGGCACCAGAGCAGGGAACCTACTAGGCTCGGCATTCCCGATCCTAGCGCGGAACGCGGCACTAGTTGCCCTGGGCTGTTCTTTAATGCTGGGTATTACCCAGCTAGCTGTTCTCTGGGCGGCTAGAGAAGCCTTAGGCCACGTGTTCACCTCAGATGCGGCTGTGCTTGAAGCTGTCACTGCGCTGCTGCCGATTCTAGGGCTTCTTGAGGTTTTCAATTCGGTGCAGACGGTCATGACAGGGTTGCTGAGGGGTTGTGGGCGGCCGGACGTGGGGATGTATGTCAATCTGGGAGCGTTTTACGTCCTCGGTTTGCCATTGGGCCTTGGTCTATGCTTTCTAGCGGACCTAGGGTTGCTGGGACTGGTGCTAGGGCTGCTTGGGGCGGTTGTTACTTGTAGCTTCTTCACCGTTTCTGCTGTGCTGTCCACTGATTGGGGCGCTGAGGCATCAAAAGCGACGGCCAGGATTGGCCCCCTGCCTGCTGCTGCTGCTATTGCTGCTGCGTTGTCACCACGAGGAGGAGGGTTGGGGATGGTGGAGGATGGGAGGGAACGGCATTGGAGAGGGAAGGTGGAGGAGGGGAGGTATGGGGTGGGTGAGGAGGAAGAGGAGGAGAGGGACGGGGTTGGTGAAAGGGAACAGGAAATGGCAGCACTGACAGGATCCAGAGCTAGATCTGATGACCAAGGACTATGAGAGACAGTGGGATGCAAGTCATACATTGAGGTGCAATCACAGGTGTGTGGCATGGTTATGAGGGGTACATATTCTTCTGTTATTTCTGTTTTTGGTCAACGAAAGGTGAGTTTTCTGTCAGCAGTATATGCATACCATTCGTTTCCCTCTCCATGTACCTCCTTCCTTCCTGATTAGTTTCCAGCTATTTGTTTTCTGCCTCCCCTTACATCTATCACTTTCTCCCTTCACATACACACATACGCGCGCACGCACACAGACACACACTCACACACACACACACACACACACACACACGCACGCACGCACGCACGCACGCACACACTCACGCACACGCACACGCACACGCACACACACGCACACGCACATGCACACACACACACACGCACTCGCACACACACGCACACGCACACACACACACGCGCGCGCACATGCACTGCACAACCGTCTACAAAGGCATGACTCCTTAAAGCATTGATTCGGTTCTTCCATTTAATCCTCCTCCCTGTTCTTTCCCCTCACAGGATATAAACCAACAGTTCACTGCAGATCGTAACGGTTGTGCTATGGAGGGAACAAAGTGCAGGTTGCAGTTTGGAGCTGGAAACCAGCGTATTCGTGCACGCAAATAAAACTCGATATTGGCTTCTCCACTGACCAGACCAACCAATTATGTTTGGTTATGTTTTGTCCACTATTCTCAATGGTACACTTATAATCTCTTTATATTCAATAACATTCTGGCAACCTCAATATTGAGTAGGAATGAGGAGATGGCATCCTGATTTGTCAAACCTTGTCAGACATCTACCGGTAGGTTATGTTTCAAGCCTATTGCTTGCAGGTACAGCTAGTGCAATCAATCCTAGAAATCACAGTGCAGCAGTGCCCTAAAATACAGCCACCCGTGTGTATCCATGCCTAAGTGCACATTAAATATCATAGCATCAAGCTACAGTTAGTGTACCGGCTGATTTATCAAAGACATACTGTGTTACACACACCTCGTCATTCGCCTACACAGTTGCCTTATCACCTCACCTAACTCCTTCTTCGGCCAACCACTAGATTCCTTACCCTTACTGGGAGGGAGGGAGGGATGGAGGAAGGAGGGAGGGCGAATAGACGTAAAGAGGAGGGATGGAGGGAGGGAGACGAGGGGGAGCGAGAGAGGGAGGGTGGAGGTAATGAGGGCGAGAGAGATAGTAGGGGGGAGAGAGGGAGAGAATGAGCAAGTGGGGGCTGTATGGGCACGCAAGAGAGGTCGTCTCCCTAACTCACCCCCTCCCCTCCCCGCCATCCACACTCACTCCCTATCGCTACCATACCTATCCCTCTCCTCATACCTCCCCCGCCCACCCCCCTCCCTTCTCCCAACAGGACTCAAAGAAGCCCGCCTTCCCCCCACCCCCCTCCGCACATACCCCGCCCCATCCTCCTCCCCTCCACCTCCTCCTCTGCCCTGTCTTTGCCCCTCGGTCCTATATGTCCTGTCCACCCCATCCATCCCATCCATCCCATCTATCCCATCTATCCTATCTCCATAGGCCATAGGCTTGCGAGTGCCCACAGGAGACACGCTTCCTCTCCTCCTCGCCCCCCCTCCTCCTCTCCGGTACCGGTCTTCGTCGTCGTCGTCATATCTGCCCCTTTCTCCCCCTCTTCCTGCTCTCTCTCGCTCGCCTTCCCTTCCTCTGTACCCTCCTCCTCGTGAGTAATCATCCCCATAGTTATCATAGCGATCGTTGCTACCACCATAACCACCACCACCACCACCAGAGCCAGCTGATTCTATCGACCCTCCTGTGTAAGAACGGCTATAGCCCCCATCCCCAGCATCCTTATCCCCCCGACCACCACCACCACCACCACCACGAGAATACCCATCTTCATCCCCATAATCCCCCGCTCCTCCGCCCCCCCTCCCCCGCTCCTGCCCCCTCTCTCTCTGCTCCCCTGTGAAACTCCTCAACAGGTACGAATCCGCACCACCCCGCCGCTCCCTCTCACCGCCTCCCACTCCTCCGTAACCCCCCCTCACACCTCCGTACCCACCATACCCGCCCCCCTGGCCTATCGCAGCCTCTGCCTCTTCCCTCAGCTGTCTCCTCCTCTCGCTCCTCTCTATTGACTCCATACTAGCCCTTCGCACTAAAGGGGGTACTGGCATTGCACCCCCACCACCACTTCGGTACCCCAATAGGGACTGGTGCAGGAGTTCTGCTCGCATCTGCTCTCGCTGCAATAGGTACGAGCTGCCTGTATTCCCCCCTCCTGCTCCCCCTCCTCCTCCTCCCCCTCCCATGCCGCCGTATTCCCCGCGAGTGTTGCTGTTGCGACCAGCAGCACCACCAGCACCACCACCGGCAGCAGCAGAGCCTTCGTTAGCCCACTTGGGTCTTGCCCATGCTCCTCCCCGTGCCTGCTGCTTCTGTGACGCCTCCTGTGGGGATGCGCGGGTGGGCCGGGTGGGAACATGGGGGTTTTTGAGGCGCCTTAAGAGCAGAGCCTTCGTTAGCCCACTTAGGTCTTGCTCATGCGCCTCCCCGTGCCTGCTGCTTCTGTGACGCCTCCTGTGGGGATGCGCGGGTTGGGGAATGGGAGGATGAGAGGATAAGGGGGCGAGAGGAAGGAAGGCTGCGCACGGGAGGGGAACGGGGAGAGAGAGCGGCGTGCATGACTGGGAACGCGAGAGAGGCCACGCACGTTCTGAGAGTTTTCAGGAATCGTCGAGAACAAAAAAAACGGCACACAAGAACAGCTGGGGCAGAGATGGTTTGAGGCAGCGTGGGTTTGAGGCAGCAAGGCAGGAACGATAAGAGGAAGAAGCAGCAATACTAGTTGGCGCAGTGCTGTGCTTGATCTTTAAGTCGCCTCATCAGAGGCATTGCTGTGCTAGTGTCACACTGTAAATAGCCCCTCTGATTCAACAACTTCACATAACTCTCAAGAGTCTATTACGCTTTCATGCCGTGCTTGCCTCGTTACTGGATAGCCTATCTGAATGACTTTGCTGCTGCACTATCATCACATGTACATGCGTGTTCACATGTGCATGCATGTTCACGTGTTCATGCATGTTCACATATGCATGCATGTTCACACGTGCTCATTTTCTCAGGCACATGACACCACGAAGCCCATTGCTTTGCACTGAGGGGCAGGCACACTCACCATGCGTCGTTGCCTCTCCGTCTGCCCCGTGAGCGCCCGCTGCAGCTCCATCTCCTCCATCCCAAACACGCCTCTTGCATTCAGCCCCGTGAGAGTAGGGGCCATCTAACAACCACTTACCATTCAGTTCAACTCCATGCATCGCACATCGCATAGCACAGACTCACCATGCGCTGACTGTTTAGTCGACTCGAAAGTCAACCCAATCAACTCAGTCAACACAGATCACATAGCACGCACTCACCATGCGCTGCCTCTCCGTCTGTCCTGTCAGTGCCCGCTGCAGCTCCATCTCCTCCGTCTCAAATGCTTCTGCTCTCCTCCTCTCCCTCCCCCCTCCTGCTCCTCCCCCCGACCCCCCTCCGCCTGCCCCTCCCCCCATCTCATCCAGGTCTTTCATATCAAACCGCCTCCGGTAGTCAACTTCAGTGCTAGACCGATGATAATCCATCTCCTCATCTCTTCCCCCTCCTCCCCCTCTATAAGGCGACCTGTCCCTTCTATAAGGTGACCCGCCTGCTCTATACGGCGACCTCCCTCCCCTATACGGGGACGTCCCTCCCCCTTCCCTTCCCCCTTCCTTTCCGCCTCCGCCTCCCCCGCGGTATGGTGACCCTCCTCCTCTGTACAGTGATCCGCCCCCTCCTCTCGGTGACCCCCCCCCTCCTCTCGGTGACCCCCCCCCTCCTCTCGGTGACCTCATCTCTTCCTCCCCTTTCCCTCCTCTCCCCCACCCCTTTCCCTCCTCTCCCCATCCCCCCCTTGGGGAAACCGGCCACGTCCCTCCGCCCATTCCCCCCGCGCCTCCCCCGCGAAACCCCCCGCTGCTCCGCGGCCTCCCTTCCCCCCCACTGGCGGGGCGGCCGTGGGGGGACCTGGGGGGAAGAGTAGGCGCTCCCCCTCCTCCCCCCCCAGCCGTTCCCCGCCCCTTCACAAGCTTTCCTCTCCCCCATTCCCCCTCCTCGCCCTCCGTTCCGCTCCCTTCATCGCCCCTCTCCCTTCCCCCCTCATCCCCACTCTTCAGCTCTTCATACTCATCTTCGTGATACTCCTCCTCCTCTCTTCGCCCCTCGCCCTCCCGCCTTCTCTCACCACCACCACCACCACCACCAGCAGCAGCAGCAGCAGCAGCAGCAGCAGCAGCAGCAGCAGCAGCAGCAGCAGCAGCAGCAGCAGCAGCAGCAGCAGCAGCAGCAGCGGCAGCAGCACCAGCAGCGGCAGCGCCACCACCAGTAGCAGAGCTGCCAGCAGCACCACCACCACCCTTCCCCCCTGGGCTCTTCTCCCCCTCCTTCCCTCGCTCCTGCTGCTCCTGCTCCTTCTCTGCGCTCCTCACTCCAGCCATAAAGGCTTTTCTAAACCCTTTCTCACCGTTGCTCCTCTCTCCGCCCCCGTCTGCTCCTCCTGCCCCTCCCTCCCCTCCACCTCCTCCCCTCTCGTCTTGCCCTCCTCCTCCTCCCCCATCTCCCCCACTCTCACCACTCTCAACCCCTCTTTTACCACTCAACTCATCCGCATTCCCAACCTCTTTCCCCTCTCTCCCTTCTTTCCCCTCTCTCCCTTCTTTCCCCTCTATCCCCTGTTTCCCGCTCTGCGTTTGCTCCACCTTCTTTCCAAAGCCCCCCTCGCCTGAAGCAGCAGCAGCAGCAGCAACAATAGCAGCGGCAGCAGCGCCAGCAGTAGCGGACCGAGGGACTGCGCTCCGCACATTCACCCCAGACGTTGCACTCCCCGCATTCCCCGCATTCCCTGCATTCCCTGCAGTCACTGCACTCATCCCACTCACCGACTTGGGAATAATACCATGCGCGTTCAGGCCGTGGGAGAAACTAAAGCTGTTGCCGGTTTGGGTTTGAGCAATACTGGCGTTGCTAGCCTCCTCCCCTTGCTTTCCGCCCTGCCCTTCCCCGTTCCCCTTAGCCTCCGCTGCAGCACCAGGCCTGTTTTCCCCTTTGGAAACGTCACTATTTCCCCCCACTCCCGCTCCTCCCGCTGTCCCTGCTGCCCCTCCTGCTGCTGCGCCTCCTGCGGCTTTCCCCGCGCCGCGCCCCGCGGCCTTCGCCGTGGCGGCAGCAGCCGCGCGCCTGGCAGCCGCGGAGACCACGGGGGCGGCGGGCGGGATTCCCGGCGCACCCGCCACTCCGCCTCCTGCTCCGGCGGCGTCCGCCGCTCCTGCAGCAGCGGCGGCGCCAGCGCCGGCTCCGCCACTTGCGCCCGCCCCCCCCGCTTTTCCCCCCCGCCCCCCCGCAACCTTGCCCCCGCCCCCCCCGGTACCAGGGCGCAGCTTCGACGCCGCGCCTGCAGCCGGCGCGCCCGCTACCCCCGCTGCTCCCTCCGCTGCTCCCCCCGCTGCTTTCCCCGCTGCGCCCGCCGCTCCCGCTGCCGGCTTGTTAGCTTGCGCCGACGGCGCAGTGGACGGGCGGCTGATCTCCATCGGCGGAGCGGCTTCCGTACTCTTGGAGCGCGCAAGCAGGAACGGCGAGCGCGACCGCGCAACCTCGTCCGCGCCCGCCTCCCCGTCGGCCATCCCGCTGCCCTTCCGCGTAAGCAGCCTGCCGCCTTTCTTCCCCGCCCTGCCCTTGCCGTCTTTTGCGGAGGAATCGTCCGTGACCACACGATCGACCATCGCGAAGAAAGCTGGACGGTTCAGATGCTTCCGCGACCTCAGCTTCTCCAGCATACCAACGGTCTCAACCGTAGATAACGTCTCCCATACCGAATCATTTACCTCCCCTGCTGCGCCTCTTCCTGGCGCGCCCCTATCCGCCGCTCCCCCTCTTCCCCTCCCCCTCCCCGCGCCTGCTCCCCCGGCTCCCCCTTTCGCGCGCGCCTGTTCCGCCTCCGCCACTTTTTCCTCCCAGTCAGGATCACTGACGAAGATACTAGCCACGCCGCCGCCATCGCTGACGTATTTCGCCGTGTAAGGCGCCCAGAACGCTTCTATAGTCTTCATCTTCGGCGGCCGCGAGCGCGGGAGCCAAGGCTCGGGCTTCGGTAGCGCGTGAAACATGGCCTGCCATGCCACGTGGCACGTGCGTATGCACGCCTGCACCTGATCGCGCCCCTTGGCGCGCTCGTTGAACCCGAACGCCTTCCCCGCGTCGCCTTTCTCCGTGCAGTCGCACAGCCGCAGCCACTCCCTAATCTCCTCCAGCACGCCGGGTAACTTCCTGCTGACGTCAGCCACGTCGTTCAGCTCTTTCGCCAACGGGTCGTCCGTCGCGACTGCGACGATTTTCCACGCGATATTCGCTCCCTGGCTAATCGCCGCGAAAGCCGCGAGCGGCTTCACGGAATACACCTCCCCCGTCCGCGCCGTCCGCGATCCAAGCTCGATCACCTGCAGCGGCCGCCCGTCGAAGCGCATCCCGCCCAGATCCTCATTCGGCGCCGCGGGATCCGCCCACGTCTGCGTGAAGATCCCCAGGTTCCACTGGCAGTTCTCCGCGTAATGCGCGGGGCGGCCGTTGCGCTTCAGCAGGCGAACGGGATTGAAATTCTCGTCGTCCGCGACTTCAAAGTTGGCCCAGATACCGCGCGGCGTGACGCACAGAAACGACAAGCCCTGCTCGAACGTGCAGTTCTCCTGCACGCCCGGCGGCGGGGGAATCGCGCTCGGCGCCTTGGGATCCGCGGCGGGATACGCGGAGAGGAAGAGCGGGATTTCGTGCCAGGGGGAAAAGGCGCGGTATTGGCTGTCGAGGAAGAGGAGGCGGTAGAGGAGGGTTCCCGGGGCGCCGAACTCGAGCGTGGTCCACCAGGGAATAATGGCACCACTGCTCGTTGTCGTCATGGCGGCGTGCGCGTGTGAGAGTGAGACTGGGAGTGAGAAAGTGGGAGTGCGAGAGTGGGAGTGGGTTTGAGTGCGCAGTAGGAATTACTGACGACAACCTTTTCCACGGGTGACTATTGAGCTTCTCGAGTCGACTTAATGTTACGACTAGCGACGAAGCAACGCGCGATTATAAAGGGGCGGCGCGGCTGTCCTGTAACGAAAAGGCGTACTCGAATTAATTATAATATCCGGTTAGCAAAACTGGCGACTCCAGGCGACGGAAACGGCTGGCAAACCTGAGCTAAGCCAGCGAGTACCGGCGGAATTACTGGTTTCGCACATTGTTACAGACTAGACTAGGCTCTGGCAACGCGAGGATAGTGAAAGTAGGGGAATGCACCGTGGTGGATTGTTGAGTACTAAACGTCGCACTGCAAGCCAGGAATCGCGACGTCTCTACGCGCAGAAGCAGGGCAGGCTAAGACAAACCAAAGATCATTAGGCGGCGCCATAACCATGTCTCCAAGCCCATAACAACAGTCTATCCAGAGAACGATAAGACGCTAGTAAGCTCCTGGCAAGTGACGAAAAAAATAGTCCCAGAATGCGGCTAGAGTCAGGAGCGGGGCTTGTCAAGAGTTGGAGCAGCAATGCTGCAGAGCGGACCGAGCGGGACAAGCAAGGCGGAGCGGTCTGGGCAGCAGCTGAATGCATGCTGGCGGTCAGCGGAGGAAAATGGGGTGGCGGGAGAGTGTGGGAGGAGGGAGGGAGAGGAATCCGGGCCTGTGCATGGGCTGGCGATACGGATAATGTTTACTGCTTAGAGCGATCTTGTAAAGTGCTGGAACGTGAGTTTTGTTCAGGTGAGGGAGGGCTCCAGAGTTTTGTTTAAAGCCCAAGACCTGAATTACTCAACGGAAGTCAACGGGAAAAATTAGGTTCGGAAGGCAGGCAGACGGAGGTTCGGTTGGGGTGCGAACCACTTTCACTCGCGAAACCAAATTGCGACAAAAGTCCGTCGCGTACAAGAATTCGAGTGATGGGTGGGGTCCCTCACACAACAACCAGAAAAGGGCGTCCATCCCAAACTGTGCACAGTTTGGGATAGCACGCAGATAACTAGGCATATAGCATACCTGTAGACATAGCGAGGAATCAGAGGCGGCTTACGAATGTGGGTAACGCGGATCTCGATGACGACGCACAAAGATAGTGTTCGCTCGTGTCGAAATGCAGGTTTAGGGTGCAACTGATGCGTAAACTCTCGGCGAATATCGTACCGTGACCCTTCGCCCAAGCGTAAACCTCTCTCCTCGCCCTCGCTTACCCTAGGTCCCACGCTTCCGATCTCTTTCGCCATCGCAGCCGCGTGGGATGGCGCCTCCAAGACCCCAGCCCGATGCCTTCTGGACCCCAGCCCGTCGCCTTCGCTTTCCACGCCTGTCGCCTTCACTTCCCCTCCCCCGTCACCTTCACTTCCCCTCCCCCCGTCGCCTTCACTTCCCCCCACCCCGTCGCGCAACATTCCCCCTCCCGTCGCCTTTCCCGCCCGTCGCCTTCGCTTCTCCCGCCCGTCGCCTTCCCTTCCTCTACCCATCGCTCTCGCTTCCCCCGCCCGTCGCACTCGCTTCCCCTGCCCGTCGCACTCGCTTCCCCCGCCCGTCGCACTCGCTTCCCCGCCCGTCGCACTCGCTTCCCCGCCCGTCGCACTCGCTTCCCGGCCCGCGCTTCCCCCGCCCGTCGCTCTCGCTTCCCCCGCCCGTCGCACTCGCTTCCCCCGCCCGTCGCACTCGCTTCCCGCCAGTCGCACTCGCTTCCCCGCCCGCGCTTCCCCCGCCCGTCGCACTCGCTTCCCCCGCCCGTCGCACTCGCTTCCCGCCTGTCGCCACCACTACCCCTCCCATTGCCGTTCACTCTCTCCATCTCACGCTCTCCCCCTCGCTCACTCGCTTGCCCACCCGCAATCTCTTCTCTCCTGCTCACTCCCCTCCCCCCTGCTCACTCTCTTCCCCCCTGCGCACTGCACACTCTCTTCCCACCCCCCTCACTCTCTTCCCCCCTGCGCACTGCACACTCTCTTCCCACCCCCCACACTCTCTTCTCCCCTGCGCACTGCACACTCTCTTCCCACCCCCCACACTCTCTTCTCCCCTGCGCACTGCACACTCTCTTCCCACCCCCCTCACTCTCTTCCCCCCTGCGCACTGCACACTCTCTTCCCACCCCCCTTACTCTCTTCCCCCCTACGCACTGCACACTCTCTTCCCACCCCCCTCACTCTCTTCCCGCCCGTCGCACTGCACACTCTCTTCCCACCCCCCTCACTCTTTTCCCCCCTGCGCACTGCACACTCTCTTCCCACCCCCCTTACTCTCTTCCCCCCTACGCACTGCACACTCTCTTCCCACCCCCCTCACTCTCTTCCCGCCCGTCGCACTGCACACTCTCTTCCCACCCCCCACACTCTCTTCTCCCCTGCGCACTGCACACTCTCTTCCCAACCCCCTCACTCTCTTCTCCCCCATCCGTCTTCACTCTCTTTCCCCTTTTTTTCTCACCCCTCTGCCCCGTCCACATCCAACCCTCGCTTATCTGCCATACCCCCTCTTCCATCCCCGTTCTATCACAGAACCATGCTTGGACAGGTGCCCACCACCATGAGTTAATGTGATGAAAAGTTACCACCTCCTAGCTTTGTGCATTGTGCCTATAGTCCACTGTTGACAACTTTTATATGCTTTGTTCCACTTCTTTTTTGTGGCCATGTGCAACCCTGCTCTGAAGCCGACAGTGTTTTAATATGAGACGCATAAACATCAATACATGGCATGGTTACCTATTTGTCATACCACTAATCATCAACCATGAAATTTGATGTGTCATATGGTACCGGTATGTTGAAGCAGCTGGGAAGGACTGTACGAAACAATGACAATCGAAGGGCAATCCCCTTGAATATACAAACAGGCGAGGAGTGTACAGGCGTGGAAGGGAAAGGGGGGATGGGAGGATGTGAGGAAATCAAGTAGGGTGTAGCAAGTGGGTCGGACAGAAAAGGCGGCCGACAGGAAGATCGGAAAGTGGCAGCTTGAAAAAAAGGGCGGCAGGGTGGAGGGGCAGGAGGATGAAAGACAGAGTGGGTGGGAGAGTGGTAGGGTGGAGAGAGGCTTGGAGAAAGGGCTGAATGGAGAGTGGAAGGGCGGACGGTACTTGCCACCGACGATGACGCAAACGCGATGGGAAGGGAAGAGATATCAGCGGGGAGAAAAAGCGCAACGCGAGAGATGGAGAAAGGGAGGAAGGGGTATGAATGCGGAGGAAGGGAGGAGGGCAGGAGGAGAAAGTGTGGCAGGGGGTGGAACAGGGGATAGGAGGATCCCTGCACCCTCTCTCCCTACCCCCCCGCCTCCCCTGCCCCCCCTGCCCCGCCTCCCCCACTCCCCTGTCCCGTCTAGGGGAAGCGTGGGCGAGGGTGGGGGGAAGCGTGGGCGACGGTGGGGCGGATGGGGGGATGAGAGGAAGAGTGGGTGATAGGAAGGGTGGGTGAGACGAAAGGAAGATGAGACGAAGGGAGGATGAGAGGAAGGGAGGATGAGAGGAAAGGAGGATGAGAGGAAAGGAGGATGAGAGGACGGGAGGATGAGAGGAAACGAGGATGTGAGGACGGGAGGATGAGATGAAGGGCGGATGAGAGGGTGGGGGGAAACGTGGGCGATGGTGGGGGGAAGCGTGGGCGAGGGTGGGGGGAAACGTGGGCGACGGTGGGGGGAAGCGTGGGAGACGGTGGGGGGAAGCATGGGAGACGGTGGGGGGAAGCATGGGAGACGGTGGGGGGAAGCATGGGAGACGGTGGGGGGAACCCTGGGCGAGGGTGGGGTGAAGCGTGGGCGAGGGTGGGGGGAAGCATGGGAGACGGTGGGGGGAAGCATGGGAGACGGTGGGGGGAAGCATGGGAGACGGTGGGGGGAAGCATGGGAGACGGTGGGGGGAAGCATGGGAGACGGTGGGGGGAAGCATGGGAGACGGTGGGGGGAAGCATGGGAGACGGTGGGGGGAAGCATGGGAGACGGTGGGGGGAAGCATGGGAGACGGTGGGGGGAACCCTGGGCGAGGGTGGGGTGAAGCGTGGGCGAGGGTGGGATGAAGCCTGGGCGATGAGCGGGGAAGCGTGAGAGAAGGTGGGGGAAGGCGCGAGCGACGGTGTCCCCGGGAGTGGGGTAAGGCAGGAGGATGCGTGAGTGGCGACAAGGGGAAAGCGTGAGCGACGGTGCGGGAAAGCGTGAGCGACGGTGCGGGAAAGCGTGAGCGACGTTGCGGGAAAGCGTGACCGACGTTGCGGGAAAGCGTGAGCGATAGGGCCAAATGCGATGTTTGCGGAAAGGCGATGCCCAAGTAAGGAAACGTGGGCGCGCCTGTCAGGAGAGTGGGGAGTGGTGGGGACACGACAACGGAAAAAGAGGGTGGTCGGAGTGGTGGAAAAAGCGTCGGAATGAGGCTGCCACAGGTTCCGCCAGAAGTTGCTGGTGAATTTCGTGTCGCGGTCGCTGATGATCGCTGCTGGTATCCCGTGCAGTCGAACGACGGTGGAGATGAAGAGGCGTGCTGTTTCTTCGGCTGTGATTGATTTTTTGCAGGTTGCGAAGTGTGCCATTTTCGTCAGTCGATCGACGACGACCAGGATCGCGTCGTTCCCGCTCGCCCCGGCCGGTAACCCCGTGACGAAGTCCATCGTCACCTGCTGCCAAGCACGCTATGGGGGTGGTATCAGCTGCAACTGTCCTGCCGGCCGCTGCCGTGATGATTTCATGAGCTGGCAAGTGGGACACAATGCCACGTGTCGTTGTACGTCGGTCAACATCTCGGGCCAGTAATAGTACCGCTGCAGCTGCTGCCATGTTTTCTCTACTCCGAAATGCCCCGAGGTAACTCCGTCGTATGCCTCCTGTAACAGTAATTCCCGTAGCAGTGTATACCCGGGCACCCAGATGCGGTCGGTCCCGGCTTTTACGTAATAGACTCCCTTTGCTGCTGCGAACTGCTGCGAATTTCCTCCTGTGAAGAATGGATCCGTTTGGTACCCGTGGGTAAATAGGCCTGTTAGTAGGGGGCTGGTCTGGGCGAGTAGTATTTGTGAAAACAAATGAGGAATGGAAGAAAAGGGGTTGCACTAGCAGCAGTTGGCATACATATAGGAAACCCTAATTGGGTTGTACTCGCTATAGAGTACCCCACTGCAGGCTAGACAATTATAACATTCTGACAGTATTGCATGGATCTGGGCAGTGGGGCGGGTCAGTGCGTCGGCGATGTTTGAGGCTCCCCTTTTGTAGGTGACCGTGTAGTGAAAATTGGACTCGAGAAAATCGAGCCAACGAATCTGTCGTGGGTTGAGGTGGGGCTGTGCACGGAGGTACTGTAGTGATTTATGGTCTGTCCGTACTGTCATCTCTGCGCCGGTCAAGTAACAGCGCCACACTTTGAACGCGTGCACGATCGCAAACATTTCGCGGTCGTGTATCGGGTAATTTTTCTCGGGCGGATGCAGTTTTCGTGACTCATATGCGATGGGCTGTAGGCCGTTGCCGAAGTCCTGTAGCAGTACGGCTCTGATGGCGATGTCACTTGCGTCGGTAACTACTTCGAATGGGCGATGTGGGTCGGCGATGCGCAGGACGGGTGGTGAACAGAGAACATTTTTCAGGGCAGAGAAGGCAGCATGCTCTTTCTCCCCCCACGTAAAAGCAACCCCTTTCCGTAACAAGTCCGTCAGCGGCGCTGTTAACCGTGCCATGTCGGGGACGAACCGACGCACGTAATTGACGAACCCCAGAAAGCTCTGTAGTTCCGTAATATTCGTCGGGGGGTGCCAGGCTTTGACCGTGTCTAACTTCTTCGGGTCAATTTCGACCCCAGCCTCCGAAATAACGTGCCCCAAAAACTCTAGCCTGTCCTGAAAAAACTCGCACTTGGAACCCTTGGTCAGTAGCCGATGCTCGTCTAAAATCTTAAACCCTGCTTCCAGATCTGCTAAGTGCTGCTGCTTGTCGCGACTGTAGACGAGGATGTCGTCGAGGTAAACTATCACGCATTTATCTAAAAGTGGCCTAAACGCCTCGTTCATGGTCATCTGAAATGTCGCGGGTGCGTTGGTCAGCCCGAAGGGCATCACTGTGTACTCGAATGACCCGTACCTAGTCTGGAAAGCTGTTTTGGCGCAGTCCGATGGTTCGACCCTAATCTGATGGTAACCTCTGTGAAGATGGTAAGCATAGTTAGGAGCCATAGCTAGGTAAGCCCTAGCTAGGGAAGAGAAGTTTAGGGAAAAGAGGTGGTTTCACTAGCAGCAATGAGGATACATATAGCAAACCCTAGATGGGTTGTACTCGCTATAGAGCACCCCACTACAGGCTAGAGAATAACATTCTGACACACCCCCATAGCCAAAGTGGGGTGTAATCAGTACAATGAGCAAGCAGGTATAGAGCAGGAGTTCACAAAGGTAAGCAAAGCTAGAGCTAATCACAGAGGGCAAGTGAGGAGGAGGAGAGACTGTGGAGGGAGAGAAGATGGGAGGCAACGACTGAAGCTGCAGAGGCACGGGCACAGGAGCGGCTGACTCAGTGGCTACCGAAGCAAGGGCGACGGACTACTGGAGTGACTGGCTCCGCGGCTATAGACGAGCGGCAGGAGCAACAGACCCACTGGCGACTGGTGCAACAGGCTCACTGGCTACCGAAGCAAGGGCGACGGACTACAGGCGCTGCAGGCTACAAGACAGCTACCTTCACACAACCTCCCCCAGCTGCCCCACGCCCCTCTCACACACCCCCTGCTCAAACCCTAGCTCCACTCCCACAGCACCCCCCTTAAACCCTAAACCCCAGGCTCCCACACATCCACCCCCCTCAGCGACAGCTGCAGCAGTGGGAGACAAAGGAGGAGGAGGAGGAGGGGACGGCGCACACAACCGACACCCCCACAACCGCCACCCCCACACCCCGCACCCCCAAACCCTAAAACGGGTGGGACGGGGAAGGAGCGCGGGGGACGGCGAAGGGAACGGCGCGCGGCCCCCAGGGCGCCACCACGGGGCAGCGAGGGGCCGCGCGCGGCTCCCCAGGGCGCCGCGAAGGGGCAGCGGGAGGGCGGCGACGGGACCGCAGAGGGCGGCGACGGGGCCGCTGCGGGCTGCGACGGGGCCGCGGAGGGCGGCGACGGGGCCGCTGCGGGCGGCGACGGGGCCGCTCCGGGCGGCGAAGGGGTCGCAGCGGGCGGCGACGGGGCCGCCGCGGGCGGCGACGGGGCCGCTGCGGACGGCGACGGGGCCGCTGCGGGCGGCGACGGGGCCGCTGCGGGCTGCGACGGGGCCGCTGCGGGCGGCGACGGGGCCGCTGCGGCGGCGACGGGGCCGCTGCGGGCGGCGACGGGGCCGTAGAAGGCGGCGACGGGGCCGCTGCGGGCGGCGACGGGGCCGCTAAGGGCGGCGACGGGGCCGCGAAGGGGGGGGGAGGGGCCGAGTGGGGGCCGCGAAGGGCGGCGACGGGGCCGTGAAGAGTACGCTCCTGGCCGAAGGGCAAATCGCCGCGCGCATGCGTCGCACGCCACGGGGCGTGCGACAGATCGAGTAGCAGCGGAAGCAGGTGGGCCCACAGGCCAGGAGCGTACCCGCTCTGTGTACTGCACGCCCCGTGGCGTGCCCCTCGCGAGACCCTTAGTGGCCCCTCGCGGCCCCCTTCACGGCCCCGTCGCCGCCCCTATCGGCCCCGTCGCCGACCTTTCAGGCCCCTCGCGGCCCCCTTCGCGGCCCCGTCGCCGCCTTTACCGGCCCGTCGCCGCCTCCAGCGGCCCCGTCGCCGCCCCTACCGGCCCCGTCGCCGACCTTTCAGGCCCCTTGCGGCCCCTTCGCGGCCCCGTCGCCGCCCCTATCGGCCCCGTCGCCGCCTCAAACGGCCCCGTCGCCGCCTCCAGCGGCCCCGTCGCCGCCCCTATCGGCCCCGTCGCCGCCTCCAGCGGCCCCGTCGCCGCCCCTTGCGGCCCCGTCGCTGCCCCTTTCGGCCCTGCCTCGACCCTGCCCCGGCCCCGCCCCGGCCATGCTCCGTCGCCTGTCGCGGCGCACCGGGGGCACATGCACCGCCCCCCCTTCTTTTCCCGTCGCCCGTCGCAGCTCCCTGGGGGGCCGCTCGCGGCCTCCCCAGGTCGCCTCGACAGGCGACGGGAGGGGCGACCTGGGGGGGGGGGGCGAGCGTCGCCCCTTCTGCCGCCTGCTTTGGCGCCCTGGCGCCCGCGACGGTGCCCCTGCACCACCCAGCGCCTGCCCTTGGAGCAGCCGCCCCTGCCCTACCCGCGCCGACCCTCTGAAGCCGCTCTACGGCTTTCTCCCCGCCCCCCCTCCTCCTCCTTCGTCTCCCTGCAGCCGTGGGGGGGAGGGTATGGGGGTGGCGGGTGTGGGGGTGATGGGTGGTGTGGTCTCCCCTTCCCCTCCTCCTCCTTTCGTTCCCACTGCTGCAGCTGCCGCTGGGGGGGAGGGTGTGAGGGTGTGGGGGAGCCAGGGGAGTGGCATTGGGGTGGCGGGTGTGTGGTCTCCCCTTCCCCTCCTCCTCCTTTCGTTCCCACTGCTGCAGCTGCCGCTGGGGGGAGGGTGTGAGGGTGTGGGGGAGCCGGGGGAGTGGCACTGGGGTGGCGGGTGTGAGGCCAACCAGCAGCCGTCCCGCCACCTCTCCTCTCTTCCCCCCTCTGCTGCTCCTGCAGCAGTGTGGGGGGGAGGGGGAGGGGGAGGGTGAGGGGATGGAGGGGGTGACCAGCCAGAGCCAGCCCGCCTCCTCTCTCTCCCTGCTGCCCCTCCTGTGGTCGGGAGGGAGGAGAGTAAAGGGGTGGCAGGAGTGCCTGCCACTTTGCTGCTGTACCTGCTCTGATACCATGTTAAGATGGTAAGCATAGTTAGGAGCCATAGCTAGGTAAGCCCTAGCTAGGCAAGAGAAGTTTAGGGAAAAGAGGTGGTTTCACTAGCAGCAATGAGGATACATATAGCAAACCCTAGATGGGTTGTACTCGCTATAGAGCACCCCACTACAGGCTAGAGAATAACATTCTGACAACCTCCCCATAAATCTATTTTCGAAAAAACCCGTGCTGTTCGCAGTTGGTCGATCAGTTCGTCGGCGCGGGGAATGGGGTACCGCGACTTGACTGTTACCCTGTTGAGCGCTTGGTAATCGATGCACATGCGAAACCCTCCGTCTGTTTTTGGCGTGAACAGTATCGGTGCAGCGAACGGTGACGAGCTCGGTCGGATGAATTTCTTCTCTAACAAGTAATCTAACTGCTTCCTCAGTTCGTCGAGCTCGGGTTGTGTCAGTCTGAACTGGCGCTGTACAGTTGGCTGTGCCCCCGGTTCTAATTCTATGCGGTGGTCATGTGCTCGCTGAGGTGGCAGTCCTTCCGGTAAGTCGTCAGGAAAAATCCCGGGGTATCGTTTCAACAGTTCCTGTAGTTCGGGCGGTACCGCTGCCAGCAGTTTCTTGAAATCACTCGGCTGCTCTGCTCCCTCTACCACTGCAATGTCTACTGCGTACACGTCAGCCCCAGCAGCGACAGCCCGTTTCATGGTGACGGCATTGACGTGTACCGTTGAAGACTCGGGCGACTGCCAGCGAGGTAGCTCAACCCAGTTACCGCTACTTCGCAAAGTGCAGCTACCCGTCGTCCAATCAATTCGTGGGTTATACCGTCGCAGCCAATCACGTCCCAGTAAAATGTCGTGCCCATCTAGTGTCGTCGCGAGCATTTCCTGTGTAAATCCGAAATTTCCCCCGCAACGGACTTTGACTCTCTCCACCCTTTCCCGTATGGCCAGTGGCGTGCCGTCAACTAAGCGTGCGTCTATCTCAGGTAAACAACGGCTAAGTGTCAGTTGCAGTTTTCGTGCGGTTGCGGTATTAACTAAACTGTGACTTGCTCCTCCGTCGATAAAAATCTTCACTGCTGCTCCTTGTATTTTCCCGTGGATCAGTACTGGGCAATCCGTCGCTGTACCCTCCTTATTCGTCCGAGCCCGATCGATAGCATGAATCGGTACTGTGACTCGGTGAGGTTCGGTGAGGTTGGGCGAGCAGGCAGTCTCGTCAGTACTTGGCCCGATTCCTACTGATTACTGGCGTTTCCCTGCCTCGGAGACTCCCTCCCCTGCTCTGCTCCGCGGCGCCTCAGCTCCTCTGGGCATTCACTCTTACGATGGCCCGGCCTATTGCAAGCAAAGCACTGCCCCTTAAACGGCGCAGCAGCTGCATTCGTCGCAACGGCATGTACGGTGGCGTGCTCGATCGGTCCCCGAGGGCGATGTCCATAGTAGGACCCCGGTCTCGGACGGCGCAAAATGTCGATTTTCTCGGCGAGCGCGAGAATCTCGTTGAAATTCGAGAGCCCGCGTAGCATGATCTCATGCGAGATGTCTGGCTTCAGCCCTTCGACGTAACGGTCCACCCGCTCCGCCTCGTGCATGTAGCCGACTTGCTCGCATAATGCGAGAAAACCGCTCGTGTAGTCTTGAACCGACCCGAGCTGCCGCCAAGTGCGCAGTCTCTGACGCGCCGAAATAGAAGCCGCGATTGGCTCGAAGCGCGCCCGAAGCCCTGCGCACCACGCATCCCACGTGCTGTACTGGGCGGTTTCGCAGAATGAACTCCAAGTGACAGCTGGACCCGTGGGCCCTTCCTCTTGCGACGGTGGCTCGTAGGCGCGTGGCGACGTCACGATGACTCGCCACCAGTCCATGGCGGGGCCCCTTAACAGCGAGACGGCGTATCTGATCTTCGCTGCGTCCGACTCGACGTAGTTTGCGTCGAAAAATACGTTCATCGTGAAGACCCACGACTGAACCGTCGGACCTCCACGCTGACTTGGGTCGAAACAGGGCGGGCGTTGCGGCTTGAGTGGTATTGGTGCCATGATGGCCTGGTCGCCACTTGTCGCGGCGAACTCCACGTGCCAACGGGCTTCACGAGGCTCCCGCGGGCTTAGCGCGACCCTGTTTCTCCCCATGCCCGGCATTGGTTGGGTGGCGCCATCACTGGCTGCGCCTGAGCGCTGTCCCACGCTGCCATTCTGTGTTGGTGTGCCTGATGAAACGACGATCGGCTCCTCCGATTGTGCAGGTGCATTTGCAGGTGCGTGTGGTGGCGCCGGAGTATTCACCGTAGATTGCTGACGCGCGGAGTCACGTTCCGCCGTGAGCGTCGCAATTTCGAGCGCCGATTCTTCAACTTGGCGTACGAGACGGTCGAGTTGCTCCTGCGTCAGTGTCGCGAGAGTAAATTCGGCCATGGCGGGGGTGTCGGGCAGGCTCAGCGAGAGCCTCTGTCGTGGCCGTGCGTGCTTACGAGAGAGCACTACGAGCGGCGGTGTTGTGTCGCTGAGAGACGTCTACCCCCCCAAAAATTGAGATAGTGGGGAAGCGAAGGTGTGGGTGCGGTCCGAGAAGAGATCGTAGGCTCTGAATACCAAGTGTTATGAGTGCAATTGAGTGATCGAGCGAGAATTGCACTATCGAAGCAAGAGTACAATGAGCGAAGGCATGAGCGAAGAATATATAGCGAAGCTACAGTGGTAACGGTGATGGACTATGGTTGTCGCGCGACGGGCCTGGGACTGAGGTTCGGGGAAATGTCGAAGCGGAGGTCCGGAGCGCGGGTTACCCGCCGAGCCGTGAGGTCGGGGTGCGATGTGTGAAGGTGGTGGGAGGATTGTCGATGCGAGGGTTGCGAGTGGTAACGGTGCTGACTGTGGTGCTACAGTGGTGTACGCGCTGAACGGGGACGCGAAGTAAGGAAAAGGAATTTTCCTTACATACACCTTTCATCCATGCAAGGAATTGTAATTCCTTACTGTACTCGCCCTTTAGCGAGTACATCCCGAGGGTCACGCGACGAACCTGTTCTGCCTAATTCGTCGGCCGAACCACTCCCGACCGGCTCCGCCCCAATCGCAACATCACCGAGCCATCCTTCGCCCGACCTCTTCGCCTAGCCAGGATTCCCCTTATAAATTGCAGTCACTTTCCTTGTATCGTCATTCTATAATTCTCATTCTCGTTATTCGATATTCTGCGCACTCTGCAAGTTCATTTATAACAATCCACATCATCTGTTTCTATTCCACCTGATCATATACATTGGTGCATATAGCAGGCTTTGCAAACCGTGTGAAGGAACCTTTTCCCATGCTGCTTACTATCCGTCCATGCGCGACAATGCAATACACCACCAATGTAGATACCTAATCGGTAAGCTTGTCGCCGATGCCACCCCTTGGAGTGTTCGCATAACGACTACTAAAATATGTGATTCGTGCTACCCTGAACGATCACGATTTTACTTGCAAATGGGCGGTTCTTGCTATATACGATAAATACATACAGCGTCCAACTACTCTGGAGCACAAGCTACGCAACAAAATACGAGCACACTACCGCGACTACAAGTATTTGGATCCCTAGATACTGTCTCTAAACAAGGGAAACGAAAAACATTCAGCAGAAAATTGAGTGTTTGCGTGGTTGTTGAAACACATGAAAAAGCTTTCAGCGAATCAGGGAGCTGTTGCACACACTGCCTGCTGTTGTTGCATGCCTAGCGTTGGTGAGCAGCAGAGGGGAACGAGGCAGTGTGGGCTGCTTGCTGGACCTGCCATTGTGAGCAGTGGAGCATGGGAGAGAGAGAGAGAGAGTTGTGAGGGGTGGAGCACGAGAGAGGGAGAGGCCGTTGTGAGGATTGGAGAAGAGCAGGAGTAATGGAGAGGCAATTGTGAGGAGTGGAGAGCGGGAGTGAGGGAAAGGGCACGATAAAGGAGAGGAGGTACAAATGACACAACTCGAAGCCAAGCAGGGTGCACGTGGAAGGTACACATACCACGCAAGAACAACCCAGCGCGCACAGCATCTCAGGTTGACCAAACTTCAAAAGGCATACGTCAGTACCTGACTGGTTAGAAAAGCTGTGTCTTGATATTTGTCAGCATGCATGCCTTACCAGGCCGTCAAGGGTACGCTGTAACCAAGTGGTGTGAAAGGGCATTGTGTGTACTGTGCACGGGTTGCGCGCTGTGCACCGTCTCGTGAGACTTCTCCCAAGTAACTTCAGTGGCGCGAAACGCTTGGCTGTAAGAGCCGAAGGCTTGCTTTACCAGGAAGGCGTGGGGCTCATGCGGTACGGTACCCGAGTGGTTTGAAAGGGCGCCAAAATTAGGGCATGAGGCGAGCCCTGTGGACCACCTTGAGAGAATTCCAGAGTAGTCCCAGTGGGGCGAAGTCTTTGGTTGTAACTTGTAAGACTCTCCAGACATGCTTTGCTTTACCAGAAAAACGCGCGGCACACACACACACACACACACGACGTACCTGCGAGGCTTGAAAGGGCGTCCAAAGTAGGGCATGAGGCGAGCCCTGTGCACCATCTGCTGTCGCAGCCTCCTCACCTCCTCCTCCTCCCTCTCCCTCTGCCTCTCCTCCTCCTCCCTCCTTGCCTGCTCCTCCTGCTGCTGCTTCAGTGCCACCTGATCACATAAATGCAGGATGGGAGGATTGGTGGATGGGAGATGGGCAGGTGGGGAGTTTACATGCAGCTTGTCCAGGAACAGAGATGCGATTTATGCCTATCCTCTCACCTGCATGCACCCTCACATACACTCACAACTTAATACAACCCCCCTCACACACATCCCCCCTTCGCATACAAACCCCCCTCCCATACACCCCCCCCTCTCACACACATTCGCACCCGCTTCTCACCTGCATGTCGTATGCGAGTCGCTCCACAGCACGCCTGTCTGTGTGCAGCAGCACCTCATCCGGGCATGTGAACTGGGGGGGTCCCTTCAGGTACAGCTCTGCTTCCGGCATCACAAACCCATGCTCCCGCTGCTCCCACTGCTGCTGCTGCTGCTGCTGCTGCTGGTTAACAGTGGCAGACACAGCAGTGGCAGCAGGGGCAACTGAAGCAGCATCAGTAACAGCACCACCAGCGCCACTGCGTGCCACCTGCTCCTCCTGCCTCTCCTCATCCCCATTCTCCCTCACACCCTCCTCACTCGCCCCACCACTGCTCCCATGACTGCTACCAGAGTCCGCACCCATCATTAGATTCCCAGACATGCTGCTGTTGCTGCTGCTGCTCCTGCTACCCTCGCAATTACTGCTGGTACCGTCACGCGGGAGTGAACCAGCACACGCTTGCTCCTGCTTCTGCTGCTGCTGCTGCTGCACCTGCTGCTCTTGCTCGATCGCTCCTGCTCCTCCTCCTCCTCCTCCTGCTGTTCCTGCTACACTTGCTCCGCTAGGGGCAGTGACAGCAGAGGCAGCAGCGCCAGAAGCAGCAGAGAAGAGCTTGACCCGTTTCACAGGGGAAACCTCGTTGGCCGTGGCACTGCCAACAGCAGTAGCAGCAGTGGTGGTGTGCGGGCAGCGCACAGCAGGACTGGCAGCAGCGACAGCGCCCACAGTGCTCACAGAAACAACATGCTGACTGCGCTGCTGCTGCTGGTGCTGCTGATGAGAGGAGCAGGGCGAAGCAGGGGTGGCTGAGCCGGGGAGGGACGCATGCACCTCTGTGCTCCCTGCAGGTGTGCTCACGTATACGGATGTGCTCCAGCCCTGACGGTGGGAAGAGAAGGGAGAAGAAAAAGCGAGGGAGGAGGTGTAAGAAAAATCGTCTGCACCAGCCCTGACAGTGGGGATGGTGGGAAGGGAAAGCAAGGGAGGCAAAACGGATGGGAGAGATGTAGAGAAAAAGGTGTTTGGGATGGTCCAGATGTTCCATATGTTCCATATGTTCCATATGTTACATTCTCAAAGAGAGGGCGCACCTTGGAGCGAGAGGCGTGGGCCTGGGGGGTTTGTGCAGCTATCTTGGTTTTGACACATCTCACAACAAATGTACCACACGTGAGAGTTCTCAAAATAGATCTGAACTTAGCATTCTGACAGGGCGCACCTTGGAACGAGATGCATGGGCCTGGGCCTGAGCAGTCATCTTATCCACAAGCGAGAGCTTCCGCGCTGCTGTGTGCTTGTACTCCTTGAAGCGGGATGTCACCCGCACTCGCAGCCTCCTCTCCCTGCATCCCCCACACCCGGTACCATCATTGCCCAGGCATGCACGGGACAAGCGGGGTCAGACCCACAGGTTGCGTTTTGAGGAGTATGGGCATGTGCATGGGAATGCGCATGTGCATGTAAGCATGAAAATGGGTATGGGCATGGGCATGTGCACGCACCTGGACACAGCCCATTTAGGGGCGGCAGACATGACTGCTTGTGGGCTCCTCCTCCTGCTTCCCCCGACTGCTCCCCCTCTGCTGCTCCTCCTCCTACCACTGCTGCTGCTGCTGCCACTGCTGCTACGGGTGACTGTTATTACACGCTGCTGTGTGCCTTCCTCCTCCACCCCCTCTCCCTTCTCAACCACACTCTCCACCAGCAGCTCTCCACCCCTTCCTCCTCCCCCCACCGTCCCCTCAAAACCACCAAACCCCTCTGCACCCCTCTCTCCTCCACACCTCCCCTCTCTCCTCCCCATCTTCCTCCCGGTCGTCTGACACACAGCGATGCAAGTCTTCTCCACAATACTCCCTCCGGGCGTGCAAGTATGCGTAGACGTCACCTCCACTGTCGTTGCCTCTGTGACCATACCCCTCTCTTGAGCCACCTCAGAACGTGCCTTCTCCACTATCCCCTCCCTAGGTATGCACGATTGATTGGACTGGGCCGACTGGGTAGGCTGGATACACTGAGTCACCTTTACAGTCACTCCCTCTGTAAGAACCCCCGCGTCCTTCCCCCCATCGCTGCGCTGCTTGCTGCACTGCCTGGTGCTGCGCTCTACAGAGGGTTCGACTCGCACGGGGGTGCCTGATACCACCAACAAGGGAGCGCCAGCAGCGGCTGGAGCAGCAGCAGCAGAAGAAGCAGAAGCAGAAGCAGCAGCAGCTCCTGTAGCAGCTGTAGCAGCAGGGGCGCGACCAGCAGCACTGCTGCCGCAGGAGCTTCGAGAATCAGACACCCCTGTTGTACGGCCAGTGGTCGCAGCAAACGAGGCAGCATCAGCCGCTGCAGCCGCAGCACCAGCGGCCGCATCAGCAGCAGTGGCAGCAGCGGCAGCAGGAGGCGAGACGGATTGAGGAGGAGAAGAATTTGCCGCGCTATCCGCGTCTGCAATCAGCACAGCTGTTTTCCGAGCAGCCAGAGCAGACTCAGCATCATCACCACCACCATCACCGTCAGTAGCAGCACCATCACCACAACCATCATACCCATTGCAACCGTCATCAAGGTACGAGTCTGCGCCAAGCAGAGCGATTAGGTCAATCTCCTCTATCCCGCTCACCTGCCCTATGTCTATACTCGCAGATATATCCCTCACAGCCGCCCTCTTTCCTCCACCTGCTCCTCCTGCTGCTGCTACTGCTGGTGCCTCTGCAGAAGCACCAGCGGCTGCTGGAAGGGCCTGTGGGGTCTCTTGAACCCCCTGCTGCTGCTGCTGCTGCTGATGCTCCGGCGTTGGCTGAGAGGCCACCGTGACACCTGCAGCAGTATTAGCATCACCAGCGCTCGCAGCAGCAGCTGCAAGGGCGAAGGCACCAGGCGCAGCAACAGGTACAGGAGCAGTAGCTGGTGCAGTAGCAGCAGCACCAGCCCCAGCAGCAGCAGCACCAGCCCCAGCAGCAGCAGCACCAGCCCCAGTAGCTGGTGGAGCAACAGCAGCAACAGCTACCGGTGCAGCAGCAGCAGCAGCGGCGGGGGCGCCTGCGCCTGGCCTAGCAGCACCAACCCCACGGGCAGCCACTCGCTGCAGCCCGCTACGGGCGCGCAGGAAGTTCCTCTGAGGCACCTTGCTGCGTGCTGCGAAGCTCTCGTCATTGGCCGCACACTTGGGATTGCGGCACCTCACCACTGCTCCTCCCACTCCCCCTCCTGCGCCTCCTGCCCCTCCTGCGCCTCCTGCTGCTCCTCCTGCCACCCCAGCATGGTGGGAATGCTGGTGCGAGGCAGAACACGTGTGAGCCACCACTGGTGCTGACTCTGCTGATGCTTGCGTTGGCGCTTGTGCCTTTGCCTGTGCTTCAGCCACCGTTGAAGAGTCTGGACCAGCAGCAGTAGATTCACTAGGAGCTCTAGCAGCAGCAGGAGCCGCAGAAGCAGCGTAATTCCATCCCGGCTCCTTCTTCCTCTCCACCTTCCCCTGCCTCTCCCCCTCCCTGCCCTTCCTCTCCCTCACCCCCTGCATCACAGCCTTCTGAATACTCAATGGCGCCACAGACCGTCGCCTCAGCTTCGCACCAACACCAACGCCAACTCCTGCCCCAATCCCTACTCCAAAGCCACTCACACCCGCCACTCGCCCAGACACCACCTTCGCTACAATAGCCTTCCCCGCAGCAGGCTTTCTCGCTACAGCCTTTCCTGCCACAACCGTTCTTCCATTGCTGCCGCCGGCTGTTGCACTAGGGCCGGGCGCAGGCCGAGCAGCCGCAGCAGCAGCAGAGGTTCTCTGACTCTCCACCTCTCTCTTCCTCTGCTCACGCTCCCTCCTCTCCCTCTCTGCCTTCTCCCTTCGTTCCTTCAGCCGCGCACCCAAGTCACTCCCCCCAGTGCTGCCCTGCGCCTCTTCCGCGCCCCCACTCCCCTTCTCCTTCCGCGGCAGCCCCAAACGTGACTGCACCTGAATCCCTCCTTGCTGCCTCGCTCCCGCTCCCACTCCCCCTCCAACTCCCCCTCCCGTCCCTCCCTTCACTCCCATCCCTCCCTTCACTCCCTTCCCTCCCACACCATTCCCCTTGCCCGCCAGCAGCTTTCCCATCGCTCCGCTCTCTGCCCCCCCCACCTTCCCCTCCCCGTTCCCTCGCCCCTTTCCTTTCTCCTTCCCCACCTCGGCGCCTCTCTGGGTCTTATCTATCAGCTCTTGAATTTCTGCCACGTGCTGCTTCACCAACCCTACTGCACTCACGCCCTCTTTTTTCTCCGCGCAAGTTTTCTCGCCGTTCCCTTCTCCTTTCCCCTCTCCCTCCACTCTTGTACCGTCTCCCTCGCGCGACGGACTCTCCTGCCTTCCTTTCTGCACCTCACCCCTCTCCACCTTCTCCTGCTGCTCCTTCTTCCCTCCCTCGTCCTTCTCCCCTACGCCCAGCGACCTCTGCATACTGCTGCCGACCGACCTAGTCCGCGCGAGCAACCCTGAGCCGCTCCCACTTCCCACCTTCCACCTCCTCTCCGTCTCCACCCTGGGAGAACCAGCAACGCCGCTTGCAGCACCACCAGCAGCAGCACCAGTGCCAGTAGCAGCGGCCGCACCAGCACCCCTGCCAGCACCAGCAGCAGATTCAAATGCAAGCACCAACGGTCGGACCAGACGACTGTTGCCAACACCAGCTCCTCTCACTCCCCCTCCTCCTCCTCCTGCTGCTCCTCCTCCCTCACCCCATCTCTTCCTCTCAGACCCTCCTGCTCCCCTAGCGTAGCTTGGGCTCACCCCTCCTCCCCCTCCCCATCCCCTTCCCTCTCTCCCTCCTCCGCCTCCTTCTCCTCCTCCTTCGACCGCTTTCACCACTGCTGCCACGGAACCAGGCCGTACCACCGAGCCAGGCTCGCCGAGCCTGGACGCCAGGCCTGGAGGCGCCGAGCCTGGGGGCACGGGCAGCAGCGACGGACCAGCACCGCTTCTGCCAGCAGCAAGAGACAAACCGAACCGAGTAGCAGGCGGCGGGGTAACAGGCGGTGTAACCAAGTCAGCTTGACCAACACTCGCTGCCGCGTACTCCTTGACAGGCGCAGCAGAATCACCACCAGCAGAACCAGCAGCAGAAACAGCCGCAGCCGCAGCTGCAGCAGCAGCAGGAGCAGCAGAAGCAGCAACAGGGGAAGCCGGAGGAGCAGAAGAGGCGGCGGCAGCAGGGCCGCTACCCCCTGGCACCGGTGACAGTGACACAGCCTGCCACCTCCCAGGGCTCTTTTTGACATAGGCGGACGATGCGAGCCCTGTGATCTTCTGACACAGGGACCGCCCAGATGGCTTCGCAGGGGCAGAGGCAGGCGCGGGGGCAAGGTAGGTAGGCGCAACAGCAGGCGCAGAGATACGCGCAGAGACAGGAGCAGAGGCAAGGGCAGAGGCGGGGACAGGAGCAGGCAGGCTTCTGGGGATGCCACCGCCGTTGCTGCTGCCGATACCCTGCCCTGCACCAAGGTTGGGGTTCGCAGCGCCTCCTGCTGCTGCTTCTCCTGCGGTTCCTGCTACCGCCGCCTTGTTATGCTGATTATGGCGCCTGAAAACAGGAATTCCTGTCATACTGCTGCTGCTGCTGTTGCTGTTGGTGCTACTGTTACTGCTGGTGGCAGCACCATTGGTGTCACTGCTGTTGTCACCACACGGCACCTTATTCTCTCGTCCACGCGAAGCGGACGAGGGAAAGGACGGCTTGACAGGCTTGGGCGCAGAATACGCATGGACGTGTGTTGAAGCAGAGGCAGTAGCGGCAGAGATTGCATGCACTGTGTTGGTGCTGTCCGCTGCCACTGCAGGACGTTCAGCAGCAGGAGTGGCAGGAGTGGCAGGAGCAGCCGCCGCCGCAGCAGTCGTGGCAGCAAGTGCAGGAGCTGGAGCAGGAGACGAAGCAGCAGCTCCGTTACAAGCGGACCCGGTATCGGCTCCAGGAGCAGCAGCAACAGCAGCAGCAGCCACAACCCCACCACTCGCCACTCCCGTGACAGCAGAAGCCCCAAAGAACGCCCCGCTTCCGTCGCTGCTTGCACCACTCCCAGAGGCCGAAGCACCAGAGACAACAGGGGTGAGAGCGAACGCGGACGCAGCCAACAATCCTCCTCCTCCTCCTCCTCCTCCTCCTCCTGCTGCTGCTGCTGCTGTGCGTGCTGCAGCAACAGGGATGCCGCCCGGACTAGCCTCGACAGGGCTATGGCTCGGGGACGTGCGGAAGAGCGCGTTATTGCACACCATCATCACTCTTCCGCCCGCCCGCTGCCCCCCCGCGGCCGTTGCTGACGTGGAGCAGCTGCTGACGCCAGGTGATGACACGTCGGACACACGCAGAGAGGTAGATTCACCTGTGAACTGCTGCTCACTCTGCAACCCTGGATACCTCATACCTCCTGCTCCTCCTGCTGCTGGCGCTGCTGGTGCTGCTGGCGCTGCTGCCGCAGCAGCACCCTTCCCAGTGGTCACAGGCGTCGCGAGTGCCCCACCTGCCGCTGCTGCTGCTGCTGCTGCCCGTTCCGCTGCCGTTCCTCCTTGATTCTTCGGCCTTCCACCACCAACACCAGCAAAAGCAGGCGTACCAGCAACAGCACGTGTTCTCTCCGCTGCATCTGTCACCACTCCTAGCTCCGCTTTCCTCGCTCCGTCTCCCACGCGCACACTCGCGCTCGCCGTCGCCGTAGCCGTCGCTACAGGCGTCCGCCCGCCGTCATTCGCGGCGCCCTTCGCGGACGGCGCCGCTTTCTGCGACGATTCGAAGATCGACGCGCTCGCTGTCGCCGTCGCCGTCGCCTGCACCGACCCCTTGGCGACGGCGGGCGACGACACCGTCGCCACCACGCGTCGCCCACCAGGCGACGACTGAATCGTCGCTTGCGCTTCCACCTTTCCGCCGCCTCCCCCTCCGCCTTCCCCTTCCGCCTCCTTCCAGATGGTCGCTTCCGCCTGTGCGCGCGCATTAGCAGCGGCGGGGGGACCGGAGTCCTTGCGCGCGCTCGTCCCCTTCGCGCTCTTCTCGGCTTCTGCTTCCGCCTCGGACAACTTAATTGCGCCCTCTGTTGCGCTCGTCTCTCCCCCGTCCTCCCCTGTGCCCCTCTCTTCCCCGTCATCCGCCTTGCTATCCGCCTTCTCCCCGCGCGATTCCCGCGCCTCCTGCGCCGCCGCAATGACCCGCGCGCGGAACGACGCGCTCTTGAATGGCGCGGAGTTGAGGGGGACTCCGCGCACGCGGGAAGTTGTTCTGCGGGCGAAAGGACACAAGACGGGGACAGCAGTTGTTAAAGTAACGTCGACGGACAGAGAAAGGCAACGTTGACATGACACGAGATGACACGAGACGAAACGACATGACGAGCCAGAGATTACGTCAAGAGATAGGAACGCCGCGAGCAAGAGAAATTGGACCCACGAGCAAGAGTAAGGCGGCGCTATAGTGGTGGTTCATTTCACAAACCGCCTTGTCACTGCCACGGGCACTCACCCGTTGGATTTCTCGGACGCGAAGCTGAGCGAACGGGAAACTTCCGACGACGTCGCACGTGCTGCCGCCGTCGCCGTCGCCGTCGTCGTCGCTGTCGCAGCAGCGGGCGATCCAGTCGCCACACTCCTCTTCCCCTTACTCGGCGACGCAGCCGCAGCAGAAGCAGCCGGGGAGGCGTTGCCAGCAGCTGCAGCGGCGGCGGCGGCACGGGCGCGAGCGGCAGCAGGAGAGGAGGAGGTGTGCCGTTTGGTGGTCGTCTGCTGCTCTTCATCCTCCTGCTTCCTCGCTTGCCTCTGCTTCTCCGATGACTGTTGCTTCCGTTGCTGCGTTTCCCTTTCCGACGCGGCCGCTGCCGCCGCCACTGCCGCTGCCGCATCCGCTTCCGCTTGTTTCGCCGCTGTCACTTCGTTTGACGCTGCTGCCTCTGCTGCTGCCGCTGCTGATTCTTTTGCCGGAGTTGCTACCGCTGCTGGTGCTTCTCCATACGCCACGACAGCAGGCGGGGTCGCCGTGATCGCAGTCAATGCGGCGTGGATAGCCCACGCCGCGCTGTCCCCGTCGTCCGCGATCTCCGCATCTGACGAGCGGCGAGGATCAACGGAAGAAAAAGGACCACGGGGGGCGCGGGGAAGAGAAGGCGGGAGAGAAATTCCGCCGTGAGAATGACGTCATGAGAATAAGGGCAGGAAGATAACGGCAAGAGGAAAGGGAGTGCCATAGATGTTTGTAAAGAAGCACCAAGGATCGACGTGGATCCGAGCGCTGTGGAGACGCGCGTCGATCGGCTGCTGGTCGATCAATGTTTCAGACCTACCACCATCTTCGGTCAATGCTTCGGAGTAGCTCGCGTCGCGAGCCACCATAATCGGTCCGCCCAGGATCTTTCTCAATCCCCAAGGCAAGGAGTAGCTGGTTTTGCCTCTAGACAGCGGTTTGATTGCCTCCTGACCCTATTGTGACCCTCTCGTGATGCTTATGTGCCTCGAACTGCCCTCCTCTTAACCTCCTCTTACCCTCCTCCTGTGCTCTCCATGCTCGTGTTGAGAACTCTCAAGGACCAGCTGGTCTAGAGAGGAGGTCCGACCATCCTTTTTCATCCATTTTCTCACTCTCTCGTGGTGACAAGCTACGAACGCGTGACCAATCACGAACCAGCAATGCGGAGACCTTCCTTTTCTCTCTCGTTCTCTAACTCTCACTCTTTCTCACCCCTAACTGTCGTACCCTCTCGCTCTCCCTCACCCTCTTGCCATCTCACTCTCTCACTCTCTCTCCTCCTCTCTCCCTTCTCCAATCTCTCACCCTGCGCGCCGTCGAACCACGAGTCCCCCGAGTGCAGCGCCTCCTCCTCCTCCTTCTTGCAGAAGTTAAAGTACTTGGGCGCGTGAATGTCCTCATACAGAGGGTCGAAACACGTGGGATTCTTACCTCGGGTCTCACTCTTTCATGGGAACGAGCTGCGGACATGTGACAAATCATGAAACAACGATGCTTCTGTCTCTAGTTCCTATCTCCCACTCCCTCACTCTCACTCTCACTCTCTATTTATCTCTTTCACCCTCACTCACTCTCCCTCAATTTCTCACGTTCCACCCCCAGGCTCTCACCCTGCGCGCCGTCGAACCACGAGTCCCCCGAGTGCAGCGCCTCCTCCTCCTCCTTTTGGCAGAAGTTAAAGTACTTGGGCGCGTGAATGTCCTCATACAAAGGGTCGATATACTGCGATGCTCCTCCGCTCGACGACGACGACGCCGCTCCCGTTCCTCTCCGCGCCGGTGCGCCGGCAGCTCTGCTCCGCGTGGGAGTTCCCGCCGGCTTCATCTTACGGTGTCCGCGCTCGCGATGGCGGGTTTATTGGGACGGCAGGGAGGAAGGGGGCCTTGCTCGTGTAATTGCTGAATGGGATCTGCCTGAAGACGCTAGAAACGGAGCTACGACGGATAGTACGTGCAGAAAAATGGGGAAGCGGTGCTAGAGGATCTGGTGGCCTCAGTGGAGGCCGTTATATATATATATAAACTAACTGCAGGAAGTTAGAAACCACGGGTTGGTTGATACGACGTCTCAGCGGTAAGTGCTGGTTGAAGAACGGTGCGTACCCTTGCAGTTACAATCTATACGGAGGAGGAAGGTCATTATGGTGGAGGACGTACGGCAGTTGGTGCGAAGGATTTGAAAGTATAATAATCTATGTCTGAAGCTACGTAAAGCGGATGGAGCGTGGTGCGGCGAGATGCCGAAATTCAAACTGCTTTACGAAAGGATATTTGAGATTGAACGAGGATCGGAAGATTTTAGGATGGTGAGGAAGTAACGAAGCGAAGGAAAGCAGGCGCACGGAAGAATATAAGTCGGCTGCCGATTCAGTACTGAGTGCATTGCACGTGGATTTGCCTGGAGGCGGAAACAAAAGCAGCTGCACCAGGAAATTTGAAACGGCTGCACTAGTAGTGTCCTTCCACCCGCTTCGTGATAATGAGCTCCCTGAGTTCACCACAGCAGGCACAGCAAGCCTCCTTGGTTGGCATTGGCAATTCCCCTCGAGAATGATGTATCAGTGAGACTAATGCTCCCTGGCATTCCCAAGTGCGCTGCGCGTGTGGATCAGCCAATCTTGCCTAAACAGGCGGAAGGTAGCACCAAGGGGACAGCATCTATGCGACCCTGGGGAGGGGAGTGGCGGGGAAAGCCGCAGATTCACTCCGCACGGGTTGCCATTTGCGGGGAAAACAGTTGGCGCAGAGACGCGTCGCAGCGGGCAATTTTGAGTGAGCGAGTGTGCCCTATCGGGCCGCGCTAGGGCTGCGAATTCTGCTGCAGGCAGACCCAAGCGCGCAGAACACCGATTGGCTGACGTCCGCTCTGACATTCGCGATTTTCCTGACATTGGGTTGGGTTGGGTTGGGGAACCGTCGGTTGGCGGACGCAAGCAAATGGAACAATGTCCTCGAGGGCGGACGGAGTGGAATGCCGAGGGGTGAGGGAGGTGGAGGGGAAAGGAGAAAATGCTGTCAAGAGAGGGAAGCATGAGTGGCTGGCTGGCTGGCTGGCCGTTGATCCTGAAGCTGAAACGGGCGGTGCTGAGCTGACTGACAGGTTTTTCGCGGGAAAGGGTCGAATTTTGAAAATTGTCCCGCGTCCCAACTTCCGCAAATTATGGTGCACCGTTAACTTCGAAAAGAGCCTACACTTGTACTTTTTAGCCTGGAACATAACTAGGATTTGCATACTGCATTTCTACATACCGCATATTGGACTGCAGGGCCCGTGCTAGGACTTGGGGCACCCTGAGGCCTCAGGGCACCTTTCCAGAATCGTAAAAAATGCCCTGATTTGTCAGGGCAAATTTTGAAGCCTTCCTGTATGTTCAGGGCTTTTTCAGAAATCAATCCTGACCTGTCAGGGCAAAAAACCCTGTGTTCAGGGTTCAGATTGGTTGGTTGATAGAGTTAAAGTTGAAGAAGAATACGCCTACACGGGGGTGGGTACGATCCCAGGACCTCATCTATCGAAATTACCTTTCTACTGACTAGGCCACTTCTGCATGGTTGGATGGATGAATGACTGACATGTCGCCTACGGAGACAAAAATCCCCGGGGAAAATTTCCCCAGGTACGGGACTCCCCCCCCCCCCAACAAAAAACGCGTCAGGGCAGGCCTCTGCATTCATCCTGACGCTACAGAGAAGAACACTACAGCCATTCTGAATGTTCAGGGCATTTCATATAACAACATCCTGAGACCTCAGGGTAAAAATTTACACTATTCTGAAATGACAGGGTAAATTCAAAACTGCATCCTGAATTCAGGGTAATCAGGATGTTTTGCCCTGATAACGCGGGGCCTGTTGGACTGGTCTCTCGTGTGCCCTCTAGCACATCCATGTATTATACTGTGTTTTATCTGTGGAATTTTAACTCAAAGTTTCCAGAATATGCAGCATCGAGAATCACCATGCTTGTAGGTGTATGCTTATAACACAACTTTCATATGTGCTAAAGACACGTACCGTATAAGCACTTAGACATTATTAACGGTAGCTTGTTGTATGCGAGTATTATGCTGTATTCCGTCTGAATCTCCATCCTGCGCAAAACTATTGCAGACTGGTCTAGCCAGGGGGTCGAAAAAGGCCACCAAATGTTGGATTCTTTGGTTCAACAGTGGATAGAGTCAAATTTCACATCAAACTCGTTGGTGTGAAGGGGTGGTGTTCTGGGATCTGGCCGAGGAAAGTGCACAGTGTGGCTGGACATGCAATGAGTCCAAACCCAACACTTGCTTTCTTCACCCTGGTTCTTGTTTTTCGAGTGGAGCTCAAGTGATGTGCGTGCTCAGTGATATCACCAGACAATGCATGCGATATACGATACCACAAGTATTGCAGTAAGCATAAATCACAGAGAACAGCATCATACATGGCAGATACGATGTAACAAGCTTGCAGTCTGCAGATAGGAAGATAGTTAAGTATGCACAAAATGCTCTATCACGACCAGCACGCAATAACCCTGGTTAGCATTACCTACCGAGCAATTAGACTGGAAAGAATTGTAGCATAAAGGACAGCGTCAGCCGGTTAGTACCACACACACACACACACACACACGCGCGCACACACGCAAAGTCTCTCCCTTGTATCATAAACCTCAAGCCTTCTTCTTCCCCGCAAGAATGCGAGAGATCTGCAGCCCCCTGCTGAACGCCTGGTTGAAGAGCAGGCGCGTCTGGAACTCCGAAACGAAGGGGAACCAGGCGAGGACGGCGATGGGGATGAAGAGGATGAGCCCAAACAGGTACTCATACAGTACCGCCAGGCCCTTCACCGAGTCCCACATGCTGCTGGGGATGATGGGACGAATTGCCTGTGCGACCTGTTTGGGAAGAAATGCAACATGGGCCAGAGGATAAGGGGGACAGAGTAAGGAGGAGTCACACAATCGTCACGAAGAAGAATTACAGGCACACAAGTAACTGCATAAAAACAGCATAATAAACAACACAACAAAGAAAAATACGATTTAGGAGTGGTTATCACACCTGGAGCATGAACCAGCCAGTGGGGATGGCAGCAAGAATGCAGGCGAAGAGGTCTCCCCAGGTGAAGGAGGTGAGGCCAATGATGAGCGCGAGTGCAATGACGAGGCAGCAGAAGGTGACTGCCTTGATGATGCGGAACAGCAGCTGCAGGTCTGCCCCAAAGCGCCTGCTGCTCATCGACACGACCTGAGAGGGTGTGGGGGGGATGGGGGGGATGGGGAGGAGAGGAGGGAGGAGAGATAGGAATGAGTGGAGAAAAGGGAAAGGGGAGGAGACAAGAGGGGGAAGAGGGAAGTGCTAGAAGTTGTGAGAGGAGAGAAGTCGGGAGGAGGGAGAAGTGGGGGTAGACGAGAAATGGATTTTCTGGGGCATGACTGGTTGAGAGCAGAGCAGCTAGCACCAATCCCAAGGAGGGAAGGATATGAGTGCAGTGCATCCACGCCCGCAGAACCAACAACAACAGCAGCAGAAGCAGCAGAACAAGAAAAAAGTTTATCACCTTGAAAACGATCAGAAGCCCAAGCACAACCAGCCACGATATGCCATAGATCTGCACACAGAGACACACAGATACACAATGATCAGGAAAGGAATTGAGCACAGACTCGGCTAAAATGGGAAGGTGCAATGCGTGGCCCACATTTTCCTAGCCCCCTATTTGATCTCCTCCACCCCACCCACGTGTCTCACTCCCTTCCCTCCCCCTTTCCTCTCTCCTCATACCACATTTCCCCGCCCCCTGTCTCTCCCCTCCCCAAACTCTCCCCTTTCCCTTCCCCACCTCCCCCCAACGTACCAGCAGGCTGGTGCTTCCATTATTGACATCCAGAGTGTACACGATGCCATACTGGTAGATGAGAAAGCGCAGTGACAGCACCACCTCCACCAGCCGCCCCACCCACCCCGTGTGCACCAGATGCTCCTGCTCCTCCTCCCACCACGACTCCCAGCTCCTGTCCCCCTTCACTCCAATCCCCCCATAAGCCCCGATCCACCTGTTCCAATCCTCCCAATCCTCCACCACCTTCTGCCACTCAAACGCCGACGGGTTGAACACAAACGGCGCAAACAGCCACGAGAGGCAGAGGAACCACATGGAGAATGTCACCAGGAAGTAACTCAACCCGTTGCTCGAGCTCGTGCTCTCTCCATAAATCGCAATCACAATCAGCATCAGGAGGAACTCGAGCGCGACCGTGAAATGCGACCGTGCAAACAGCCGGTAGTTCTCCGCAAACTTATCGTGCCGCACCACAAACCCGCGCCCTGTCGGCCGGTACTTGGCCCCCCCGTGCATGATCGTCCGCACAAAGAAATGCGCCTTGGTCCCGAGCGAGAACGTGAAGAACACGGACGCGAGCTGCAGCTGCATGAGGATAAAATCCACCATTGCGGTGCGGAACCCCCTCTCTAGCCCCATTTCCATGAGCATTGGGAGAGCCATGAGCAGACCAAGCTGCACGAGGGCTTGCGAGGAGAGGGCTGACTGGAGCGAGTCGGATCCGGAGATGTTGGCGTTGTTCATTAGGGATCTGCCCACGCCGCTCAGTGACAGGTACACACGGCCGTACAGGAAGGCATAGACCGTCAGCACCACGATCTGCCAGAGAGGGAGACAGGGGGAAGGGGCCGGGGAGGAGGGAAAGGAAAGAGAATGGGATGGGAAACGGGTGATTCTCGAGTCGGTAGCGAAGAAAAAGTCACATCCTCAAAGAAAATAGTATAAAAGAAAGCCCCTTCACAAAATCCCCAGAGAACACTGCCCAGAAAACACGGGAACGAGCAACCACAGGCCCCAGTAACCCTTGCCTCACAGAAACCCTCATGCTCCACTCACCACAGAGCTGACATAGAACCCCACGGTCGTGAAATACGCCGAGAGCGAGCGCATGAAGTCAAACCGCGAACCCACGCGGTAGATATCCCGACTCAGCGCCTGCTCGCCGTTCCCATTCGCCACCTTGGCCTCAAACAGCGAGATCTGATTCAGGCCGACATCTCGCCCCTTCCCCACTTGGATGTACTCATGGTGCGTGACTGCTCCGCGGCGCAGCGTGCTGTTGATGCCTGCGTAGATGTCCTCGCTCAGGTTGATGCCGCGCGATGCCTTGCTCACGCCGCCGCGAGTGATGTGGAAGAGCCGGTCGAACACGTCTGGATGGCCGTAGTGGAAGCGCACTCTGTTTGGGTGGTGGAAGGGGGAAGAGGAGGGAGGGGGGACGGGGAGGGGGAAGAGGAAGGGGGAAACGGAGGGCCAGAGATCAAGGATAAATAGGACAGTGACGAGGGATCAACGGAGATTAACCAGTAAAAAGCTAGCAGCGTAGCGATAGATCTTGAAAAGAGGCAGTCAAAGACGACAGGCAAAACAAGTGCAAATGCCAGAGCGAACACAGCAGGAGCAACCAGCAGCAGCATCTTACTTGAGAGGCCATGCAAGGATCCTCTGTCCGATCGTCACGAAGCTGCTCTCCTGGCACGACATGAACCACCCCAGCGAAGACACCGAGCCCGTGAAAATATGCTCCCGCACCCCCAGAATCGTGGGCGGCCGAGATCCCATGCACTTCGACAGCACCCCTTCCCCGCCCCCAAACTCCTGCAGCAGATTCCGCATTTTGAACGCCTCTTCCAGGTAGTTATCCTGGTTCATGTCGATAGCCTGCAGCGCCTCTCCTCTGGTGAAGATGATAGCAGCGTTCTGGTTCTCCGGCTTGCCCTCGCCCAGCTTCGCCTGCCCTGGCAGGCGCACGCGGTAAATCTCCTGCTCCACGCCCCGGGAGACCTTGACCAGGACGGAGAAGTACTCCTTGCACACGCGCCCCTTCTCCTCCACCTCCACTTCGTCGATGTATGCCACTCGCAGGGCATCGTGGCTGGGGGGGGGGGGGGAAATGCGGAGGAGGGAGGGGCACGTTGGAGAGGGGAGATGGGAACGTGCAAGTGGCAGGGGCACACAGGGAAGTGGGGAGAGGGGAAGGGAAAGTTGAGGCGTTTGGATAATGCATGAAAGGAAGTAACGAGGAGGATGGAGGGGGTGGTGTGGGTGAAGGACAGAGGAGAGGGGATGGAGGCATGGAAAATAACTTGTGCAGAAAGGATGAGGAAAAGAGCTAGAGAAAGTGAGGGGCATAAAGTTGGGTGAAGGAGAGCAGGAACCCCTAGGAAATCAGGATTTGAGAACATGGGAGCAAAAGCAACTCCAGGTTCCACCATTTACTATTTCCCCTCCTGTCCCCCCCAATGCCTCCCCCCTCCCCAATTCCCCATTGTCCCTTCTCCCCTTATGTCGGCCCCTCATCCCTTTCCAGCCCAACACAGCCTCCTCCCTCACGAACATACGTTTTCATAAGCTCGAAAATGTCTACTGCTCGCTGGTCGCCCGCTTGTTTCTGCTGCCCGTACAGCTGGCAGGCGACAACGTAGGTGAACTTGAGATCTGTCACTGCCTCGATTTGCTTCCACGTCGCCCTGCTGCTGACGTCTCCCTTGCGAGCTGCCTGCTTCAGTGCGCGGTAACCAGCCGAGAACTCTGGTGGGTGGTGGTGAAGAGGCAGATGTAAAAGGAGTGAGGATAATGAGGGGAAAGGGGTACGCAGTATGTGCGATGCACAACGGATGAAGGGATGTGGGGAGCACAGAAATCGCATTTGCCAATATGCAAGCAGAGCAAGATATTGGGCTCCACATACCTTGGTCTGTGGAGATGTCGAGGAACGCCTGTAGCTCCATGGCCCGTTTGTAGTACATCATGCCACGCACTGTGCACAGCAGACACAGTCACACAGGTACAGACACAGACACAGCCACAGTCACAGTCACAGGCACAGGCACATGCACAGGCACATGCACAGGCACAGGCACAAAGACAGGCACGGAAACAGGCAGCACTCAACAGGCATGCAGACCGGCAGGAGACGGAGCGAGAGGGGCAGAGAGGAAGAGAGGTAGTGAGACACAGGGCACACACAGTACAGCAAAAAGTACGGATGTAAGAACAACGGAGGAACATGGGCATGTAGGGACACCGGGGTATTGTAAATGTCAGTGCACCACCCGCATTCCACCCCCTTCATCCCACCAACCCCGTGCCCACAACCTCCCCTTCACCCTCCCCCTCACTCAACCTTCTCCTCCACCCTTTCCTCTTCCCTCCACCCATCTCCTCGCCACCCACCTGTGCGCCACAGCGTCTGCCCGCGGTTGGAGGCCCACGCCCTCAGCTCCCGGTCGCCATTCTCCCTCGCCACCAACTCCTCCTCTGACTCGCACCCCATGCGCTCCAAGAAGTTGCTCCACTCCTCTGCACGCATGCACACACGCACAGGCGGGCAGGCAGGCGGGTCGGCAGGTACGCAGGCAGAAAAATAGGCAGGCAGGCGCAGGGGCAGGTAGGCATTGGGAGAAAGGTGGATAACAGGATGAGTGCGAAATGAGTGGATAGAACTGAACCAGGTATAAGGTGGACAAGATGGACAACGCAATAAGATGAACCAGCAATAAGTATTAAGGAGGCGAACACGGTTAACTGACTGTAAAAAACCGAAGGAGCTTCAAAGGCACTTCGATATAACTTGGGGATGTGGGAGGGGAGGAGGTTGGGGGGAAATGATTGCACGTACAAGATGCGTGAAAGAGAGAGCTCGTGAGCTGCAGCTCAAGCTAAGCCACCTGTGCATACTCACCCGGGTAGATCTTCTGCAGGTAGAACAAGATCGACACGCCGTCCTCATTCTCCTCGTTCAGCTGCCTCGCTCCATACATCACATCCTCCGAGTAGTACGGCGTCAGCACGCTGAACGACGGCATGAACCGCACGCGCGGCGCATGCGGCATGTCCATGAACAGCGAGTTTGTGAAGAAACAGATCCTCCTGCGCGCCTCAGGGTTCGTGGGGACGTCCATTGCTGCTTCCCTGCACGTCAACAGCAGGAGAAACCGCTTCACTTGCTCGCACCAAGCCGGGGTTTTAGGGGGCGGATACAGCACCCCCACTCTCCCCGCTCCCTGGTTCTTTGCCCCTCCAGCAGCAGCAAAGAGCTGGACTGTGCGTGCTTCTGAGAGGGGTCCCCCATGGGCGGACATGGCTTCTCGCATGGTTTGAGAGATCAAATCACAGGTGAAAACTTCGAACAGATCTTGTAACCCTCGGATCAGCGCACTCTTCCTGTCCTTCTCCTCCTGACTCCCTGCCACCTTGCCCCCCCCGTTGCCCTTACTGCTCCCTGCCTCCTCCTTCTCCTTCTCCTTCCCCTTCCCCTTCCCATCCGGAGACCCTCCCCCTCCTCCTCCTGGAGTACTGCCAGTTCCCGCCGACCCCGGTGTGGCGGGGCGGCCGGCAGTCTTCTTAACCCCATCTGCCTCGGCAATATCAGCCAGCAGCTGCACCAGCTCCACGACACTGGTGATGAAGGCAGGGAGGGCCTTCATGCGCAGCACAGTGAAGAGCGTGCCGTTGTCTATGTTGCGCTTCACCTCCTTGAGCAGCCCGTTCACCACACTGCGAGTAAGGTGGGCAAGGCAGGGGAAAAGGGGGCAAGAGGTGAGGGGTACGGAATCGAGTTTTCAGACGTCTCTAGTGTGAGTGTGTGCATTGAGGATGTGAGTGAAGGAAGGGAAGGCGCTTTTTCGCCTTGAGCAGCCCGTTCACCACACTGTGAGTGAGGTAGGAGAAGAAAGGTGAGGATGGGTGGAGAGAACCGCGAGGGAGTGACAGAGAAGGAAGGCTAGGGAGGGGGGAGGCATGAGGAGCAAAGGATGCACCAACACAACCTCCCCTCACCCAGTGCACTATCAGCGCTGCTTACAATTTCTCGTTCTCCCCTATGAGCAGGGTGGTCAGGATGTGCTGCAGCGTGGCAAAGGCCTCTTCGACCGCAAAGCGCATGTACGAGTCTGCGGAGATGCGGTGCCACACATCGCTGTCGCGCCCCTTGGCGCCCTTCACTGCCATCTCCACTGCTCGCGGTACCTGGAGAGGCACAGAGAGGGGCACAGACAGGCAGAGACGGGCAGACAAGTAGCATAAGACGGGCAGACAAAGTCGAGTAAGAAATTTCCTCAGATATGCACAGACGTGCAGAGGTAACGTTTGGGAGTGAAGAGGTAAACGTCAGACGTGAAATATCTTGAGATGGGTTGGGGGGAACATGGATGCCAGCATGTACGTATGCTATGCTAGCGCGGATGTAAGGCGGCCACTGGATGCTGGATAACAAAGGAGGAACGGCAGCTACTAGAATTGGTACCTTGCTGGCGAGGAGGAAGGGCGGCCATTGCACGATGGAGAGATCGCCAGAGGAGTAAGGCACCATCATGAGATCCATCTCCCTGCCATGGGCACACACGGGGGGCAACAAACACGAGGTGCCGTTTGGTTCGTTCAATGTCATAGTGCGGTGGGCACGCACAGGACCAGAGGCACCAAGTGGCATAGTCAATCGAGCAAACCAGGCAAATCCGATTGACAAGGAAGCAGTCATAACACAACATTCAGCGTCTCAAAGAGCTGGTGCACAGCAGATCAACTCACCAGCCCACACTCCTTACTTGAACCAAGTGTCAGCCCCAAGCTCACCAAACCACTAAACCACGCACCACATCCCGACCATCATCCTCTCCAGCCCACACTCCAACTCCCACTCCCGCTCCCACGTTCACAGTTAAACCCACGCCACCCACCTGTTGCTGATCAAATCCTCCTCCCTGAAGCTGACAATGACTTCGTTCCACAGCTGTGCAAAGCGCGCAGCCTCCTTGGTGTTCTTGTCAGGCTCACGGTACGTGCGGGCGAGTGAGAAGGCACTGCGCTGCAGGCGCTGCGCTGGCACCAGGTTCGCGTTGAACGCACCAGGCAGCGAGCGGAACCGCTGACGCAGCATCTTCAGGTTGCGGATCTGAGTACGAATGGAGGGAAATGGGGAGGGGAGCAGGGAGAAGGGGATGGAGAAGTGTGAAGGGGATACGAATTGAGGGAACGAAAGGGGTGGAGGGAAGGGAAGGGAAGGAAAGGATAGGGAAGGGCAGGGAAGGCGTGGGAAATCAAGAGCAGAAATGCGGCGCCACGATACACCACGCCACGCCACACCACACACCACACCACTCCACACTACTCCACACATGCCACACTATGCAACGGCATGCCCGGTAAACCCGGTTAGATCGGATTGCTGAGACGCCCTTGTGTCCAATCCCCCAACTAACCTCTCCCAGGCGCTGGAACGCGCCGGTTATGCCTCCCAGGAGCGTTGACATGACAGCATACCAGATCTGCGTGTCCATGAAATATACCTGCCACCACCCAAGAACAAGTCGTACGTGGGTAGGGTATGGGGGAGGGACAATGCAAATACGAGTAAGAAGCTGAAATGCGAGTGTATAGCAGGCGCAGTAGCAGCTGCAACAGAATCAGCAGCAGGCGCAGCAGCATCAGAAATTGAAGTAGCAGCGGCAGCAGCTCCACAACAGCAAAAACCAGCAAAAGGACAACATCAATGAAGCTCAGAAACCAGCATTGTCAGCAGCACCAACAACCCCAACCGTCCTCTCACCAGGATGATTGGAGCCCAGAGCGTGATGACAGCGAAGATGTTGAGGTCTGTGGGGATGAGCTTGTGCCATGAGTACACCACGTTGGTGGTAGCCATGATCTGATCTGTCGGCGCCACCAGTGGCTCGATCTGGAACTTGAAGCTGAACACCAGCTTCGCCGCTATCAGCACCACCCAGAACAACGTATAGCTGGGGTGAGGGAGAGAGGAGAGGTGGGTTGGAGTTGGAGGAAGAGAGGAGGAGAGGTTGCGTTGGAGTTGGAAGGGATGGTGTCTGATTGAGGCAATTGAGTGCCCGGGGGGGGTAGAGGAAGGGAAACCCACAATTCGAGGCAGCACATTAGCAGCAGAATGAAGCAGAGAGATAGCTTACTTGAGAATCGTGACCTGTGACTCCTGCATGCCCCGCCCAACGTACTCCGCTGGCTGTAGTGGGGCCACAGGCAGAAAAAAAACAAAACATGCTACTTGAGTGACATGACAACCAACTTTCAAGTCGTCTCATAACCAGGTCAACAAGACAGCAACCCATTCCTATGCAAATCTTAACGCGTGAAGAGAGCTTACACAGTGAGACTCATAAATTCCCCTCGTACAACAACCTACCATCCAACACATGCCTTGGCCCTCATCCATTCCCCCCACCATCACCGTGCCCCTCCTCCCACATCCACATACCCACACGCACACCCCAACACACCCCACCCCTTCCCACTCCAACTCACGCCTACCCACCCACACACCCACCTGCGACCACCAGAGGATAACCCTGAAGATCATCCAGTTGGAGTTTTCCAGGAACCGGTGGATGCAGGGCATGATCCAGAGCCCCAGCGCGAGCACGTACGGCACCAGGTACAGCACGCACACCGCAAAGTACACGTTCGGACTGCCGGTCACGCCTATCCACCCCTGCACCGTTGACACTATCCCCGTCGCGTCCGTCACGGCCATGGAGTAGGAGATCGCAAGCACCACGAACCACCCCGCGAACCAGATCGCCTTGAGCAGCAGGCGGAGGGAGGATGTCCAGGGTTGTGTGCGGTACAGGCCGATGCTGAGGAACACGTCCGTTAGAGCTGCATGGGGAGTGAGGAGGCGGGAAGTAGGGAGGAAGCAGAAGGGAAGGGAGGGGAGAAAAAGGGAGGGGAAGAAAGGGCGCGGCGGGGAGGGGAAGGGAGAGGAAGGGAGGGGAAGGGAGGGGAAGGGAGAGGAAGGGAGGGGAAGGGAGAGGAAGGGAGAGGAAGGGAGGGGAAGGGAGGAAAAGGGAGGGGAATGGAAGGGAAGGGAGGGGAGGATGAAGAAGTGCAAGATAATTTTGGAGGCAAAGCATCAGCACTGAGAAGGGTGCAACTCAAGAATCGAAAACCTTGGAGTGAGATTACTCTGGAAAGGCAGAAAAGCTCACATTTGAGGAAGTAGATGCCTGCGAGCGTGATGAAGATGCTGGTGACCTTGCGGAACTTGTCAATGCTCGTGAACGTGCTGTACCAGGGGGGGTTCCACGCCATAATGATCATCGCCTGCTCACACAGGGAGAGGGGGCAGAGGTGACGATTGAGGGGCGAATGTAGGGCGAATGAAAACGTGCGAGAACATGCAGATATATCGTGTAATCCTGTCCTCGTGTGTGCGTGTGAGTGCGCGCGCGCACACACATGGGATCGTGAGCTTGAGTGTGTGCTTGGATAGAGAGCGTGGACAGAGAGTGCAGGAACCCAAGTACAGGAAGAGTGGGGGAAGACAGGGACTGCGACACAGCAAGGGGGTCGTACACGCCACTGGGATTGAGACTCGCAGGAGATACCTGAAGACAAATGAACTCACCTGAAGGCAGCAGATGAAGAAGGCCCACATGCGATCAAAGTCTCGGAACAGGTGCAGGCAAGTGCGGTGCTCCACAAACCCCTCCTTCCCCATGCGCTCGCTCCCTGGCAGTGGGCAGCAGTTCACAGCTCCCTGGGAAGAGAAACCACCAAGGGAAAAAGCAAGACAACAGAGAGGACCAGAGTTAGAAAGAACTAATCAATTTATAATCAGCGGACGAACTGGCAACCTGCCAAAAGACACGCAGGAGAAGCAACATCAACTTGACAAACAGAAGTGAGTTTCTACCGAAGTTCCGTGTGAACGTGCACCAACGTATGCATCTCCTTACAGCGTACCTTGAAGCTTCCCGCATGCAGGTTGGGTGCTGGCCCCGCAAAGAAGGGCGAGCTGGCGTTCCACGGCCATCCCAGCTCGAAGCAGTTCTTGGACCAGAAAAACTCGTTCAGGTCATCGTAATTCCGCCATGACGAGTGCGCCGCGCCTCCCACGGCCGCCTGGGCCTCCTTCGACGCCACGTCATACACAGGCGTGACGACGTAGCGGAGAAATCCCTCCGCCTCGCGTCCGTACGCGGGCAGGCGTTGCTTGGCCTCAGGGCCCTTGCCTCGCAGCACTGCTAGCAGCTCCGCTGCCATCTGCGGTGCATTGGTGGCGCAAGGGGATGGGAACAGTGACGGGGAGAGGGCCGAGGATACGTTTTGAGAGGACATGAAGGAGGAAGGGAGTGCGGAATGAAGCATGAGTGCGGAGCAATGCTCAGGTTACTAGGCATCGTGCACGTATTAGCCATGGGACTAACGTGATGGGGACTTGCAACGGATTGCTATGATGGAGTGCTGCCATGCACTGCTTCCATGAAATGCGTGTACGTTATGGTAGATATAGCAGAGGCATTCGGGCATGAAGCGTAGGTTAGCTGCTTCGCCCCACACGAGCAGGAACAGCGCCGTGAACAGCACCTTCCTCTGCTGCTGCTGGATGGGGGTCAGCCCAGGATCCATGCTGCATGCCACAAAAAGGCAAGAAAATGGTAGAAAAAAAGTAATAATGAAGAATGATCCCGTTGTGCCACTGTTGTACTGCGACGCACTGGAAACTCTGACAAGCACAGGATTACAGCAAGCATGAACGTGCTCTAGCCCAAGCCACCCCGGTGCCGTGCCACTACTAGCTCACATGACGTTGCTCTTGCACTTGATGTAGCGGCACCAGCTGCGGTAGTTCTTGATCAACCCCTCCAGTACCTTCTCCACTGCTCGGTTGTCCAACTGCACGGCGGACACAGCACAGACAGGGAGCACGAGCACACCGCACGCACGCACACACGCACACAGCAGGCACATACCGCACACCCGTAGACATCAATATGAATGGACGGAAGCGTTGTAAGGCATTCTGAGGAGGATCCGAACGTGCAACCCAAATTCCTTCCCTCATGGCATACCCAAATCCATACTCAACGCCAACATCCTGTAGTTTCGACTTTATGCTTGAACTGTCTGTGACTCGCACGTGTACGTGACTCGTGTGATCTTCCCGGTTCTTATCGTACCTCCTCGAGAGGTTCTGGCCGGGGGCTCTTTAGGCTGATATGCGCGTTTGCCAGCAGCAGCACCAAATGCTCACGCTGATTGCGAACGTTGTCTTTCTGCAGGGAGGAAGCGGTGTCATGCACGCGCACACACATACCCGCATGCGCACATATGCACACGTTCACAATCGCACACACACGCACAGAGAAAAACGGCGGAAGAAAAGACACTCAGACGCACATATCGTGTGGAAAAAAACTTCTTCAGTATTACGATGCGCAGGGCAATAGAATAGCGAGAAAGGTGTTTCCTGTCACCTGGAAAGCAAAGACAAATCGCAGCCAATCAAGCGAGTCGAACTGCTTCAGCTTCTGCCCCGGCGGCACCTCCCACAGAATGGGAAGCCCGCTCACGTTCGTCACTCCCCCCATAGCCGCCACCACCTGTCATCACAATGAGAAGATACAAGAAGAATGAAGTCATGAAGTCCAGAGAATTAAGACGGCTAGTTACCCACTAGCAAAGACGGCTTTCGGCTTCCAACGCCTCCTCCCGTACTAGCCACGTAGCTCCTTTCAAGTCACACGGTCTACTTGGATTCATTGCGTTATAAATGACTGACTGGTGAGCGTCTAGACGGCGGCGACTCACCTCCGGTAGCTGCATGATGGGCTGCTTGGCACTGGAGGGGTCTAGAGGCAGAATGTTGAACGCCACGTACTCCGCTTTGCGCTCCACCACTCGCTGACCCGCCTCCATAACCTGCAGATTCCACAATGGTTCCACCAGCGATTAGCTACCCGTTTGGACGTCTAATGAGACGCAACGGCGGGGTTGCTGAATAATCACGATGCTTCGCTATTATTCACGATGGAAAACGGGTAATCGTCCACTGCAGTCACGTTCTTCACTGAAATCACGACGTGCGTCGTACCTCCGGCGCGAGCTCCGACTTCTCGGTCTGGTTGATGGCGCAGAGAACCTCGAACAGCACGCCTGCAGTCTGGTACGCGCGAGCGAGCTCCGCTCTGTCATGGACAAAAATGAGATTGCGTCAGCGTCCGTTTTGAGCGATTCTTTAAACAACCTGAGGAACCGAGTAAGGGAGCATGAAAGCTGGTGCGTGAGAACTGATTTACCGGTCGACATTCTCTGCGTCATCCATGGCCTTGACATAGTTCTGATAGTACTGCTGGTAGAAGGACGCGATTTCTCGAGCATCGCTGCTGCGTTGTCGCTTCTCCAGAGTTATCGGGTTGTCCTGTGACAACAGCAAGAGACGGCAAGGAACACATTCATAAGAGAAGGATGTGCGAAGACGATTCAGCGCGAAAAGGTGAAAGAAGGCTTCAAATTGGACCTAAAGTATCATTGACAGCTAGCGACCCACGCGAGGTCGGTTGGTGACAATGCCATTGAGTGTCGTGAAACTCGTACCCTCTCTAGCCGCTCGAGCAGCGCTGTCTTAAACTGGCGAACTCCACGTCCCTTGCACGTGGGATCCAGGCGATGAGCCTTTTCAAAAGCGGAGAACCGACCTGCGCAAACCGGTCACACAGAGATGCGTCAGGATATCAGCTACTTTTCCCGAGCTAAAGGAAGCCTTCTTAGATGGACATTGCAGTAAAACAATACTAGTTGTCAGATTACGAGATCAAAATCGACGGTATCAAATGCCTAATAGCGAGCCTGAAACGAAGAATACGAGCTTCTAAAAAATGCTCTATTCTGTAACAGTTTCAGAGGGAAAGTGGGCTCACATAGGTAAGCAACTCGAGGCCGTTGGGATTCTATCTCATTAGCAGCCCTGAGGTAAGGCTCGATCTCTGACAACGTTGGCGGAACCATCTCAAACGCCTGAAACTCCCGGGTCCCGCTACTAGGTAATCTCGTCATCTGTCTCCGTGCCATCGGGCTGGACCTGAACCCAGACCAGCGATAATATGCTGTTAGGACGACTCTGTTAGTATGCAACCATCAGCCACGGGCTCCTAGACACAGCGAACTAACTACGTCCAACGAAGCGTTGGACCTGGCTCGAACCACGCGCTGAATCCTAGGGATGATAGTGTGAACGGAACGACGGAATGAAGCGAAGAGGTTTCGCAGGCGAAAAGGCGTGGCTGGATTCGTTTTGCTTATGGAATGACGGAGGGACGAGGCGGTGCTCTCAGCCGCTAGGGCCTTGGGAGATCCCTTGAGACTGCTGCTCACCGTGGAGTGCAGGAACGAGGTGCCCTGACGGTGAATGGTTGATAGTCGCCTTGTGATGAGGCTGGTGCTGGTGGGGCTGAGCGGTTTGGGTTCAGTGGGCAAACCAGCCAGGCAAGCCTTGGGAATGTCGTACAGTATGTCTCAGTCTGCTCGCTGATGCTGTCTAACGGACGTCTCCAGTCGCTCAGCTATGATTGGCTGATGTTATCATGGTGAATCGAAATTGGCGGTAAATTTCTGGAACCGGGTCGCCTTTGTCGGCCTGAGCAATCGAGGGAGCACTGGAAACTCCTCTCAGTCACAGAGACTCAGTCCCAGTGAACTGAATTCGATGGTAGACGGAAGAGATTGCCGACTGGAATTTTATCCGTCTGGCAGTCCTGACGGTCGCACGCGGTTTGTGACGTGCTCAACTGAATTTCTCTGCCCATCTCGGGGATCCTTGATGCCTGCATGCACAAGGCACCATCTGACGGCTCCAGAAATTACCGATTCGACGACTCTCGGCGGCGCCTCAGAAGAAAATTCAGCTGGTCTGACGGGTAAGGGATTGTCAGAGTGTGATAAGTTGCTTTCGAGAGTGTTCGCAAACACCGAGTGGAAGGTGATATGAATGCCAAAACTTGTAAGGGTTCACCAAAAACAATTACCAGTTGATGAAAATGTGTAAGGCATAGCAATACTGATAACCTTTTCCCCATCATTCAGCACATCCTAATTCGGAGTAGCCTATCACTGCTTCAGGAGATTTGAAGACGACCCACATTGATGAGATCCATTGTAATGCGGCAACTGCAAGAATTGGGATTTGTTGCATGGATACAAGCATTTAGTGTCCTGCAGGACTTTATTAATCTGAATCTGGCAAATTGCCACTACGAGGTTTTTTGCTTGGATGAGTCACGCTCTGTTCTACTAGGTAAAAGTACATGGGCGAATGTAATGCCAAAAAAGAGAATACACAAGTAAGTCGCGTTGATAGCAATGGCAGTGAGTGGTGGTTGGGATAATGTATCCATGGTGATGTTGACAAGCCCCGTCCCTACATTCGCCTGTGAAACAGAACGTATGTCAGGGCCAAGACATAGGAAGAGGTCATCCTTGAAAAGCAATTTTGCCGAAACAGGGTTCACCCATCCCTGGTATACGCAAGAGAAGCAAGAGAGCCACATACTAGGTAATGAGCAAGAGAATCAGCAAGCTTCCAGTGCTCCAGTGCAATGCCCCAATGCTCCAATGTCCCAATGCCCCAATGCTCCAATGTCCCAATGCCCCAATGCTCTGATGCATTATGCACTGGTGCTCCTATGCATGAAAGCCTGATGACGCCCCATGTGTACCATGGGGACCGTGGGGAGCATGAAGCCATCAGTGCTACCCAAAGTGCCCCAAAGAACAAGTGCCCCAAAGAACAAGTGCCCCAAAGAACAAGTGCCCCAAAGAACAAGTGCCCCAAAGAACAAGTGCCCCAAAGAACAAGTGCCCCAAAGAACAAGTGCCCCAAAGAACAAGTGCCCCAAAGAACAAGTGCCCCATGTGTACCATTAGAAAGGTGGGGAGCATGAAGCGAGCAATGGCTCGGAAGACAAGCGAGGGAGAGCGACAGGTGAGCTCCCCGATGAGAATAGCCTGGGAGAGAGACAAGAGGGTGGGGGGAGAGGAGGACGGTAGTGGGGAGGGAGAGGACCGGGGGTAGCAGGGGACAGGGGGGAAGGAGAGGATAAGGGGAAAGAGAGGAGGGAATACGGCTTGAAAGCACAGTGCAGCAATTTTAAGACATGCAAAAAAGTGGGTGTGTCAGGCTTGTGACTGCATTCCACACGAGAATAGGACATGCGGCAACGCCCAAGCCATATTTGAAAAGCCAGTTTGGTCAGCAACACCAGCTTTGCGAGGTAAGATTGGGAAAGGGGCAAGTGGATGGAAGGAGATGCAGGCAGCGACATGAAGGTGTGAAAGGCAGAGGAGAAAATTGGCTTACATGAACGCCTTGAGCCAAGCTCCAGCAGACGAACGCAAGGTTGCACTGCCAAGTAGAATCATGCAACAAGCCACACCATCCATCCCATCCATCCACCCGTCCCTCCGTCCATCCGTCCATCCATCCATCCACCCGCCCAACCCATTCACAAAACAAGAGCGTGGCAAAAGGAGGGATGATGATTGTGGCACGGGCTAACACGCATGGACGGCTACTGCAGAGTGGGACGTGATGTCCAGAAGGGGCAAGAACAGCACGTAACACAGGTAGGTAGACACAGGGAAAAAAAAAAAAAGGTGGATTGCAGGGTACGAGAGACCTGATGCTAAGAAGTAGGAGGAACAGCGAGCAGATGGCAAGGGAATTGAACAAAGCTGAAGAATCTGGGAAGGGAGTGGGAGAGGCAGGGAAAACTCACAGAGCGTCGGGAGGTTTGCTCGATGTACTGATGCGCTACCAAGGTTACCAGCCTGTGGCGTGGCACGGGCAGCAGGTAACAAGGGGGGGGGTGGATGGAAGAAGCAGCACATTGATGGGCATATGAGTTGTGAGGATGCAAGCAGAAGTGAAGGTACAAGGAGTGACGTGAGTGTGAGGCAGGAGTGACGGCAGGGAGGGGAGTGACGGTAGGAGGAATGAGGGCAGGAGGAGTGAGGTAGGAGTAGTAACAGTAGTAGGAGGAGTGAAGATCGTAGGAGTGAGGGCAGGAGAAGTGAGGTAGTCCGAGTGACGGCAGGGTGAGTGAAGATCGGAGGAATGAACTTGGGAGGAGTGAGTCAAACCTGGCGCTTCACATACACATGATAAAGCTTCAATTACATGCGATGCCTTTGCTGATAGAAGAACAAAGATAGGAGGACGCGTGGTGGCAGGAGCAGCAGGGAGGGATGCCTGCGTACCAGAGGAAGAGGTCAAGGGGCAGCAGCTGATTGACAATGGCGAAGAGAGGACCGTGCGCCGAGCGGATGGCAGCTGATGGTGCAGGTAGGGAGGGAAGGAGTTTGAGAAGGAGGGAGGGAGGGAGGGAGGGAGGGAGGGAGGGAGGGAGGGAGGGAGGGAGGGAGGGAGGGAGGGAGGGAGGAGAGGGATGTTGGACTTGCAGCTGGCTCACAGGAGGTGCCCAGCTGACACAAGGGTGGTAGTTGGGACGAAAGGGCGGAGGTTTGGGCGAGAGGGTGGAGGTTGGGGAAACAGGGATGACACATCCATGTGGTGAAATGTATGCAAGATGCAGCAGGAGCAGAGAAGGGCAGAGGGAGTTGCTTACAGTAGGATGAGTTGAGAAACGTGCCAAAATGAAGAGAGATGAGGTAGAGACTCAGGTATCCTGGGACACACACGTGGGGCGGGCACAGACATATCACGAGTGGGGACGCGTTTTGAGACGTCTCAAGAGAGATGAGGTAGAGACTCAGGTAGTCAGGCACACACGCATGGGGCAGGCACAGACAGATGACAAGTGGGGATGCGCAAATAGAGGTGCAAATGCAAGGTGAGGGACGCATATTACAGATAAAATGCAATTCAAGGTGCCCAGTTAGTGAACATAGGAGTTTTTGCGGCGCCTCGAAGGGAGATGAGGGAAACGCAGCACAGATGCAGTGCAAGGCATTGCACGGTATTCAGGCAGTAAACAGACGGGTGCCACGTGCGGAAGGCTGTAGCTACAGACGTATGCAATGAGCCCTCACCACCTGTTGCGCTACAGCCGCCCCTCTCTCACCTACTGTGCTACAGATGCCCTCCTTATTGAGCGAGATAAGGGACGTGGCTTCCCTGTCATCTGACAGCACCCACTCGCTGCCTCCCATGCACGACAGCCATGCCTGGTACCCTGCACCCAGCAGAAGCAAGCAGCAGGAAAAGAACATAAGAAAAGAGTTGGGAACCGAGCTGTGTCAGGAGAGGGAGTAAAGTAGCGAGGGGGTGACAGGCCAGCATGGGTGACGGATACCCTGCTTCTGCTACAGATGGCTTAACATGACATGGCATACAAAGCCCTCATGGCATGGCACACAGCAGCAGCGGCAGCAGCATCAGCTACAGCAGCAGCAAGAGCAGCCGCAGCAGCAGCTACACCAGCAGCAAGAGCAGCCGCAGCAGCAGCGGCAGCCGCAGCGGCAGCCGCAGCAGCAGCAGCAGCAGCAGCAGCAGCAGCAGCAGCAGCAGCAGCAGCAGCAGCAGCAGCAGCAGCAGCAACAGCAGCAGCAGCGCCTCCCGCTGCCGCGCCAGCTGCCACAACAGCAGGAGCTGCAAGAGCACTGACCAATGAGAAGCAGCACGGGCGGAGTGAGGCTACGGAAGAAACCCGGGGGCAGTTGCGAGGGGTGGTGGCGGATGGGCGTGGGGAAGAGGCGCGCGAGGGAGAGCACGGCAGCGAGAGTGAAGAAGAAGTTCCAGTGCACGCCGTACTCGCTGCTGTGCTCCTGATGATGGGCGGAGGGAGCATGTGCGGTGAGGGAGGGGGTGGGGGAAGGGGGGGGGGTTGGGTGTGTGCGCATATGACAGGAGAGAAGGAGAGGGCCGTTTGAGAGAGAGCACAGCAGCGAGGGTGAAGAAGAAGCAGTTCCAGTGCACGCCGTACTCGTTGCTGTGCTCCTGATGATGGGGAGGGGGTGTGTGGTGATTGGGTGCGGAGCGTGTGCTTTTGAGTGCATGCGCATGAGCAGGAGGAAAAGGAGGGGTCGCTGGGAGAGAACGGCAACAAGGGTGAAGAAGAAGCAGTTCCAGTGCATGCCGTACTCGCTGCTGTGCTCCTGAGGATGATACCGGGTTGTGTGTGGTGAGGGGTTGAGGAGCGTATATTTGGGCGTGCATGTATGAACGGGAGAGGGAAGTGCTTAGGGAGAGCATAGCAGGGTGCAAGAGGCAAGCAGTAAGACAGTACTTTGTCGTTCTAAGTTTACAGCATTTGGTAGCAGCAAGAGCTCCTGGTAGCAAAGAGCACCTGGTAGTAACAAGAGCACCTGGTAGCAGCAACAGCATCAGGTAGCAACAACAGCACCTGGTGGCAGCAACAGCACCTGGTGACATTTTTTGAGACGTCTGAGAAAGAACAACAGCAGCACCTGGTAGTTGGTGACTTTGGTCAGCAGCAGCCGTCCAATGGCAAGCACTAGCAGAGGCAGCAGCTTGCGGGAGAATCGTTGGCTGAGGGGATTGTGTTGGACAGAGGTGCAGGAGGAAGAGACATTGAAGGGGTGGGAAGCAGGGGCGGGCAAACAACCAAGGTGGGAGAGACCATTGGGATTATGGCAGTCATAGATTGGATGGACAATGGTTCAGAAAGGGCACAGAGATGACTGGCGGCGGCTGCTGCGGCGGCAGCGGCGGCGGCGGCAGCAGCAGCAGCAACGTATGCAAGATTGGATGAGTTTGAGACCAGAAACATCAATATGGTTGTGGGGGGATGCTAGCACCGAATCGGTTAGAATACTTTGTAAGGTGCGTGTAAAACGTACGCACTCTCATGGATTGATGAAACTCACATGTCTCATCTCATGCATGCATGCACTTACATGGATACATGCGTCTTTCTTGCTCCGGCTGTCCTGATCCTAGATGATCCGAATTGAGAGGCTGTGTTGGCAATGACAAACATGCCCACTCCTAGATCCATCTGCAGAGTGAGGGAGAGAGGAGGAAGAGAGAGGAAGGAGAGACGAGGGACGCGGAAGTGAGGGGGGGGAGTGGTTAATTGAGAGGCTGTGTAGGCGATGACAAACATTCCCACTCCTAGATCCATCTGCATGGTGAGCAAGAGAGGAGGAAGAGAGAGAAGGGATGGATGGATGGATGGATGGATGGATGGATGGATGGATGGATGGATGGATGGATGGATGGATGGATGGATGGATGGATGGATGGATGGATGGATGGATGGATGGATGGATGGATGGATGGATGGATGGATGGATGGATGGATGGATGGATGGATGGATGGATGGATGGATGGACGGACGGACAGATGGATGGATGGATGGATGGATGGACGGATACATGTATACATGCACGCATGGACACATGGATAAACTGACCAGGGAGGTGCCGTATCGCTCAGTCTTGGCATAATTCCGAGGGAAGATGTCAAAGTCTACGGCTAGAATGGCCGTGCACGTCAGCAGCATCTGGTGGGCAGTGCGGTAGGGGTGGACGGGGAGGGAGAGGATTCTTTAGTCAACACAAAACTCGTGGGAAGACGTCAGAGTCCCCAGCCAGAATGGTCCTGCACGTGAGGAGGATGTGGTGACGGGAAAGAGTGGGTGATGGGGACGCGGGGGTAGGGGAGAGAGGGAAGAGGAGTGGTATGGGGGGAGATGGAAGAGGGGTGGTAGGGGGGAGATAGAAGAAGGGTGGTGTGGTCAAGAGGGAATCGGGGTGGTATAGGAGAGAGGGAAGGGTGGTGTGGTGAGAGGGAAGAGGGGTGGTAGGGGGGAGGGATAAAAAGGGGTGGTGTGGGGAGAGGGAAGTGAGGTGGTAGACTAGGAGAGAGAGGGAAGAGGGGTGGTAGAGTAAGGGAGAGAGGGAAGAGGGGTGGTAGAGTAGGGGAGAGAGGGAAGAGGGGTGGTAGGGGGAAGAGGAAGATGGGCTGTCAGAGGAGAGAGGGTGGTCGGGAAAGGCAGGATTAGATCATTAGAGAAACAACCGTGCATGCGGTGTAGAAGCATGCATGCTACAAGGTGCACTGATGAGACAGGCAGCAAATATGTGCTGTGTGGGACGAGGCCGGGGGGGGGGGGGAAGGAGGTGGGGTTTACGGGAGGGTGCGGGGGGGGTGGGGAATGGGGGAACAAGAGGAAAAATCTGGAGGGGGGCGGCGTGGGTTGGGGAAGGGGGGGAGGGGGGAGAGAGGGGAAGAGAAGTGTGTCTCACCAGGAGTGCTCTGAAGGTGATGACCGAATCGGTGACGGATGGTGGGGAGAGGGGCCACGAGGAGCTGTTGAGCAGGTAAGGACTGCACGTGCATAGCGGAGCAAGATAGAGGGGCATTTACACGGGAGGAATCCGAAGATGCTTATGTAAGTTGATTTTTTAGTCGACTTGGAGTACGTGAGCGTGATTGGTTGAGTCGGGCATGGAATATACGAATCAACAAAACTCAACTTCAAGAATGCTCAAAAGTGGCACACATGGTTTTCATGACGTCTGAGAAGAAGGCAGATGGAAAGGGAGTAGCCAGGGAGCGAAAGGCGACAGCAGGGGAGAAAGAAAACGCACCCTGTGGTATTGAGGGTGGCCAAAGTTGCTGTTGTTGTAAGAATGGCTGCGAGGAGAATGAATGTGATTGTAAGGTGGTCCTTTAAGACCTGTGAATCAGCAGCAAATAGGTATAACCAAGAAGACAGATGGGCGTAAGAGGTGAGTGCGAGCGGGAAAAAACGAGAGTTCAATGGAAGGGCATGAATCATCAGCAGTGGAGAAGAAGCAGAGTAAGAGTTGTGAGGCAACGGACAGGTATCAAGATGTGAGAGACTGGAGACGTGAGGTGGTTAAACGAAGTGGTGGTACCGTGAGGGTGAGGAGAGAGGGGATGATGACGAGGAGAGCATCTGCTGTCACTGACGCAGCAAGTTGCAACCCTGGTGTGCGGAGCTGCAGAGGCAGGCGGTACGCAGAGAAGGGAAAGAGGTAGAGATGGAGGAGACATGAAGTGGGGATGGAGTAGGGATGGGGGAGCGATGGGGAAACGCGTATTAAGTTTGAGAGAAGCTAGAGAAAGTGAAGGAAGAAGGGGCAGCATGTACGGATATCAAATGAGAGTGCTGTCTTGTGTGCTTATGCATCCCCCTAACCTGTGCACCTACGTGTACCCTACCGCACCTCTGGAGGTCTTATGCAGGGTGGCAGGAACGGCAGTAGCTGGCGCTGCGCGGAGAGCATCTGCGAACACACGGGGAGCACACGGGGAACACGCGGGGAGTGCAAGGGACACGGGGTGGCACGAGGTGGGGTAAGGGAAGGGCTAAGTGCAGGGAATTCAGGGGAGGTTTGAGACGTCTCAAAAATCAAAGTGTGGGGAATTCGAGAAAGTGGAGAAGGGGTAAAGTGTGGTGATGCACTGATCTCATATGATCCAACGGTATTTGATTAACCAATGGAATCGAATCAGTTCAACAGCCTGATGTGTAGTAAATGCGTGAGAATTACAGTATGGCTTAAGCAGTGCCACTGCCTTTGGCACTATCGACCGCCATTGGTTGCAAGAAAGTGCAAGGAGATCTGGTGATGTGGCGGTGTGGTGGTGACGTAGCGATGCAGTGATGCAGAGGCGGTTGAAAGGCATAACAGGTTCAGACAGGCTGCTGGTGGCGAAGCACTCACGAAAACGATGGTAACAAGCGCAGACACGTGGAACATGGACGTCCCCGTGTGACCGCTCACGAACCTGCACCTCCAGGAAACGCCAAAAGCACCGTATGGCACCACGAAGCACCGCACAGCACCCCAAATAGCCACTCAGGCATAGTATCACACGCAGCAGCCATAAAGTGTTGGAACGCATTGGTCCAGCAAACAGTCACGCATGTAAGACAGTGTCAAGCGCGCACGTACAGCACATACAGGCCTCACGCATACACAAGCACAAACACATACGCATACGCACACACACACAGGAACATGCAGCCGAAGGAAAGAGCGAGCCTTTGTGGTACAGCGTACGGGAAAAGCTAACCGCACAAGGCAAAGGGCTTGAAAGGAGAGTGGCAAGTGAGGCAGGCCTGTGTAGCTCAAAATTACAAGAAGAAGTGTGCGAGTCTGAGGCAAATAACTTTGCTAAATTCCTAAAAACGGAAACAGAAAACGGCTACGAACATTTCACGTTGCTCTTTGATGTGGCCCGGAAGGAAGGTCATGGCTCGGGACAGGAGCGAGGCCATGACAGGAGCGCTCTCAGATCGCGACGCCATGGCGGGAACGTGCGGCAGGCGTAAGGAGAAAACCTGTGCAGTGGAGATTGATACGGTAAAACGGTTTCAAACGCGGGAACGCGTTTCAGTGAGAAAGGTAAGAGATATGTACGGAGATGTACGATGGTGGTGACATTCAATTTGAGAGATTCGGGAAGTATTGACGGAACGCGCGAGATGTAAGCACAACGAGAGAACGTACGTGGCAACGGAATCTTGACGTTACTCCTCCCTCCTTTGTTAATCCAGCGAAGGAATTCTCCGCGTACAATTCACCAGTCACAATTTCCTTCAAACGAGTGTCACGCTCGAAACTACTACGACTGATGCGCTGCCATTCGGCTACTGCAGCGTCTAATGCCTCCGTAAAAACGGCTTGTGGGACAATGACTCTTTCTGATTCTACGCAGAAATGTCAAGACTGTCGTTCGACCTTACAGGAAAAAGCTTCAAAAGCTGAGCCTACACGAGCCTAGAGCCCAATAGACTAAGACCTACAAATGATAAGATGTGGAGTGGAGGCTCACACGACCTGCGTCACCTGCGCAGGTCATGGCATCCCCACGCGCACTGCCTCTTCAAGGCTTTACTTAAGAATACTGGAGCTTTAAACGAGTCGTAATGAGTGCGACCGCCAATAGAACCTCTCACGGGTACAGTCACCACTTGGCGACAGTCGGACCATAACGTACGAAGCCATGGTCGTTATACTCTACACTCGCTCCGGCTTTTGGCCATGGGAGGCATTAAAAGACTCCCCTTTGCCAAGACCATACGTTATGAGAGCCCTGTAATCACACTTCACGAATCACGATCCCAAAGGACGGCCAGCTCAGGCAACGCGCCCAGAAATTCGTCGAAACCAGTCGTCTGCTAAACTTCTCGCACTCGGCCTCAGCCAGCCGATAAAACTTGAGGGCCCCCTCAATCCAAAGCTCTCGGTGTAGCCTAGCCGTCACACAACTGCGGAATACGAGCAAGCAGCTGTAGTTGCTGTGGAGGAATCTAGGGAAGGGAGGGATGTGCTGTCGAACTTCAGTTGGCCACAAGCACTATACTCGTCACTGGTTGTACCACGGTATTCTAGAATTCTAGAATCTAGGTGTCAGCTGGTGGTGTGACTGGCTCAGTGCTGTACTGTACTGTAACCTCATCAGCTGAAACACGCGCGCTATTGAGGATCTGGGGGTGTTGGTTGGAAGTGAAAATGGATGGTAGGTCAAATTAGAACTGTATCGGGTACTGTGACGAGACGGGAAACCGTCTCCAAGCATAAAGGGAGATACCGGTATGTTTTTTTTTTTTGCAATGCATCAGTGGAGATAGAGAAGTTCCACTTCCACTACCTCATACGGTATTTTAAAAGCTCTTATATATAACAGTATCTTATTACAGATGACATACACTAGGGCACAGACATTCTATCATGGTAAGCTGGTAGTTGTTGCATAAATAACCAAGGTGCAGCAGAGGAAGGGCGGAAGATACAGAAATGGTGGTTGAGCATGAGGGTGGAGTACCAGGAAGAATAGAGAGAAAACTGCAGCCATACAGGAGAGGTGGTGCTGTAGCAAGCAAAAAGAAAAAAGGAAAAGGAAAATACTAGTAGCAGGGGCCTAGCACCAGAAGGGAGGAAAAGGAAGGAAAAGGGAAAACACAACCTAAGCAGATGAAAAAGTATACCAGCAAACATAGACCATGAAGGGCACCAGCTAAAACCATGGTGGATGACTCATAAGCAGAGTAAGGAGCTGATGATAGCCTGTGGACTATGGAGGCAATAATATAAGAGGTGGTATGGCCAGCAAAGTGGCCTTGTGTGGCTAGCTATAAGAAGGATGGCTGCTGCTGCTGCTGCTACTGCTGCTGGTGTGATCCACATGTCGATGGGCTGAACCAGCACAAGCCTCCAGCCGTGGCAGCAAAATGGGATGAGAGCTGGGGCCGTAGATGCTGGTGCAGTGTGAAGTAACAGGTGGACCGAGGGCGTGAGTAGGGTGAAACAAGCACGCATGCGCCCTGTAGGAACCAGACTGCAAGGAAAAAATGGACACAGGAGCAGCAGGAGGAGCAGAAGGACAGCAGCGACAGGAGTGGCACGAGTAGCTAGGACGTAGCGGTGGTGTAGCCATGCAGTGCAGTGGTGTGCGGGGTGTGTCGGGGTGTGCTGGGGTGTTTCCCTGTACCCAGGAGCCACCAAGCAGCTACGAGTCCAGGAAAAGATGGTCGGGGATATCTGCTGGGGGTGGCAGCAGAGCCACGCCTTGGAACTGCAGGCACAAGAGTGATTGGAAGGAGGACAAAGAGACAAAGATACATGCTGTGAGATCTGTGAACCACACATCAACAGGCAGAATGGAGACGAGGGTGCGGTAGAGAGAGAGGGGGGGAGGTGGGATGATTGTGGGAGGGAAGGTAGTGCAAGGGTGAGAGTGGGGACTAGCTTGTGGTGATGAATGAATGAGCACCTTAGGCTGGCGGTATTTCTCCCGAATGGCAGGGAGCGTGCAGCCTTTGACGTTGCGCTGCAAGTCATAGAGTGCCATCACCGCCTCCTTGAGCTGGGAGGGCGCATACCCCGTATAGTGCTGCAGTGTTGCATCCTGCCACCCAGAGAATACCAACGCAATACCAACGCACTGAGCACAATGCAAAGACAACAGTGGAGCTGCTACTGGGGATGAATGAAGCAATAGCATCGGCCGTTTGAAGTCAGAAGAGTGTAATCGAGCGAAGGGCCCACTTACCCAGGGTGGAAGGGCCGGGTAGAGCGTGAGCTTGGCAAGGAAGACGGCTGCCGCAGCGATTTGCGAGGGGAGGAAGCGCAGGCAGGGGTAGTCAACGAGTGTGAGCTCTGCAAAGTAGTTGCCCAGGAACTCCAGGTGGTGCTGGGGACTCTGCCATTCGAGCAGGTACACAGAAAGCAACAGAAAGAAACGAGCAGAGATCAGGATGGATAAGCCCGGTGGGCACAAGGGCAACAAAGAGGGATGCGACTGGATTGAGCTGAGCAGGTAGAGCAGGAGAGGAGGAATGAGAAGACAGACACGCTTGATCACACAACAAAAAACGAGGAAGGCATGGCACGGGTTGGAAAAAAGCGCGCTGCTGCTTACCGGAAGAGTGGCTTGAGCAGCTTTGATGAAGCGCCTGAGGAAGCTCTTGACGGTGGGCGTGCTGAGGTCGAAGTGCAGCACGGCGAGCACGTGGCGCTCCATGAGCAGCACCTCGTGGCGGCGGTACGTGTTGTCCGTGATGTAGCAGAACTCGTCCACCTGCGGCGCGTATATCTCCTCGTACTTGCTGCCATGGGGAAGGGGTGGGCGCAGGGGTGGAGGCGGGGGAGGATGGGGCGGGGAACAGGGGAAGGCATGATTGGGACGCGAGGAAGAGGGAGAGGTAGCGAGAAAACGGGTTCGGAGTGGGAGCGGGTCACGGGGTATGAAGGGACAACTGGAGGGGGAGGGAGAGTAAGGAGTGGGTAGATAAGGTCGTGGGATACGAGGCGAGGCGGGAATGGGATGCAGAGGAGCTGAAAGTGCGAGGGAAGGGGGATGGAACGACGCAGATGAAAATGGAGGCGATGCCGAGGAGAAGAGAGAGGAGGGCAGAGGATGCTTACGAGGCGATGAGCATGGAGGCGATGCCGAGGAGCTGCAGGTGGTTGCGGGTGACGGTGGCGTGGGAGAGGAAGCGGTCGATGTAGGCGGCGGTGAGGAAGAGCGTGTCGGGCACGAGCTTGTACTCCTCCGCCACCTCCACCAGCCAGTCCATCAGAATGCCCCGCATCGCCGCGCTTATGTCGCCCCCCCTCCCCTCCTCCAGCGCCATTGTGGGTCGGTGCCGCCGCTGCACGGGGGACGAGGGGATGGAGGGTTGGGGGGTGATGGGGGGAATGGGGAGGGGACAAAGAAGAGGGGACGTAACAGGACGGGAGGGGGGGTGAACGGAGTTAGTACGTAAGTCAGTAGCGAGGAGACCAGGGAGATTGAGAAGCGACCGGGCGAGTGCGCGAGGGCGAGGGGAGGAGAGGCAGAGCGACTAACCTCGCCGTCTCTCATGTTCGCGTAGATCTCCGCGGCATACTTGGTGCACATCTGCGGATCCCCGTGCGCCGAGTCGATATTCCTGACCTTCGCCGCATCAACCCCCGCGCCCGCGTCCGGCGCGCCAACACCCGCCACTTGCGGCGCCTCCGCCTGCACGTCAGCATCACGGATCTCCACCACTTGCGCCCACTGACTGCTGTTGGCGGAAACGGACGGATGCGCCGTTTCCGCCAGGCGCGCTTCCGCCGACGTCCCCTCCCGCGGACCCTCTGTCAAGGCCCCTTCCATGTCGCCCTGGCGCTCCCCGTCTCTCCCGGAAACGACGCTGGAAATACACAGCACCCGCTCCGTCTTCCGGTTGATGGAATCCATTGCCGCCGCGCTCGCTTGCGCCTGCGCCTGCTCCGCACTTCCCATTACGTCCCCCGCGCCACCCACGCTCCCCGCGCTGCCGCCACCGCTGCTGCTGCTGGGTAGGAGAAGCGTAAGAGTCGTCGTCGGCGGGACAGCCGCGTTGGAACTCGCGGGAATGGCGGCGCAAGGCACGGCGGAAAACGGAACGGGGTGGTGTAACGCCGCTTCTGCCGCCGCCATCGCCGTCGACGCAGCCGCTGCTTCTGCCGTCGTCACTGGTACAGCGGAATCACTGAAGCCAGTCGATCTGTCCGTCGCAGCAACAGCGCTATGCAGCGGAACGTGCGCCGTGAAATGGCTATAGCCATGCCCATGCGAGAGGCCGTTGAACACCGGAACTGACACGAAACCGTTCGCGCTTCCCCCTGCTGTCTCCGCCTGTTCCCCGTACCGCGCCTGGTGCCTCTCCGCCGATCCGCCGATGCTTGCCTCAGTAGAGAGCAGCGCAGCTTCCGCCAAGTACGCCTGCTCGTGCGCGCGCCAATGAAGGTGCTCTTCCCCTGGCGCTCGCGCTGGCGCGTGCGCATGATTGTGCGGATGCCGGTGTTGCGGTTGCGCTTGCGCTTGTGTGAACGCAAACGCCGCTGCTGCGGATCCGGAAGCATGCAACTCCGGGAATAGCAAACCCCCGTCATTCACGGCAGGCATTCCGGGGCATGATGACTTCGCGTCAACTCGGAGCCATGGCCCATCCTGGGGGTGGGGATGCCCGGCAATGGCTCCTCCGGAGGTTGCGGAAGCGCCTGCTAGCTCCGCTGCGCCTGACGCGGCGACCGCGCGAGCGCGAGCTGGAGAAGTGGGACACGCGATTGGCGCAGGAAGATCCCGGAGATCAGGGAGTCTTCCACCGCTACAATGACTACGTTCCGACTGCTGATGCTGATGCTGATGCTGATGATGCTGCTGATGATGATGCTGCTGATGCGACGGTTGCAGCAACTGGACCTGGTCGCCATGAGACGCAGATATGGTGACGACCGTATGCTGCTTCCGTGCGACAGCTTGCGACGCTTGCTGCGACGTCGATCGTGTGACTCTGGTGCATGCAGCAGTCGCTGCAGCTGCAGCCGAACCGTGACGCTTCTTAGCCGACCGCGAGTGGCTCGATCCTCGGGTCTTCTTACGTGTCTGATCCTGGAAAACGAAGGAAACAAGCAATACGTCAGTTGAAGTCAGAAGTGGAGGAGACACGAAAAAATAATGAAAAAAAAAATCCACGTCAAGCAGTCGTGACGAGAAACATTCAACTTCTGACGACCTTCTGACGCTGACATGTTGTTATCTTGACCTGAAATATAAGGCTTCACTTCGGATCTACGACCGTTTCCTATCAGGCCGATCATTGCTGAGCGTGAAACTGATCAACAATGGCTGGTCTAGGGTTACCGGATCCAGTGGAACCAAACAGGCTGGTCTGAGACACGCTGACGGAATGAGACATTCCGAGAGAAATGTTTAACAATGACATCGCGACACAGATTTCGCAGAAGTATGAATGCTGGAACCAGGGAAGCAGAGAATCGTAAATAACCATGGGCCTCAATAACGAGAAATCGTCGGTGTATTTTGGGATAGGCCGGACTATGGTAATGAAAATGGTCGAATCCACGGTCAAGTCGCTCAGCTGATTCTCGATGGTCTCCGAAATGCGAACCATTTCACGGCGCGGGATCATGGCTTCACGAGCGAGATTTGCGCGATAATTTCATGCCGTGTAAGATGCAATCACTTGAAAGCGATGAAGACATGGCATGGGGACGAACTTGGGATGGCGAGCAGACTGCCGACGGAGCAACGTGGTTCGTCCGATTCGACAAAGCTTGGCGCTTGTTGTTGGCGAAAGAAGCATCAGACGGTCGCTTTGCGGAGCCTCGACCCCCAGCATCCTGAGCCTTGCTCGGAGGACTGGGAGTCATGGCACGAAACGATGCCATGACAGGCGTAAGAAGCCTGAGGAATACGCTTCGATAACCAGAGTCTGCTAGAACTATCCCAGGAACCAGTCCAGCATCTGGATTGGAAGAATAACTTGTTATTGACGAACTACTAACGGATAAACTAAAGAGGAAAGGTGAGAGCACTTTGCACTCGAAGCTGCTAGCACCAGCAGCACCCTCCGTGCTCCTGATCAACTGAAGGCATGTAAAAATCAATTTGAACCCAAAAAGGCCGAGCGGACTTCCGTCCGTTCTGTGTGGAGTGGTCCGAGCGGAACAGTGAGTTTGTGCAGATCAAGAGGGCGACAAAGGCGCGTAGTTCAGGCTCCAGAGATGGTGGCAGTGGCAGAACCAGGGACTGAAAACGAGAGGCGCGCCAGGACGGAAGGACAGGAGGAGGAGGTTGCGGGGGAAACGGACTGGCGGGTCCGGAGCGTGCCAGGCCAAACCAAGCCAGGTTCAGCAGGACAGGGGCGGCGGAGAAGAAAAAGTCTTGCTGCCTTGGCCAGAGAGACATGGTTTGCAAGTCGCATGCTTCCCCGGATGGATGGCGGCGCTGGTGGAATCCCTTTCCCCATGGAGTGCTGCATGGCAAGGCCATGCCCGGAGATCCAGTAATTAATCTGCCAGGCCTGAGGGAGTTTCCAGCTGTACCCGGAAGAAAAAATATTAAAAAATATGCCAGCGCAGAGATTTTCTGGATGGGAAATTCAAAGTACACCCTAATGCTCACTCAACCGCCCACTCTGAACAGCCCGCAGCGACTCCATACGCCCAGTGGTCGACATTCACAGCCAACGGCCCGCGCGTTACTAGCCCACGACAAAACCAAGATGTTCGAGTTTCCCAGACAAAACACGCTGGGCTACCCACAATTTCCGCAACTGTAGTTTTTTTGTCAACCTTTGTTCTACATTCAGTCCCATTCTGCCCCTAGTGAACGCATGCTCGAGAGAGGAGCACAGGGAAAGATGGGGAAGGGGACTGAAATGGGCATCATGTGTACAAATTTCTCGTCAGCGTCCTTCTGGGCCGCCTCATGCTTCGGTTTGACCTGCATTTTCTGTATGAAACATAGGCCTCCGATGTCTGCTGACCATCATAATTTCTTTTAAAATTACGGTCTGTAACCCTTCTGTTGAGGGCCTGTTCCACACGTACACGGTGAGGCCAGCTCTCAAGGTCCGCGGAACCCCTGGTCCGCCGATTAGGGCTCCGGACGGACCAGGTCCCAACGGTCTAACTGGTTTCTCGCGGGCTGGTTCAAATGACCGAATAAAAGCCTGCCAATTTTCAGTGCAGACTCGCAAATTGGCTCGGACTTATCCAGTATTATGCGGTAACCATGTCTCATACTTGCTTCACACTCGAGCTGGCTCACAGCCATATCCTGGCCCACGGACTGGAACGCTTGGCCCGCAACGAACCAGGAGTTCCCGGACCCTGTGTATTACGCCCTGGGCGCTTCCAACCAGGACGAAACATCGAGCATGCTAGAGGGTTTGACCCGGGCAGCGGAGGCCATGAAACTGGCTAAAAAACTAGGGGTGCATCGTGAGGTGGCACACTTGAGAAGCATATTTTTCAAATCATAGCCGAAGAATTCCGTTTTAGATGAAACTTAGTGGAAAGGACAGATAATGAACGACTGTGGTAGTGCGGAGTTTTCCATTTGCTCACGTGTTATTCTTTCTTTGAAACAAACACGGGTGCCGTCCTCCTGGGAGGATCAGCTACTTTTTAAAGCCGCGGTGCAGATATCGCTGCGCCAGTTCAAAGTATTATAGCTTGAAGGGCGCGTTACCCAGTATACACTGGAAGTCGAGCAGGCCGAGCTTTCTGAGATCGGGGGAAGGTCGTGCGGAAAAGTGCCTCGCAGCATGATGAGTGGGGGGGAAGTTGGGGAGGGCTTGCGGAAAAGCACCGCACAACAGCATGAAGGGGGGGCCAGGCATCAAACTTGAAACTTGAAACTTGAACTCAAAACTACTCAAACTCGGCAATCTCTCGCGCTAGGCTAGGTTACTACTAACTTGAAGTGCCTTCCCGTGGGGCTACTGAGAGCCATTCGCCTCAGATCTATCTCTATTCTTCGCCTCTTAGTGTGCGCTCGAATATCTGCGCTATTTCGTACCTCAAAAAACACCACGGCAGTCGTACCCGTAGCGCATTGCGCTAGATTTCCTCCGCTGTCGTCGTTCAGTTTTCCCTCTCCCGTCCCTCTATTTCTCACGAATCGGCGGTGGCAAGCAGCGACGATGGCGACAGGCAGGATTGGGTGCGACGGTAGCCAGCAGCGGGCCGACGATAGCGAGCAGAGCGGCGACGGTAGCGAGCAGGGTTGCGATGGCAGCGAGCAGGGTTGCGATGGCAGCGAGCAGGGTTGCGATGGCGCAATGACGATAGTGAGCAGCGATAACGACAGTAGCGAGCAGCGGGGCGACGTTAGCGTGCAGCAGGGTGTCGTTAGCGAACAGCGGGGCGAAGCATCTGTTCCGACGGTGGCGAAGCATCTCGCGTCCAAACCTCGCAAGCGGCTTTAGCGAGCGATATTGGTAGCGATGCGGCGAAGGCAAGGGTAGCGAGCAGACAGGGCCGGAATGGGAGAGGAGGACAGGGGGAAAGGGTGGGAAGAGCAGCGATCGATGCTATAGGCCCCTGTCCTTCTTTCCCTTTCCCCCACTCCTTCTATCCCTTCCCCTCTGTCCTTCCCTCCTTTCCTCCATGTCCTCCCCACCCTTCCCCCCTGTCATTCTCTCCCTTTCCCCTTAGTCCTTCCCTCCCTTTCATCGTTTTCGTTCCTCCTGATGCTTAATCCTCCCCCCTGTTCTTTCTGCCCTGTCTCCCTATCCTTCCCTCCCCTTCTTCTCCCTCCCTCCTTTCCCCTTCCCAACCCACTGCTCCCCCCTGCTCTCATCCGTCCCCTTGCCCCCATTCGTCCCTTTTCCCCCACTACCGTCGCTGCTTTTCCTGCTCATTTCCCCCTTTCCTGAACCCTTCCTTTTCCTCTCTCACATCCCTTCCTGTTCCCACTATCCCATCCCACCATTCACCCTTCTGATGGCCATCCCTTTCCCTCTTCTCCTGTCCCTTCCCTGTCCTATCCCATTCCCCCTGTCGCTTTCTCCTTCCCCCTGTCCTATCCCATTCCTGTCCTAGTTCAAGCGTGAGAGATTGTTTGTTCCAGGGCATTCCCCCCTGCCACCATCCCCCATGGCACATCCTCCTATGCCACACCTTCGGTTTCACGCCTCCCCATTCCCGAACTCCCCTTGTCCGTCGATACCTTGGCCTCTTGCCCTTCCCAGGAGGCAGAATTGGGCGCGACGGTAGCAAGCGGCTCGATCCCACCGTCTCTCCACCACCAATCCTCCTCTCCCCCACTCCCGCCGTCCCTCCTTTCTCCCGTTACCGTTCAAACCTTCCCCCCGTCCCCGTCCCTCCTTCCATCGGTGTCCGTCCCTCCTTCCCCCACCATCCACCCTTTACCCTACCCTTGTCCTTTCAAGGCATCCCCAGATTCCTAAACCCTTCCTTTCCCTTTCTCCCATCCCTTCCCTTTCCCCCTATCCCATCCCACCATTCACCCCTCTCCCGGCCATCCCTTTCCCCCTCTCCTGTCCCTCCCCATTCCCCACATCCGACCCTTCCCTTTCCACTATGTCCCCTCAGCCAATAGTTTCGCTTTGCCACTGTCCCGAGCCCATCATACCTCAGTTCCCATCCTGCAAGCGCGGTAACTGTGAGCAGCAGCAGCGAGCTGATGCAATGATGGCGGTGTGCAGTGATGTCAAATGGCGACGGTGGCAGACGTGACGACATCCAACCCTCTGCTCCACCGCTCCCAACTCCGCTGCTTCCCTTCACCCACCCCGCTGCTTCCCTTCACCCACCCTACTACTTCCCTTCACCCACCCCACCACTTTGAACCTTCGCGCACCCCACTGTTTCTGCCAACCCTCCATTCAATTTCCCCATCGAACATTTTTCACTTCTACGGCTGGTGTCCTTCCCTACCCCCCTCCTCCCCTGCTATCGGTGGACAGCTGCATCAATAATGGATCAGAGGGGTGTGAAGTTTGGCTCATCTTGGAGATGCCATGTAGGATTTAAATACACTCATGTTTGCCTGCCATGTGTACATTCGTTGCACCCCAAAATAAAAAAAGGAAACAACCACCCCAAACTTTGATCTTTCTGAAATCCTCGAATGTGCCTTTGATTTGCAGAATATGATATTTGTGTGGTTCTCAGATTATTTGAGATACATACTCTTTCGTTATGCAATGTAGAGATGACGGCGTATTCATGGGTTCCGAATAAAAGCCTGCCAATTTTCAGTGCAGACTCGCAAATTGGCTCGGACTTATCCAGTATTATGCGGTAACCATGTCTCATACTTGCTTCACACTCGAGCTGGCTCACAGCCATATCCTGGCCCACGGACTGGAACGCTTGGCCCGCAACGAACCAGGAGTTCCCGGACCCTGTGTATTACGCCCTGGGCGCTTCCAACCAGGACGAAACATCGAGCATGCTAGAGGGTTTGACCCGGGCAGCGGAGGCCATGAAACTGGCTAAAAAACTAGGGGTGCATCGTGAGGTGGCACACTTGAGAAGCATATTTTTCAAATCATAGCCGAAGAATTCCGTTTTAGATGAAACTTAGTGGAAAGGACAGATAATGAACGACTGTGGTAGTGCGGAGTTTTCCATTTGCTCACGTGTTATTCTTTCTTTGAAACAAACACGGGTGCCGTCCTCCTGGGAGGATCAGCTACTTTTTAAAGCCGCGGTGCAGATATCGCTGCGCCAGTTCAAAGTATTATAGCTTGAAGGGCGCGTTACCCAGTATACACTGGAAGTCGAGCAGGCCGAGCTTTCTGAGATCGGGGGAAGGTCGTGCGGAAAAGTGCCTCGCAGCATGATGAGTGGGGGGGAAGTTGGGGAGGGCTTGCGGAAAAGCACCGCACAACAGCATGAAGGGGGGGCCAGGCATCAAACTTGAAACTTGAAACTTGAACTCAAAACTACTCAAACTCGGCAATCTCTCGCGCTAGGCTAGGTTACTACTAACTTGAAGTGCCTTCCCGTGGGGCTACTGAGAGCCATTCACCTCAGATCTATCTCTATTCTTCGCCTCTTAGTGTGCGCTCGAATATCTGCGCTATTTCGTACCTCAAAAAACACCACGGCAGTCGTACCCGTAGCGCATTGCGCTAGATTTCCTCCGCTGTCGTCGTTCAGTTTTCCCTCTCCCGTCCCTCTATTTCTCACGAATCGGCGGTGGCAAGCAGCGACGATGGCGACAGGCAGGATTGGGTGCGACGGTAGCCAGCAGCGGGCCGACGATAGCGAGCAGAGCGGCGACGGTAGCGAGCAGGGTTGCGATGGCAGCGAGCAGGGTTGCGATGGCAGCGAGCAGGGTTGCGATGGCGCAATGACGATAGTGAGCAGCGATAACGACAGTAGCGAGCAGCAGGGCGACGTTAGCGTGCAGCAGGGTGTCGTTAGCGAACAGCGGGGCGAAGCATCTGTTCCGACGGTGGCGAAGCATCTCGCGTCCAAACCTCGCAAGCGGCTTTAGCGAGCGATATTGGTAGCGATGCGGCGAAAGCAAGGGTAGCGAGCAGACAGGGCCGGAATGGGAGAGGAGGACAGGGGGAAAGGGTGGGAAGAGCAGCGATCGATGCTATAGGCCCCTGTCCTTCTTTCCCTTTCCCCCACTCCTTCTATCCCTTCCCCTCTGTCCTTCCCTCCTTTCCTCCATGTCCTCCCCACCCTTTCCCCCTGTCATTCTCTCCCTTTCCCCTTAGTCCTTCCCTCCCTTTCATCGTTTTCGTTCCTCCTGATGCTTAATCCTCCCCCCTGTTCTTTCTACCCTGTCTCCCTATCCTTCCCTCCCCTTCTTCTCCCTCCCTCCTTTCCCCTTCCCAACCCACTGCTCCCCCCTGCTCTCATCCGTCCCCTTGCCCCCATTCGTCCCTTTTCCCCCACTACCGTCGCTGCTTTTCCTGCTCATTCCCCCCTTTCCTGAACCCTTCCTTTTCCTCTCTCACATCCCTTCCTGTTCCCACTATCCCATCCCACCATTCACCCTTCTGATGGCCATCCCTTTCCCTCTTCTCCTGTCCCTTCCCTGTCCTATCCCATTCCCCCTGTCGCTTTCTCCTTCCCCCTGTCCTATCCCATTCCTGTCCTAGTTCAAGCGTGAGAGATTGTTTGTTCCAGGGCATTCCCCCCTGCCACCATCCCCCATGGCACATCCTCCTATGCCACACCTTCGGTTTCACGCCTCCCCATTCCCGAACTCCCCTTGTCCGTCGATACCTTGGCCTCTTGCCCTTCCCAGGAGGCAGAATTGGGCGCGACGGTAGCAAGCGGCTCGATCCCACCGTCTCTCCACCACCAATCCTCCTCTCCCCCACTCCCGCCGTCCCTCCTTTCTCCCGTTACCGTTCAAACCTTCCCCCCGTCCCCGTCCCTCCTTCCATCGGTGTCCGTCCCTCCTTCCCCCACCATCCACCCTTTACCCTACCCTTGTCCTTTCAAGGCATCCCCAGATTCCTAAACCCTTCCTTTCCCTTTCTCCCATCCCTTCCCTTTCCCCCTATCCCATCCCACCATTCACCCCTCTCCCGGCCATCCCTTTCCCCCTCTCCTGTCCCTCCCCATTCCCCACATCCGACCCTTCCCTTTCCACTATGTCCCCTCAGCCAATAGTTTCGCTTTGCCACTGTCCCGAGCCCATCATACCTCAGTTCCCATCCTGCAAGCGCGGTAACTGTGAGCAGCAGCAGCGAGCTGATGCAATGATGGCGGTGTGCAGTGATGTCAAATGGCGACGGTGGCAGACGTGACGACATCCAACCCTCTGCTCCACCGCTCCCAACTCCGCTGCTTCCCTTCACCCACCCCGCTGCTTCCCTTCACCCACCCTACTACTTCCCTTCACCCACCCCACCACTTTGAACCTTCGCGCACCCCACTGTTTCTGCCAACCCTCCATTCAATTTCCCCATCGAACATTTTTCACTTCTACGGCTGGTGTCCTTCCCTACCCCCCTCCTCCCCTGCTATCGGTGGACAGCTGCATCAATAATGGATCAGAGGGGTGTGAAGTTTGGCTCATCTTGGAGATGCCATGTAGGATTTAAATACACTCATGTTTGCCTGCCATGTGTACATTCGTTGCACCCCAAAATAAAAAAAGGAAACAACCACCCCAAACTTTGATCTTTCTGAAATCCTCGAATGTGCCTTTAATTTGCAGAATATGATATTTGTGTGGTTCTCAGATTATTTGAGATACATACTCTTTCGTTATGCAATGTAGAGATGACGGCGTATTCATGGGTTCCGATTTTCGCGTTGTCGTGTGTGTTCCCCCCTTCCCTCCCCCCACCCCTTCCCCTTCCCCCTCACTTTCGAGGTTCGCGAGGTTCGCCTCAGTTGTTTCCTTTTTCTCTTCATCGCAACACAATCTACTCTCTCGCTAGCCAATTGGCGACCAGGAAGGAACAAGACAAAAAACTGTTTGTCACTGTTCCTAAGATATCTGCACCGCGGCTTTAACTGTTTTCGGTTTCAACCTACATGTACTTTTTATCGGGGTGTATGGAAGGGACAAGTTACTTGCTGCTCAACCTCCAAGTTTCCGATTGTGCCGCCGCCTAGTTGATGAAACACCAACATTATGGTCCACGTCATGAAAACCGCATGGCATAGTCTTGGGAGAAATCGGTCCGCGACTCCGTCCCTATGGTACATACAAGGTGCAGCAGTTTCCCACCTTTCTCTGCCCCAAATCAGGCTTCCACAAATTGCGACTGACATTAGGTTTGGTTTGGAAGCTGACACAAGTCCCGCCAAACCGAGAATTCCCACAAATCGAAGCGTCTCCACAGCCGCACCTCCATTCTAGACCAGTAAGAGTCAACCCACACCGCCCCCCCAGCCATCGAACAAAAGCTGCACGTAAATAATGGAGGTTTTCTGTCCTCCCTTTCTTTTCCAGCGCAGGCCCGTTCTGCGCCTCGTCGTGTCGAATGCTTGTCCGTGACCTTCCAGCTCCTTGCTCTGCTTGCAGAAACAAGCGTGCATAACTTTCGTAAGCTACAGTCTCAAACTGTAGCTCAGGAAGGATGTTCGAGAGCTGTTCAGCACAAAACGTATTGCAGCGACAGTTACAGTACAACCACATCGCATGCAACATTTCAATCCATGTTGCACCACAAGTGTGTCACGCCCACGCGGATTTCTAGGGGGTGGCTGTGAATGACATGGTCTGCCCAGCTCGAAACAGTGGAATTCATATTTGTCATTGAAACATGCAAGTTTCTTTGGTTTACGAGGGAATTTTCTACATTCCTTACAGCGTGCTTCAACACCGCGTACAAGACCAACCGTTGTTTGCCCGTTATTGCTGAAGGGGCTTTGCCAACCTTCGCACGCTGGATTTGCCAAACCATGCATCGCTGGCCTGGCCGAGTCGGCCTACGCCTCGGGACTAGCCGAAAATCAATGTCAGCATCGCACTAGCTAGCTCGCACGCACCGCATTACTGTTCTGTTACGATATGAAGTTGTATGAGAAGGCATTCTTGTATGCTTCAGGAGCCGACTCTACCGAGTACAAAGTCGAGGAGTCAGAAGAGTCGAAGCGACGCATCAACCGTCTGATCAAGACCGATGCGGACAGAAACATTTGAAATGAAAAGAGCGGGAACAGGTTTGAACGGGTTCCCTCCCGCGCCGCACGGTTTGAATTCGCTGTAATAAAGGAATGTACCCATTAGAGTACATGGCTAGTTTATGTCGTTTTGTATTCCTATGCATTTCCTATATAAAAACGATGTATGCATGCTATTCATTTTACATTCACTCTCACATGAGATTCAAACTTCTGCTGCAACACTACCATTCGATCAACCTGAGCAGGCCCTACGATATCAGAAAAATTTCCCTGAAATTCCTGATTTTCAGGGATTTTTTTGTACATACCCTGATTTTCCAGTGCTCAGCTTTTTGGGGGACTGATTTTTCAGCCTTTAGTGGCCAGATGACTCTGAACTTTCAGGTTTTTTTTTTAAGGGACACTGATTACACTACGTTGTAACGAATATGATACTGAATGTGGCAGCAGCACCTCCAGCAAGAGAGGGGGAGGGCGGTGGCAATGGCAAGGGAAAGGAGGCAGATGAGGAGGAGGAGTTGGAAGAACCAGAGACTAACTACAATGATGATGATGAGTAAATGAACCTTCTGTTGCTAATGCTTGCTAGCTAGTTAGTGTTATCTTATTTGAAGTTCTATATCAGCCTTTACAAAAAGGGAACACTGATGCATCAGACCTTTTTTTTAGGGTAACACTTAATTTTCAGGCTATTTTTTGGGGGGACACTGACGATCAGAGATTCTACAGAGAGGGACCCTGATGCATTAACGTGCCTAAAAGTGAATCATAGGCCCTGACCCTGAGCGATCCTTCGCTAAGTCCCACTTAAGATAGTAACGTGGTATCAGAGCTACTCAGATTTTTTTCGCAACTTCACTCCTGTGAAATTCGCCGAATCAAGATCTGGCGAGCGGCACACGCTCCAAGACCAAAATGGCCGGAGGATTCGGAGGCCAAGCAAATCTGACGGCTGAAGGACAAACCAACCCGGTTGCAACAAATGAGGCGACAACCACAATCAGCCTTGCCGCACTCTAGCAGTTGTTCTCGCGACTATCAACTATGGAGAAAGTTCTCCAAGAACTGCGCAAAGGCGATGCGTGAACCTCTTCCCAACCAGTTCAACCTGGACAACCGGCCGCGAAAAGCCGTGATACCGCCGCGCACACCTTCTCCGTCGACACAGACAAATCAACAACAACTGCCCCCCCGTCCAAGTTATGAAGTTATCAACTGTGCGCAAGCACGCTTTCTCAACGTTTCAAAAATCAAGACTACTGCCGCGTTTGATGTCAAGGACTTTTATACATGGAGTTTCGAGCTTGAGCTCCTCCTACAGACAGCGCATATCTACCACTACTTTGACGGCTCGTACGCAAAACCGGTGGAAGACACCGACGACGTCAGGGCTCAGTACTACAGCGATCCCTCACGGCATATAGCGTGCTGCTACGTAATATGACGCATGCAGAATAACTCAGCATTCGCTCCTACAAAGAGAGCGCCGTTCCAGCCTTGGAAGCCTGGAAGCACCTCGTTGAGGTATATCAGCCGAAGGATTCGGTCACCGCCAGCAGGCTCCTGCAGCAACTCATGGAGACAAAGATGGGACACGGGGAGAAAGCAAATTCTTATATTAACCGCTGTATGAACATTTGTGACCAGATCACGAAGCATGGAAGCGCAATCTCGGAAGAGATCTTCGTCAACATAGTCCTCCAAGGACTCGGGCCAGAGTGGAAGAGCTGCAAAGCGCTACTTCGACAACGAGGAATTATCTCTGAAGCCGCGCTATGCGCCGCTCTCCTAACTGAACAGCAGGATATGGATTTGAGCAGAACAAGCTCCACGCCGCGCCGAGAGCGCCTCGCCTTTCACGCAGACAACCGTGAAGAGCGACGACAACCAAGGCGCCACAATTGCAAAATATGCATGGTCTTCGGACACTCAACGGATCGATGCAAATCTCGATCCAACTATTGCCACCCAAACTCCACTCACCATAACAACTGGGTCGGCCGACAAGACGCTCATCATTCTCAGCCCCAGCATCAGACCTCTCGTCCCCCTGCACCGCACCAACAACAGCAGACACAAGGACCTCAAGGAGGAGCGCCAAGAAACGTGATAGCAAACATGGCGACAAGGCGTCGCCCTCGCACTGCTGAACCAGACGAAGAGGACGAACTTCGCGGAGGGCTTATTTAACAAGAGGAAGGATGTAATAATCCTCTTGTAGAAGACCATTACTACCTGTATGACGAAGACGAGCAAGGTTGGCATCAGCCAATAACACTGCGGGAGAGTCCGCCACACGACCACCAGCGATACATACCTGTGGGATGGAAGGAGGACGAAGATTCATTCTTTCACAGGCGCTTCAAGGCAATACTGGTGACTCCGCGACTCGCGCTACTTCTGCGCAACAACAACACCGACAACTACAACACCTGATACGTGGGCAGCTGCTGCGGACAACACATGGTGGGATCTGTTCGATATGTCTCGAACATCAGCCGCGCACCCCCTACCTACGTCACAATTGCCAACAATGAGCAACTACGCGCCAACGCGCAAGGGATTGTGGTGTTGCAAGCACGAGATAGCAACATCCACATCTCGTTCAACGACGTGCTCTTCGTACCAGACCTCCGCTTCAACTTACTCTCGGCACAACAACTCCGAGACTGTGGAGTTATGCTCACTACAGATCCAGAGACACGCGACCTCATCCTCACCTATGCTCCCCCGGACACCCCTCCCGAGTCACACAAATATCTCGGACAAGCTCGCCCGATCAACGGCATCTACGTTCTGGATTTCGACATTCTCGAGCTGTCAAGCTTCATCAGACGAGCTCTTAGAGCTCGTTCCTCTTGATTTCCCGTTCATGAGTCAGTAATCATGGCAGCACCCAGACGGACGGCCGTGGATTTGCCGCAGCCTTCATACCCGCGAGATCAATCTGCACGAGCCCGACATCAACGGTCTCTGCACCACCTGTCACACACCCACCGCAAGCCACACAAAGCAAGTGGAGAAAGATC